TTAATATATAATATATATTTATATATTAATAATTCATAATTATTCTGCTCTAAGGAATCAAACATTCACACAAAAAGAAAGTTCCGGTCAATAATGAATTTCTTTCTGTTTCATTTTTGTTCCCCTGAGCTCCCTGTTTTCACAGAGCAGCACGGAAGAAAGTTTCAAAACAAATCTTATTTACGATGTTGCATCACTGATTCATCAGAGGTGTATGGAGATAGGTGTGAGGGGATATTTCCCTACGGAATTTCCTAAGGTAGGTGTGATACAGTCACATCAAAGTCTCGATCGACTGGTCACCTGCTGCTGATGTTAAATCCTAAAAAAAAAAAAAAGAAATCACAGCTTTTGTCTTGTTTTTTTGCAAAGCCTTTTTATTTGTGTTTCAAGTCTCACAAATGAAACAGGGTACAGTTGCTTTTCACACATGTCGTCCAACACGACTTCATCAAAACCTGGTCCTGGTGCCATTGGCACATGTTTGTGTCACATACCAACCACTGCAGTGTCATGACATCTAGACTAACTGTCTGAAGACACAGTGTAATGTGATTGAGTGAGTACTCTCACAGGTGTCACCATAATCCAGTTACTAAATACAGGTCAATATAATGTGAATACTTTGAACCGTTGTTGTGATTTGGGTCAATGTAATCTGATTACCTACATGTAGATGTACTCTAAATTTTTCATTTTTTTTATCCTAACTACCATAAACACGTGTGTGTGTGTGTGTGTGTGTGTGTAAAGTCAACTTGACATTCGGAGAACAGGTTAAGTATTAAGATTTATGTAGATTTATGTACCTTAACACATTTTAATATAATCTGATTACCTGGACACATTGAAGACACATGCCCTTGTCATTTTCTGTACCTGGTCAGATGGTAATCTGAATACACCTTTGTGTTCCAGCTTAACGTAACTGTTACTAACTGTGCCAAAACATTTCGATGTATTTCTGATAACTGTAATTAACTCTCCTTAAACAGGACAATGTAATGTGAGTACCTTCATACACTTCAGTAGGGATGTCCGATAATATCAGCCGACCAATATTATTGGCCCCATATTTGCATATTATGTAATATCTGTAATGTGATGCCTGGGTTTCTCCAAATGATGTGTGCCCTAAAAATAGTTTTGGGGGATAAACGGCTGTATATTAATGAGAAAGTCACTAGAGCATTGCAGCTCATTTAATTAATCTCATACTCATACAGTGGTTTGTACAGATAAATAAATAAACATTAACACGCCTATATGGGTATCAGTTGAGATCAGAATCAGACAATATCGTATATCAGATGTCGGCAAAAAGTTAATATCGGACATCCCTACACTTCAGTGTTCTGGGTGTACAGACACGTCAATGTATCCAGCTTGACCTGATCATATGGACAAAACTCAGAGTAATCTGGCCTCAAAAACACTTCTGAATGTGATCCATCTCTGTCTTCATACACTTGAGTAAACTGGTGGATGTGATCCATTGTCTTCATACACTTGAGTAAACTGGTGACGTAGACACATGCCGATGTGGGGCGTTTTCACCTGGTTATGCTGTATACACTGATCTGATCTATCCGGACACAGGACAATGATTTTAACAGGCATATCAATCAAGTCACAGGTGATCCTAATCTGGTTACAGAGACAGGTACTGTATTGTCTGTTAAACTGTCAGTTTGGACTAAGTCGTGATGATGATTTCAGGAAGTAGACAGTATGTACAGCGATCGACCGGCGAGCTGGGGGCAGAAAAGGCTGAATAAACAAACTCACGGAAAGGTGTTTCCTTTAACAAATTGACAAACAAAACAGAAAAATAAATAAAGGGACGATTCAACGCCAGATTATTCAGCTAAAACACAGAAAAGTGCCCAAAGTCGCAGCAAGCGAAACAAAACAATATGGCTTCTTCTTCTTCTATTTCACTATTTACAGCTGTTTACAGTTGAGACGCTTCATCCGCGTCGATGGACGGATGAATGAGTAAGAAAAAGAATGTCCTCAGTGACAAACACTGACGTCACGACCTCCAGCATGTCTTCAGCTAAGAATCTGGACCGTCCAGATTTGGTCCAACTGCGTGTCCTTGTTTTGGTCTGACAGAACTTCCTGTTTGCCTCTAAGTCTATTTGTAGCTATGTCCACAGGGCTGCACCACACTAGCCTATGTAGCCAAAGTGCATCCACTAGGCTGTGAACTGGGCTTGACCATTTAACTGTGGACCACCTAAAGACAAATGGTGTAATATTTCATGGTCTATGATATGCACTACAGATCCCGTGCCAGCGGCAGGTTGTCAGATATATTGGTCCTTCATCATAGCAAAGGTATTGTAATGGATCTGTACAGCGCTAGCATTAGCGCTGTGAACGGTTCACGATAATTACTTGTATTTATAAGTATAGGTAAAGCCACGGCTGCTGTTTCCTGTACAGTCACCAGGTGCGTTTGTTCTTCTTATTTTCCCATTATGACTGTTGTGTATGAGAGCTTCCTGTTTGGCCCTCAGGTATCTCTTGTTCGTCTTAAAGAAGGTGTTTTTGGTCCATAATGGGCACCAGTGAAGTCTCTTCCACTCTTCTTGATTGACTTTTGAGATCCTGCTTCCTGTTTGTTTTGTAACTTCCTGTTTGTCTTTCACAGGTTCCTGTTGTTACCTTTCAGGAAGTAGATGTTTGTCTGAGAGAGGTTCCCATTTGTTACATAGCTTCCTCTCTGTCTTTATTATTTCTTGTTTGTTTTTATTGACTTCCTGTTTGTGTTTTTTAACTTCCTGTTTGTTTTTATTGACTTCCTCGTTGTCTTCGTGGACATCCTATGATGGTCTTAGTACTTCCTTTGTTTGTCTCTTACAGCTTCCTGTTTGTCCAGGGATGCTTTTTTATTTTAATGTAACATTTTGCGTCACTTCAACGTTTCACGACACAACTTTCAGTCTCTTTTTTGTTTCCAAGGAACTTCCTTTTTGTGTGCAATATCTTCTCGTTAGGTCTAAAGACCTTCCTGTTTCCATAAAAATGGCAAAGCAACAACCAATCACAGACCAGCATTTAAGAATGTTTGAAACGTCTTCAAGTTTTCACAGGAATTGAATCACTGATTGGTCATAAATGTTAAAAAACAAAAGTCCAGCAATAAGAAAAAAAACAAGGAGGTTCTTACTTTGGTAAATGTTCTCAGTCTGCAGAGTTTTTATCATTAATCTGAACTGTGCCACAACTGTGTGTTGTTCCCTGTCATTTCACGAAGGAACTGGAGTTTAATCTGCAAAACTGCAGCAGAGGGGAGTATATTCACAGATTGTTGTGTATTTTTGTTTCCAGCAAAAAAAAAAAAAGTATCCAGCATCTTGTGTGGACACTCACAAGCATAGACACACACAAACACAGGGAGGGAAGGCTTTTGCCGGACAACAGCCTCCTCCTGTTTTGCTTGATCACCACGGTAACACTCCCACATTTGTCATCGGAGGTCGCCATGCCGCGATGTTCCCGCTGGTTGCTAAGAGACCAGAGAGAAGGTGATAATGTGGAGTGTCAGTTTTCATCAATCTGGGAGAGAACACAACAAACTTAAGTACCTGCAACTAAAATAGCTTCAGCAAAAGTTCTGGAACTTGCAGAACTTGGGATTTCTAGAACATTTGAAGCTCCTGGAGTCTAACTGACAGCATCACTTCCTGAAAGTCCCTGAACAAAAGTTACACCGAGAAATAAAGTTTTCTCTGCTGAGGGTCCGACTGAGGATGAACAGACGAGGTTTGAAAGGATGATGAGGTTCTCTCTCGCTCTCTCTCTCTCTCTGTTTTCTTTTCATCACTGCTCTGTTTGTGCAGCACTGTTTTCAACATCCAGATCTTGGAGGTTGATGTGGAAAAAGAGTTGGAGTACCTGCGCCAAAAGCGGCCTTATCAAAGAGTCGTCAACAAAAACAAGAGCCTAAACATAAATAAATATTATTGCAAAAATATCTTGATAAAGTAGGGTGTTCAGAATCCAAATCCAGATCAAAAGAAAACGTTGAAAACACAGCTCCTTCGGATCATCTCAGCTCAGGTCCTTAGGGTGTGAAATGGTGCCTCCTCTAGGTTGCTACTCTGTTTGCGCAGTTTGCACAGTTTACAGTCTCTGAGGTCTGGGATAATCAAAAAAAGAAACAAAAGTTTGAGTACCTGCAAGGAAATAAATTGTTTCAGCAAAGGTTCTGCACCAAACCAAGACCAGACTTCTCTGGAGGGTCCTGAACTTTCTGCATCACTTCGTGAAACTTTTTCAAATAAACTTAAGGAGGAAAAATCATATTTTTTCACTTCCTCATGGAGGGTTTATAACGGCCCACCGTGCTCTCCGTCCAGGTCTCCAATTTCCTCTTATCATTTTTCATCTGTTTGTCCAGCTCAAACTACATGATCAAGTTGGACCGATGCTTCTGGGTTTAAGAAAAGAAATGTTCATGAACCTGCAGAAAAAAACGTCTTGATAGAACATCCTGAAACTTCCTGGAAAGACCTGGAGCTTCTTGAAAGTTCACCCGGCCAAAACTATTTGCTTCCTTTTTCCACATGCCGAAATCAGAACCCAATAGGGATCAACAGAAAAGATTTAAAGGTCAATTGCAGGATGTTACCCATGATGCTCTCTGTCTCTCCCTGCAGTGTCTCACGCTGCCTCCTCTTGTTTAATGCTCTGTTTCCGTGGCTCTGATTGTGTGTTGTTCCCGTTCTTCTTCCCATCTTCGCCGCCTGTGGTCTTAGTGGTTGAGGACGTTGAAGAAGACATGACCTTTAGGCTTTTAGACGTCTTGGTGCCGCGGATTTTCTCTTTGTTGGCAGTGTCCTGTGGCAGCGAGGGGCTGGAGTGCGCCCTCTGCAGGCCACCATCGTCAAAGAGGCGTGACTCAAAGGCCTCCAGGTCTTGGTCTCCGCCGGACAACTTGGCTCGTAGCAGCATGGCATAGGTACCGTAACGGGTTTTCTGTAACCAAAAGATAGAGAAAAGAGTGACATCATTCACGCTGTGACAACAAATCAGCTAAACTAGTCATTGAAACAGTGACATCATTCACGCTGTGACAACTTGTGGGAAAAACAAATCAGCTAAACTAGTCATTGAAAACAGGTGAAAACATTTAGCTTAGTGTAGGACAGGGCAGAACTCGGCAAACAGGCTATCTCAGCACAAAGATCAGGCTAACATGACCTGCTGAAGGACTCACTTCAAACTCCAAATACTCCAGTCGTTGTTTGTGCTCCTCCAGCTCACGACCTTTGAGGCTCTTGAGGTCGGCTGCTGAGGCCATTAGTTCAGTGAGCTCAGACGAAACAGCCCTAAAGCGATTCTCGTGAGATTTCAACTGCTCTTCCTGTCAACACAGACGAGCAGCATTGATGGGAATCCCCCTTTCACACTATTTGTTGTTTGATCTTGATTTTAACAGTACCTGTGACAGTTTGGTGTTTGACCCAGGCAACAGGGGGCGACTGAATCTTTTCTGAGAGCCAATCGCAGCAGGGAACGGCGGCGCTGAAAACATGGCTGCCACCACATTGATGCGTGTGATCCAGGACTGCATCTGCTCAGCATTCCTTAAGGAAAAAAAAACATGTTGACAATGAAACAACATTTTGGAAATGGAGGGAAATGTTGATTGTCTTTTCATTTAATAATAATGTTAACCAGTGTCTTTTGAGCCACAGCAGCGTGGACTTTGGTCCGTAGACTTACGGCGCCTGCAGCAGGAAGACCCTCCAGTCAGCTGTCCTCAGGTAGAAGACGTTGGGACGTTTGCTGTAGTCAACAGCTCTCATGGCGAGGGAGTGGTGGATGGAGACGGAGTTCTTCAAATCCTCCTCTGTTAGCTCTCGCTCTGAGCGGTACTCGTCCTGTCCAATCAGGGAGCAGCATTGAGTCTCCCCTATAGAGTAGGTAAGGACAGCCTGCCCCCCCCCTTCACTAAAATCCTGTCCTCCTGCCCTAACCCACACCTCCACAACTCTTGGCTATTATGATACAAATGTTACGTTTTATTTTCACAACTTTTTTAAAAGGGCATTCATAAATGATTATTTGCAAAAGCAAAAAAGTTCACTTCTCACTTTCACTCCCTTGTGACTCTTTGGCACCCCCCTCTGGGGGGCTGACGTAGACACTTCTTCACTATATATTAATATGTGTATGTGTGTGGGTGTGTATGTGTGTGGGGGTGGTGTTGTGTGTGGGGGTGGTGCTGTTCACCTTCTGAAGGTAGAGGACTAAACCCTTCAGCATGGCGTAGAAAGATTTCCAGCTTCGTTTTCCTCGTGGCGCTGGAGGAGAAAATTAAATTATTTGTGTGACCTGATAAATAAAAATTAAAAATGTGCTTCTTCTTTAACTGTGAACGTATTGTGAACGAGTGTAGGAATACACAGTAGATAGCACTAAAACACATCACAGAGAATATTTTTAAAAAATGTACATCACATTTCAAGTACTGAAATTTGACCTAATTACAGAATAATCTCAACCGAGCCACATAAATATATATCAATTGTTTCGCCTATAGGGGGCACCGCAAGGATTGTCTGCACAGTCACTTGCCAGAGTTTTTTCAAGCGTACTTACTTCTCTTTCCATCGGGGTCAGCGTGGACTTTACGAACCAAGAATCCACTCTTGTAAACCTCGCCGTCGGCCTGCTGGGCCACGCCCATCAACGGGTTCCCGCTGCTCCCCAATCGTTTCATGGTGTGAGAAGCAGCGTCCGTTCTGACGTCACCCTGCTCCATTGTCGTCTTCCTCACTTCCTCTTCATCTCTGCAGCGGAGAAACAAACAAACCCAAAAGTAAATCATAACAAAAAAATAAAAATAAGTAAACAGGGTCAGTGAATGCATCATCAACATTAAACCCAGCACAGGTTGAGCTGAGGGTCATGTTCTCTGAGCCAACGCTACAGACATACTAATATCATTGTTTTTCATGTGTCATTGCAGTGAAGAGGGCATTGCTACAAACATGCTGCATGCTGTCGACATGCAATATCCAGCTCTGCCATCAGTAAATAAACGACATGCTAATGCTAAGACACTGTTTACTGGGAGGTAAATCTGTAATTTACAAGGAAAAGGAAAGCAGAGTACAGTTACCATAGCAACAGAGGATTAAATATGGAAGTGGCAGGGACGTGCGCATGGACACACACACACACACACACACACACAAACACAGTGAGGATCTTACATAGTCCACTGCAGCTTCTCGTTCTTGATGGAGCTGTAGAGAGTCTGCAGAGAAACATCACAGTTACTGAGCGTGTGTGTGTATGTGTGTGTGTGTGTGTGTGTGTTAACTTCACTGTGTATGTGTGGAAACCTCGATGTGTTTTGCATACATTCCTATGTCCACTTGTGTAATAAACATCCTTGTGAAAATGAAACTACTCGATGTTCTGACAGGTCAGATGTGTGAGTCAGAGCTGTGGAGCCCCCTGCTGTTCAAACCGCCCAGCGACACAAAGGCTGGCTCTCCTTGGCCATACTGCTGCAAGCAGAGGCGCCAGGAATATGACTTTAGCAAATGAACAAATGACTCAGCTAATTAAATCTACATTAACCCAGGTCCATAAAATTAGACTGTTCTGGTCACTGCTCAGCAGACTTTTTTAAAACAGAAAAAATAATAATTTATAAAGCATTCTTTAACATGACTTACAGAAACCTAGTGGTAAAAAAAAGAAATGAAAGGTTTTACATCACAGGACTTCAGTCAGTTCAGATGTGATGTGATATTGTGACTTGTGTGAAGAACTTTGTAAATTAAGATCAATAACATAATCTAACCACCAGAGGCAGTAGACCTAATTACTCTTTTTTCAGAGTAAATATGCTAATTTTTCCTCTTAGAACTTTATTGAGAAAGAATTTAAATATATCCAAATAAAAAAAACCAATCCCAGCACCTTTGAGAATTCCCTTTATCCACAGACATTACATTCACACCATCATTCACACCTATGGCCAACTAAGAGTGAACAATTACCCCAAATCGATATGTTTTGGAACTTTGGGTAAAATAAAACATCTACTGAAGGCGAGTTCTTGCAGACTTTACACAAAAAGCCCTGAGAGCTAGCAAAGTTCAAAAAATGTTCACATTAGATTTGATTACATTTTAACTCGGAATACGCACAGATTAGCATCAGAAGCATCGACCTTAACTCACAAACGGTTCATAATAATTTTCAGTACATAAAGCTAGACTATCTTCAAATTGTTATTATTAACATAACTCTATATATTTTGAAATAATCTGGTGGCGCCCCCTGTGGTCTACCTTCTTTTTGCGGTTCTGCGGGTGCTGCTGGGCATCCTGCGTTTTTCCCAGCAGGTCTGGAAAGGCGAGGGGTTTGAGAGAGCGAGAGCGCGGCGTTCTGGGATACCTGAACGGATCACTGTCCCGTGCATCCCGTCCACTGCGCACGGAGCAGAGCGAGCGAGAGCGCATGCGTCCAGACGAGTGAATACTGTTTACACCGATCATGGCGACTGTTTGGGTCCTAAAACAAGAGTCCTTGCCACAGACTGAAGCAAAGAAATTTTTGTTTGTCCAGAAGATATTTCAGATATATTATTTTACAAATTATTTATATTATATTACAAAAAAATATTGTTTTAAAGTAACATCTCGGAGAGTAAAACTATCAATACAAAGGTGAAGGTCTGAGGAGCTGAGAACAGGAAGTGAGGAGACACAAATCAGCCACTTGTTCTACGTTTATAATTCTTTTGTTTTAAATGTTTAAAAATTAACCTCTAAAGTCAGATTGTTTTTTATATAGATTGGATTTTTTAATTTCCAGCTTAATATAAAATCAATACGGTCACTGTTTTATAAACTATATTTGAAGCTCAAAAATAATTTAAAATTACATATTATTTTTGAAAGAGATTTGAATTTGAAATTGAATTTAAAAAAATAAACAAATACAACTAAAAATAATATTCCTACAATATTGCAATTAAAATTATGCAATTGCAATTATAAAGAACACGGTTTATTTTTTAATTAAATAATAAACAACTTATTTCACTGAACATAGAGCATTTAAATAGGTGTTGTATTAAAATGAATTAGAAATAATTTCATCTATTTTTTTGACCAGTAATTCTGGGTCAGTTCCAGGTAAACAGATTCTCGGAATGAAAATGCGACCTCATCAGTTAAGGTTTGTTAAGAAAAAAAGAGATTTTCTTTCTACGCTTCCTTCGGTTTCACGCCTCAGGAATGGAGTCGGATCTCGGGTTGGATCTTCACAGTAACACACACACACACACACTGAGCCTTTGAGAGTGTGTGTGTGAGCACAAGTATGTGTCAGAGTCTAATCCGTGCACAGTTCAGAGGAAGTGATGCAGCTTCTTTTGCTGCTGCAGCAAAAAACAAAATGCCCAAATAATCCCAGAACAGCTGGTAGGATGTTTGTCCTCAGACACTGCAGAACCTTGATGAAGAGCAAGACGAAGGTGACAGTGAGGAGGAGGAAGAGGAGGAGGAGGACGGAGGTCCTGTAGCAGAGGAAGAGGAGCTGAAGAAGAAGGAGATGCAGGAGAAGGAGAATCCCTGCACCGCAAATAAAACAGCGTGACGAAGAAAACGCAGCAGAGGAGAGGGAGAGGGCGAGTGAGCACACCCACACATGAAGAGAGAGGGGGAGAGAGAAAAGGAGACTAGGGGACAGAAAGAGAGGCAGAGAGAGGGAGAGTGTCCCAAATCTGACGTCAGTTTTCTCCAGTCACAGACAGAATCCTGTCCTCCTGCTCCAAGTTCTTCCTCTCCTCCTCTTCCTCCTTCTCCTCCTCCTGCAGGGGTCTCTGCAGCTTAGCCCACTCTCCTACCTCCTTCCCTCTACTTTGTTTTTTTTCCCCTCTCCTCCTCGTATTTTTGGATTTCTTGCTGATTTCATCATCTTTTATTCCCGGTCTTCTCCTCTGTGTCTCCTCTACTCTTTAAGCCATTGTATATTTTAATGGTCGTTTTTTTTCCATCCTTTTTTATGTCACCTTCTATTGCGCCTCTTTCCCGCATGGTCACTTCATTCCCTCGTTTGTTCATTAACCCTCGTCTCCTCTGATATTCCCTGTTCTTCTATCCCTCTGCCTCTACCATTGTATTCCTTCTCTTCTTATCTATTCTCCTTGTCCAACACACACATTTTTATTCTTCTTCTTATATATTCTTCTCATATATTTTCTCTACTATCAGATTCTGTATTACAGTCACACAAGAATTGATTAAACGTTTGTGCAGATTAATGCCAGTGGCACAAAGTGACCACACGAGGCAGCAGTAAACCAGCGGAGCTTCATGCCAGCTGAAATCTATGGTTTGACCCACGACCTTTTATGTTTTTAAGCTGCCTTGGTTGATTTGTATCGCAAGCCATTTCCAACAGCAGGGGGAGCTCCAAGCATATAAAAACTTTGTACTTTTGGGTTTTGTTTAGGAATATAGATTGACTGATGATTTTGTTAGAATTAAAATTTGTGTTTACGTGTGTGTTTGTGGCTGGATGTTGGAGTTTGGACCCAGGATTAGAATTAGGCTCAGATTAGAGTAAGTATCTGCGTATTTGTGATTGTTTTTCATGAGTGCGTGTGTGTGTGTGTGTGTGTGTGTCTCTACCTTGAGCAGATCCTTAGGAAAGTCTTTTCCATTGTTGAGTCCTTCCAGGTTTGTGATGAACTGATTACAGGACATTCTTTTCCCAATGTTCTACACACACACACACACACACACACACACAATTACTGATGTACGCAGTCAACATTTCGACGGTGACCTACTGCTGGCATAAAATTGATTTGATGCAATAATTTATAGAGGCAAAAAAACCCAAATGGAAGTAAGACCAGACAGATGTCAGACGTGTGAAGGTGTGAGACTAAGGTGACGTAGAAGACAGGTAAATATAAGACTCACATTTCCATGAAGGTCAGAGTTCAGCAGCATGACGGCACACGTCAGCGTGTGGACACTGTCTGTGAGACACAGAGACGTAGACATGCATTAAAGTGGTTTCGTTTTTTGTTTTTTTTTCAACAAGGGGTATGGGGACTCGTACTGGTACGTAAGGCCAATAATTGTATTTTGTGCATTAAAGTGGGGTATGGGGGCTCGTAGTGGTACGTAAGGCCAATAATTGTATTTTTTTGTTGAAATGTTAAAAAATGTTGTAGTTGACATTCACACCAGTAGAGGGGGCACATCAACCAGGACAAAGACATACAGTCGCTGAGTTGAAAATGTGCAGATTCAACTGACAGAGGAATGTGATGTAATCCACTGTTAGTTTTATTAGTTTAACCGCTGATTGTTTTTAATTAGATTTTTGACTTTTCAAGTAAAATGCGCACATACAGAAAATGCTTCTATGATACAGAGAGAGAGAGAGAGAGAGAGAGAGAGAGAGAGAGACAGACAGACAGACAGGTACAGAAAGCAATACCTTCAGTGGTGTCGGTGTTACACTCTCCGTATCTCCTGGAAAAGTGAGCTAAGACTCTCTCCCTCTCCTGAGTTTCTCCAATCAAAGCAAAACGATTGAGAAAAGACCTGGAACATGACGCACAGTTCAGTTCAGTTCAGTTCAGTTCAGTTCAGGTCATTCATGACAGGCACAGGTTACCAAAGTCTATGGACAAGATCAGTGATTTGAGCCTGAGAGGAGAGGAGGGCTGCTGTGGTCAGTGTGAGTCACTAAAGATCAGAAAATAACACCCACAAACGATGGGGTCAATGGAAAACATAAAAATCGCTGATTTCTGTATGGACGTGGGTGTGGAAGAACGAGTCATTTAGAAACTTCAGTTTCCTGTTGAAAATGTCTCAATCATGCTGAGAGAGAGAAAGAGGGAGAGAAAGAGGGAGAGAGAGTCCTGTTCTCACCTGAGCGCCTGGTCAATGGTCAACCCACTGAAGTTGAAGTTGCTAAGATATTCTTCTGCCACCCTCTGACTGAACTCGTTACTGCAACAGACAGAAGAGACGGCATGAAACGGGAATCCACCAACGTGGACGACACCAGCACACGGGTCCACACTCACTTTTTGCTGAGGTGTCGCGCCACGTCAGACTTCCTGAAGCCATCCAGGTGGAACAGGCGTTTAGCCAGGCGCTTGGCGGCCTGCAGGTCGGCGCTGGTGCCATTGGGCAAGGCATCATCGCTGCCACCGAGTGCCAAACGCTCGGCCACATCAGCCTGAGGGTAGAGGAGCTCCAGAGGAGGATTCACTGGACGCTCCCTTAACACAGAAAACACAGGAATCTTCAGATGTGGAATATTCTCTGAGAGGTCGATCAAAATAATCCCGTTGAGTCCAGAACATCGCTGCTCACTTCTCTTTGAAGATGGGCTTTTCATGACCGTTCCTACTTACATCTTTAATCGCCTGATCCTCACAGAGAAGTGACTGGATCAGAACGTTGTTCAAATGCAGACGCGCTCATTGGACGAGTACAAGTCACTGTGGCTAATGTGAAAATATGAAAAGTAAAAGCATAAACTGTAATAAGGAAGTGAGGTCATAGCTGTCAGCGAGAGTTTGGGAAGTAGTTGACTTGTCCACTTCCTTTTACACACACACACAGTTTCCACACAACACAGAAGCAGCTACTGGGTCTTAACCCTGACATAAGTTAATATCAGTTTTACTTCTTCTTATCAGGCTGCATGTGATGGAACAGTCCTACTGTATACAGTGTCCTGAAAGATGTTCAACTGGGTCCAGAACCATAAAAGACTGTGTTGAACTAGGTTCAGATGTTGATGTTTACATTCTGGACATGTACAGGAGGCAGTAGGTGTACAGGGAGAAGATCAGTGGATAGATTAGGTGGTGCTGTCTCTGATGCTTTTTCTGAGGGGAGGGCGGGGCTGGAGTTGCTGGGGGAGTAAAAGGGTCAGGGAGCGGATGTTTCTGTCGATGATTTCTTCCTTCACAAACAGAAGCCATTTATCCTCAGCTGAAATAACCGGCAGTCGACCAGCTCACTCAACAGGACGTCAGGAAAGGCTTCCTGTCTGTTTTTATTTTACCCAGCAGCCACTGAGACCCGTTCACACACACACACACACACACACTTTGGTTCTAGTGTTTTGTGCACTCTTCACATAGAGATAATGCATTACTGGAGCTTTACACTAACTTTAATCTGACCAAAACATATCTCCACAACAACTGCATTCTTCCAAGAAATGTTGCAAAATGTACTGTATCACTATACCCAGAAGATGACACACACACACACACACACACACACACACACACCGCAGGAAAAATCTGTAGTACACAAAGCTCACATTAAAGACAGGTCCTATCTCTGGAAGTGTGTGTTTATAATTACTAGCCGTCAGCAGTGACTGTAATCTGGGCGCCACCTGCAGGAAATAGATAGGCCTGGTATAAATTTAAAAACATTGTACAAAATGAATGAATTTGTTGCTCACAACAAAGAGCACAGAAAACAGAAACAGAAAATCCTGCATGTGATGTTCAAGCACACAAAGTTCTGGATCCTTTAACGTCTCCATCACTATATGCATGACATTTGTTGACATGTTTGCGTCTTTAGGCTAGCATCGCTTAATTCTTGGCTAAATTAAACTGGTGCTGTGCCACAGAGAACAAACCTTGTTGCACTACAAAAATATAAACCTTCCTTCTATGGAACCGTATGCATGTTCATTCATTCACTGGGAGGAAACGGTGTTTTTTTTCAGTTTTCCATTTTGAAATTCCAGGAACATAAGTTGAGAAAAAGCCAAACACTATCTGCGTGGGAGTGACCACATGCTGACACTGAGAGTCAAAACATCAGAGTGGACAGAAAGTATGTGGACACGCCCCTGTCAGTGAGTCCAGGGCGGTTGAATTCAGAGTCCTCACAGAGAACGTCTTTAGAGCGTTGACTCACAACGTAAAAAAAGGAAAACTGGAAAGAGTTTCGGAAAGATCAAAGAGAGAAGAAAATGAAAGACAGGAAACATGGAGGACCAGAAATAGACAAAAGACGGAAAAAAATAAGAGATGGATACGATGTTATTATCCTGGGTGTGTCCGTCAGCGTCGATCCAACTGAAGCCACAACAACATACACACACACATACACACATAAACACAAAAAGCCATGCTAATGTTCCTCTGAATAGCTTCATGTCATGTCTTTAAAGACTCCTCCACAGCAACTGAAGTCTATTCCAAGCTGCAAATCAATGCACCTGATCAATAAACCTGATCAGGTGACAAAACACATTTCCTGTACAGCAGACAGTCGCTGGATTCAAACTATGGAGACAACAGTGAAGTCTGGACACGCTGTAATGTCTTGAGTGTCCAGCAGGAGGCCACTCTACATAGTTCACTACAAAATGCTGAAACCTCTAAAACTGTGTTGCTAAACTGCTTTAACGCTTACTTCAGGTTTAAAATCAAGTAAACAATAACAATAATACATGAATAAAATAAAACAATAATAGTAGTACTAACATAAGGCAACATTGGATCAAGTTTAAATAATCTTAGCCAGGACTTATGTCTCCTGCTCCTAGACAGCAAGAACAGCAAAGTTAGTAAGCAGCAGACCCACCTGTACACAGCTGGGTAGGGTGGGGCGTACAGGTAACTGTCCTCCAAGGCCCCGCCCCCCCAGCACAGCAGGTAGCTTGCCATGAAATCGTGGCCCTGCTGACCCACCGCTGCTGTGTGGCGGCTGCGGCGGCATTCAACCCTCAGACCTGGGGAAGCTTCACCAAGGAAAACTGGGTGAAGTCAACCATAAATGCTAAAGTGATGACATCATGATGAAACGCCTAACGACATCATCAGGGTGTATGTGGTGTAAGAACCAGCCACCACAGCAGCAACAGCAGCAACAGCAGCAACAGCAGTGTCTCCTCCTCAGATCAGATCAGTCTCATTTAGTATTCATTCTCCTGTTTTTTTTTTTTTCAGCTCCTCCTCCTCCTCCTCGTCTTGTCTCACTTTAAAACATCCTTTTTTACCTCTTTTACTTCTTCCTTCTAACTTTCTATCGTCCTCCTCTGCTCCTGTCCTTCTGCCGTAAGGTCCTAAGCTCAGAGGAAAGAGGAGGAGTGCATTTCCTCCTATTTGACTTGAGATGCTCCTCCCCCTCATCCTCCTTCGCCGGCTCTTCCCCTCGTCCTCTTCAACCACTTTTCCTCCCTTTGTCTCCCATTACCTTCCTGGAAGTCTCTATCTTTTCTTCTCTGTACATTCTGGTAACCTCGCATGTTCTTTACTCAAAGTCCACAGAGAAATCCAGGGATTTTAGCTTCAAAGAAAACAACAGATGTTGGTCTACTACTGCCTCCTGTGGATGATTTGTGTCAGAGAAGTAAAGTTGAAAAAAAAAAAGGTTTTGGAAAAACAAAAGTCACAAACAAAACAAAGGACATCTGACAGAGGCAGCACTGGACAATGTCTGTGTCCTGTGATGTCAAACCACTATGGTGTTGAAACGTTAAACAAAAATGAAAACGTGACTAAAATATCTTAGGAATGTGTTCATTGCATCACCTCACTTTTTCAAAATCAACAGAAGTTTTATTTTTAACAACCATTACAGCACTACAGTTGTTGATCAGTTGCTGAAATATATTGTTTATAATAACCTCAGTTCCACAAACTGACCACCGGAGGCAGCGGCAGACCAGTGTCTGCAGGTAACCATGAACTATGTTTTTAGCAAAAGTCAAAGCAAAGAAGCACAGGCACCAATTCCCAACTTCTGACCAGGAGGGTCAGCTATAAACTACTGTGTGTAAATATATCAAACAACCTGACTTAAAAAATAAAATAGAAAATTTAAGAAAACTACAAAAAAAAAAATGAAGAAAAAAAACCAACACTGTCTGAATTCTGGGATCAACACAAAATAGCACGAAAACTTTCCCAACAAAAGAATCTGACAGCTGAACGGTGGATTAGTTCTCAGGCTGAAAACTCCAGCTCTTATCCTGCAGTGAAAGCAGGTCAGGGGTCTAAGGTCAGCACAGCCAGACACCAGATGGAACTGATTCTTCACTGAGGGTAGGAGAAGAAGAAAGGGAGGAGAGGAGGAGGGGGAGAATGAAGAGGAGGAAAGGCACGAAGAGATGATGATGTAGGCATCTTTATTCAGGGTGTGTCTCCAGTGTTCAGAGGAGTGGCAGCTCCGTTGTCTCAAACACCAAGTGAATAAATCCAGCTGGAATTCCCTTGATAAAACTGTCTCTGTCATTCTGTTCTTCATTTCTGTGCTATAATTAGTTTCACTTTTTCCTCTTTGACTTGAAACTGATGCAATGTTTACCAGGCAACACACAAGGACACAAGGTAACAATTAAGCATGTAGTTTTAGGTCAGCACGAACCACACGGTGTCACCAGCCACCGCCTCAGAATATTTGTCCTTTCAGATGCCACCATTATAATCAACATTAAAATACACAGAGTTCAGCTCAGTACATGAAGTAGACCATTTTATTCCCACTAAGAGTGTTTGAAGATGTACCAGCCATTGTAGTTCACACAGAAGTGGCAGCCAGTTCTGAAACCACACACCCACACAAAGAGCTGGAACCACTTCTCTTTTTGGGAGTTCCAGTTTGGACTACGACTGCGGTGTTTTTGAGCCTTCCATTCATACCCCTATTTTGCCAAACCAATTTTTTTTAAAAAGAAGAAATCTGCTTTCACCTCTAGATGGAGCCAGCGTGTCATTAGGAGAGCATGTAGTGAAGTTTGAGAAACACTGACAGTCAGAGAGAGCCAATTAGAACAGTTTTGGAAGAAATGACGTGAGACTGAATTCATGTACATCAACCCACACACACACACACACACACACAAAGAAGAATAGTAAATGTTTTCCTCTGTGTCATCGTCACATGTCAAACACGAGTGTGTCCACAGTGTCTGCTGTCATTAAACTGATCCAAGCCAAGGCACAAAATAAATGAAATCTGATTCAAAGACAAGAGCGATTTTCCACAGCGACAGAGAGCAGCGTCACAACACATAATTTACCTCCCCCACACAGCCGGGTGAGTTAGACAACATGAGTTTAATTATACAGTGTGTGACACGAACACCCGCCAACGGAGGCGCTTCACTGGGGCAAATGTCTCCCTCTGGTGCCATCATGTGGCTAAATTGTGTCACTGCAGAGGCCTTAGCACAGATGGTCCAGATGTACTGTAATAACGGACGAGCCGTCACACAAAATTAATCTGGGTCTTTATATATTAGTCTGTGGATGAAAGGGTCAAACAACAGTTAATATTTTCAACTCAGAGTCTATTAATTTAATCTAATTATTCTAGTCCCTAAACTCCAGGTCGTGGGTGGACCCAGAACAAGGAGAACTCAAACACACACTCAGGGAAGAATAAGCGATTCCATACAGGTGTGCTGAGAACCACAGCTTGAGCCACAACACTGCTGTCATGTGTCCACACAGGGACAACCATTTGTTAAGAGGGATAATTGCTCATCTCACTCACCTGGGGCTGCTGTGAAGTGATGGAGCAGAGTTGGCTTTTCGGACGCCATCTTTGGCGTTGGTACGACGCCAAGAATCTTTCTCAGACCTCATCCGGGTTCTAGGACTAGAGTCGTCCTTTTCACCATTTTGGATGCCGCCTCCTGAGGCATTGAGGGTGGTTTCAGAGCGTGAGGTCTCTGCTGAGGCTGCGGTTGCAGAGTCTGGAAGGACCAGTGGAGCAAAGCTGAGCTCGATGATCTGCTTGGCGCTGTCGCAGATCTGACTCTGGACACACAGACACAGGAAAGTACCATTACAGCAGCTGTGACCAGAGGTGAACATTTAAACCATGTGTCATATTTTCTTACCTGGATCTCTGGTGTGAGTGTGGGCAGGTCAAAGGTAAACACAGACGTGGATCCAGAGGTCAGCAGGTCCACACTGTCCAGGCTGCTGTATGAGGTTCCTTTGGCTCGGTGGGACTCCATGATGTTTTCAAAATGGCGGCTGAAGGAGTCCAGGTTGCTTTCAGAGAGGCGGGGGCTGCTGACAGAGATCGGAGACTTTAGGGCACTGTTGGCTTCGCATGATGATTCCAACGGCCTGGAAAAGTAAACAGCAACATTTGGGCTTAGGTTTAGGATTTTATAAAAAAAACTAACAAAAAAATTACTGAGAAACCAACTGAGAAACTAGAAAGAACATTTTTTAGAAACTTCCTAAATGTCACAGCTAGCCGTCATGTCCTCACGGTCTAGAACATCTCACCCTTTCAGCAGCAGACTGAAAACCTCTTCCTCCTCTTTTGCAGCTTGTTGTCTCTGTTTGTCACCCAACATCCTGACACTGGCCCAGCTCACCACCCCTCCTCCACCTTCCTCCTGCTCATCATCCTCTTCCTCCTCTTCCTCATGTCTCCCTTTCCCTCCACCATTCCAGGGTTTGGGAGAGATGTCAGCAGGACTGAAACTGGAGATTTCCAGAACACTACGGTTACTGCTGAAGGCTGAATCTGCCTCTACCTCCTCTGCCTCTGCCCGCATCACCTGTAAGATCAATCACCAACACCAGTAAGTATTGATCATCCGTTTTTAATAGAACATCTAAAATGGCTTTTCAATAACAGCCTTTACAGAAAATAAAATCTAACACTCAATTAAGAAGCGCTTGATTTTACAACACTGAATATTAATATCCTGAAGGAACCCTCTTTAGCCCTAAGACATTCCTTGAAGACTCCACATCACCTCATCCAGATCTGTCTCCCTGTAGCAGCGCAGTGGGACAGCGTCCAGATCAGTCTCTGAGTATTTGATGGTCCTGCGGATGATGCCCGTCTTCGGACTGAAGCCTCGGAGGTTCGGCGTCACCAACTCCAACTCAATCTGCCGCACTTTATGTTTGGACGACCTTTGACCCTTGCTGTTCCACCCCTTTCTCTGGTCAGGTGGCATTAGATGCCAGGAGGAAGGAGGAGTGGAGGTGGGAGGGTCACCAGTAGGGGGTGTGGTCGACCAAGTGTCTGTACCACAGAATAAAATAAATTAGTTGAAATCAGTAGCCACAGTGTGGAATACAATTTTGATTCACACAGACAGAGCAGACCTTGCTCCAGGGCACGCATTTTCAAACATAGTAACCAGTTTGTGATAATTGTGATTATAACAATAATAACTACTAAAAATGAAAGCACAGCAGAGCAGAGCATGACAAGTACATAAAAGGAAATGCGTACTGATGTGTGCGTAACACCTGTGAGCCGCGTCTCAGCTGATGTCAAGATTAGGATAATGGGCTTAAAGAAGAGCTTAAAGAGCTGTTTACTGAGAGACGACGAAGGAGAAGAAGCAGCCGAACCTATTTTTAGACAACATTTTAGCATTTTTTCCTCTGCACTTTAAAGGACTGCCAAAATGTTACAGACACATACAAAAATATTCTGAAGTTAGTTTTAAAATAAAAAAATAATGCCGTAAATTAGAAGAAAGAAGAAGAATATTAACAAACGTATGAACGAAGGTGACAGAATAACTTTCAACACCTTTACCACAGTGATCTTCCTCCGTCCTGCCGCTGCCAAACAGAAACTCCCACTTAGCCCGAGCGATCTTCTGTGACCGTGTCGTAGCTGTCGTTGCCAAGCCGTTGTCTGTCTGCAGAACGAGGAGGAAACACAATGTTGTCACATAGAAAGGTGTCAATTGTTCAGAGGCTACAAGCTGCCCAGCTACAGTACCAAACCATCTTTAAATAAAATGTCCTACTACAGAAGACCCTACAACTCATTACACCTGAAGCCCTAACCCCCTCCAAACACACACACACACACACCTAACACCACATCTACAGACCGGTACTGTGCAACTTTATATCTACACTTATATCCTGATCTACCCAGAATACGGATCAACCTTCCCTCTAACCTGACCTGTATACCAGAGCCAGTGTCTGTTGTGTCGTAGCTTGACTGACTGGAAGTTTCAGGGAACTGTTGAGAACTGTCTGTGAAGCTGCCTGTCACCCCACTGGAGCTCTGGGAGTCGTTTCCAGCAGCTCTGCATTGACCCTCAATCTCCTCAGTTGGACATGACCTCTGGTTTCCTTGAAAAGGATTCTGAAAAGATTTGTCATTAGAGTTCCTCCAAGAAGCCTCCTGTTTACTCGGCCTCGCGTCATCATACTGACTGGAGTAGACGCTGTGAGATCTGTCATAAAGGTTATAAAACTGCCTGCAGTCCACACCACTTTGTCTGGAGTCCCGAGTGTACTGTGGATTTTGGTACTGATGCAGGGTTGACGTGTGTTTGCTGGGTGATGAAATCTGAAGTCCTGGGTCTAGAACTGGTGACTGAGAGGCAGCAGCGCGGTGCAGCCTGGCTGGTAGGGCTGGAGATGTAGGTGAAGAGAGGCCTCTGTGGGACCTGAGGGGTGAGAGACTCCCTTGCCTCGATCCAGACTGTGTATTCTGTTCTGTTTGCCACTGATGCCTGTGGTTCTTCATTTGTAGAGTTTCGGGGGAGTGACACCTTTGAAGAGTTAACTGGGATTCACTCAGGAACGACCTCTGTGACTCAGCTTGAGAAGGCGTCGGCGAGGCGGTCAAATGATGTTTGTAATTTGGCGATAATCTCGTAGCCTCCATAGCTAGCTTGTAGGCCATTTCCGCATTTGAGGATGGGGACACAATTCTTCTTCCACTTGATGGACTCAAGGAATCACTGTTCCTGCCAGTGCAGTAGGATGGTTTGCTGTGATTCCTTCTGGAACATTCACAGATATCATTTATACTGTGATGAGAACTACCACAAGGAGAGTTTCTACTACCCTGGTAGCTGAACCAGGCCTGGTTACTGGAGGATGGCTTGTTGTTTTGAAAGTCATTTTGTATGTCAGTGGGTCTCCCTGCAGGTAAAGTCGAATGATACTTTCTGGATAATCTGGGGCTCTGGTCCTCTGTCAAAGACTGGATTCGATGTGGACCATGTGGGCACACTGTTGTTCCTGGAGCAGCTAAGTAGGAAGAGATTCCTGTGTGGCCACAGAGGTGTTCCGAGGCTGGACTTCTGGGCAGTCCATTTAATGAACCATGGAAAAGTCCTCTGTCTAGGTCCCAGGTTTTGTTCTGGGACGGCAAGGTGAGGGCATTTCTAGGTAGGTTTGGTGAAGCCTCCAAGGACCGGCACCGAGGGGACTGGTAGGCCCTAGGCACTCTAGGGCTGAACCTTTCTGGCCTGTCATCACCGAGTCGTTTCAGTTCTGGGGATCCAAACATTTCAAAGTCCGTATGGGTTGGATCTCTGGCAATCGTATTTAAGGTCGTCCTCTGCATACAGGTTGACCCTCGTGGAGACTGATGTCGGTATGGATAATTATTGTCACCTTGGGCTGGATGACTGGTGTACCACATTGGATCACTAAGTCTTTTCTGGAGATCCTTTGGCCTATTTAAAGGACTGTGCAGGTCGGTTTGGCACACTGAGGAAGATCGATTTCCTATGCTGTGAACATTAGATTTTTCTATGTAACCAAAGGTCACCACTGATGTTTTTCCCTCTTCATCGCCCACAGACTGATGCTGTGGGGACCTCAGGTTAGAAGTGGGTGTGTTGGGTACAGACAGCCTTTGTGATGGTGCAAAATTTGGCGAGATTCCCCTTTCTTTATAGGAATTCTTGCCAGAGGAGTGGGTGGGACCCAGTGAGCCATGATGATCTGGACTGGATCCTTCAGGAGAAATGAGTCGCAGCAACTCCGCAAAGTTATCATCCACAAGATCCTGGCGCTGGTACTGAGTGGGAGACCCTGTTGAATCTGGGTTTTGGAGTTGGAAGCTTATCATGTGCCTGGAAGAAGAGGGCGACTTTGAGGGAGTTACGCTGCGGTTTCCACACCCAGAGTGACGTTTGGTGATTGGGGAGTGATCTGGATTGCAGTTTGGACTGCAGTGTGCAAAGCTTTTTTGAAAGTCCGGGAGAAATTCTAGACAAGGAAGACCTAGGTTTCCAGAGCCATTGTCCTCTTGTTCAAGCATCTTTCCTCCATCCTCAGGAACTGATCTCACTTCCATGTACACATGGAGGACTTTACCTGCCTGAGACATGTTTGGTTCCTAGTCTGATTTTCCTCAGATCCTTGTTTTATTTCTCCTGAAAGCTCAGGCAACTTTTCTCGTGGGAGAAATGCTGATCAGAAATCTTCCAGGAGCAGGTCTAGATGACTTTATTCTTCAATTCTTTGTGTATTTTGAACCTGTAGCACAAAAATATCCTGATCTACCCAGAATACGGATCAACCTTCCCTCTAACCTGACCTGTATACCAGAGCCAGTGTCTGTTGTGTCGTAGCTTGACTGACTGGAAGTTTCAGGGAACTGTTGAGAACTGTCTGTGAAGCTGCCTGTCACCCCACTGGAGCTCTGGGAGTCGTTTCCAGCAGCTCTGCATTGACCCTCAATCTCCTCAGTTGGACATGACCTCTGGTTTCCTTGAAAAGGATTCTGAAAAGATTTGTCATTAGAGTTCCTCCAAGAAGCCTCCTGTTTACTCGGCCTCGCGTCATCATACTGACTGGAGTAGACGCTGTGAGATCTGTCATAAAGGTTATAAAACTGCCTGCAGTCCACACCACTTTGTCTGGAGTCCCGAGTGTACTGTGGATTTTGGTACTGATGCAGGGTTGACGTGTGTTTGCTGGGTGATGAAATCTGAAGTCCTGGGTCTAGAACTGGTGACTGAGAGGCAGCAGCTCGGTGCAGCCTGGCTGGTAGGGCTGGAGATGTAGGTGAAGAGAGGCCTCTGTGGGACCTGAGGGGTGAGAGACTCCCTTGCCTCGATCCAGACTGTGTATTCTGTTCTGTTTGCCACTGATGCCTGTGGTTCTTCATTTGTAGAGTTTCGGGGGAGTGACACCTTTGAAGAGTTAACTGGGATTCACTCAGGAACGACCTCTGTGACTCAGCTTGAGAAGGCGTCGGCGAGGCGGTCAAATGATGTTTGTAATTTGGCGATAATCTCGTAGCCTCCATAGCTAGCTTGTAAGCTATTTCCGCATTTGAGGATGGGGACACAATTCTTCTTCCACTTGATGGACTCAAGGAATCACTGTTCCTGCCAGTGCAGTAGGATGGTTTGCTGTGATTCCTTCTGGAACATTCACAGATATCATTTATACTGTGATGAGAACTACCACAAGGAGAGTTTCTACTACCCTGGTAGCTGAACCAGGCCTGGTTACTGGAGGATGGCTTGTTGTTTTGAAAGTCATTTTGTATGTCAGTGGGTCTCCCTGCAGGTAAAGTCGAATGATACTTTCTGGATAATCTGGGGCTCTGGTCCTCTGTCAAAGACTGGATTCGATGTGGACCATGTGGGCACACTGTTGTTCCTGGAGCAGCTAAGTAGGAAGAGATTCCTGTGTGGCCACAGAGGTGTTCCGAGGCTGGACTTCTGGGCAGTCCATTTAATGAACCATGGAAAAGTCCTCTGTCTAGGTCCCAGGTTTTGTTCTGGGACGGCAAGGTGAGGGCATTTCTAGGTAGGTTTGGTGAAGCCTCCAAGGACCGGCACCGAGGGGACTGGTAGGCCCTAGGCACTCTAGGGCTGAACCTTTCTGGCCTGTCATCACCGAGTCGTTTCAGTTCTGGGGATCCAAACATTTCAAAGTCCGTATGGGTTGGATCTCTGGCAATCGTATTTAAGGTCGTCCTCTGCATACAGGTTGACCCTCGTGGAGACTGATGTCGGTATGGATAATTATTGTCACCTTGGGCTGGATGACTGGTGTACCACATTGGATCACTAAGTCTTTTCTGGAGATCCTTTGGCCTATTTAAAGGACTGTGCAGGTCGGTTTGGCACACTGAGGAAGATCGATTTCCTATGCTGTGAACATTAGATTTTTCTATGTAACCAAAGGTCACCACTGATGTTTTTCCCTCTTCATCGCCCACAGACTGATGCTGTGGGGACCTCAGGTTAGAAGTGGGTGTGTTGGGTACAGACAGCCTTCGTGATGGTGCAAAATTTGGCGAGATTCCCCTTTCTTTATAGGAATTCTTGCCAGAGGAGTGGGTGGGACCCAGTGAGCCATGATGATCTGGACTGGATCCTTCAGGAGAAATGAGTCGCAGCAACTCCGCAAAGTTATCATCCACAAGATCCTGGCGCTGGTACTGAGTGGGAGACCCTGTTGAATCTGGGTTTTGGAGTTGGAAGCTTATCATGTGCCTGGAAGAAGAGGGCGACTTTGAGGGAGTTACGCTGCGGTTTCCACACCCAGAGTGACGTTTGGTGATTGGGGAGTGATCTGGATTGCAGTTTGGACTGCAGTGTGCAAAGCTTTTTTGAAAGTCCGGGAGAAATTCTAGACAAGGAAGACCTAGGTTTCCAGAGCCATTGTCCTCTTGTTCAAGCATCTTTCCTCCATCCTCAGGAACTGATCTCACTTCCATGTACACATGGAGGACTTTACCTGCCTGAGACATGTTTGGTTCCTAGTCTGATTTTCCTCAGATCCTTGTTTTATTTCTCCTGAAAGCTCAGGCAACTTTTCTCGTGGGAGAAATGCTGATCAGAAATCTTCCAGGAGCAGGTCTAGATGACTTTATTCTTCAATTCTTTGTGTATTTTGAACCTGTAGCACAAAAAAAAACAAAGAATGTTGATTTTATTTACTCGGTCATCACTTCATACAGCAATAAGGCAGTAACAAGGCAGCTGCAGACTAGCAGGCCCTGTATCATTGTCAGCTTCAGTAGCTCTTTGCTCAACGGACATTGATCAGTTCTCTAACTTATCTAACTGTTTTACAGTCATTGACAACATTTAGTTTGATAAGCATTCACTTCCCAAACAAAATCTTAGAAACGTCCTAAAAGAAAAATAACGACAAGCAGTCATAACGAGACATTATCATGTGTCTGTGCTAAAGATACACACACATATGTCTATATACAGTATACATACATTTATATAAACATATGTGTGTGTGTGTGTGTGTATACATATGCACGTTGACCTTTAAACTCTGTACTCATAATTGTAACATTGTGTCTCTGAGCACTTGTGTATGTGAGTGAAGTCCACAAGGAAGGTGTCTTTTTTTAGATCACATGACCACATGAAAACTAAAAGTTCCTTCGCTCTGGGGCTCACACACTTCAACAGACACACACACATGAGCACACACAGACAAACACACACCCTCTGATAAGCCCTACTTTTCCTGAACTCTGCTAATAGGATTCTCTTCAACACATAACCCGTCCTCCTCACTCTTCCCAGCATGCACTGCTGTAAAACACAGAATCAAGCACACACACACACATTTATATAAACACACAAACACAGCTGTAACCTTACCTGTGTGTCCTGTTGTCCTTGTCAAAGAGACCTCGTCTCTGGGGTTGCCGTGGTAACCTCCTTTTCCTCTCTCCGTCTTCTGTTTCCTCTGTCTTTTTCATTCTGTTAAAGCATATCTTGATTTTCTCCTCCCTCGCTCCCGTCTCTCCAGCCAACACTTGTTGTCTGCAGCAGAGCCGGCTCATCATGGATTTAGCCACTTGTCTCGGAGTCTCCAGGCTCCTCCTCCTCCTCCTTATCTGGCTCCACCACCTCTTGCCTGTCTACTTTCCATCTGTATTAATCAGCTGATGTCCACGCCTTCCTTCCTCAAGGGCATGCTGCCAGCCAATGCCATCCTGGGCTGCCTGCAGACCTGGGCCTCCAGAGCCAGTGGAAGAGAGTTCTAACTGATGATGTCAGTAGTGGGGAAGGTGTTGGGTGAACGTCACAGGTCAGCAAAGGTCAGCTGACCCTGGATAAATGTTATAAAGCTTCACAGCAGAGAAAAATAGCATATTAACTGTTGCACCTCGCTCCACCCTCACATCACCATGGCTGGTCAATGCTTTGTGACATGTGACCAGGTGACATCATCAGGATGGACTAGGCCAGACTCAATTCCAGCAAAAAGTGTAAGGTCTCAATGGTAGACTATGCAGTGTAACCTATATCTTATAGCAACCCTGCAGGGGGAGCTGTGTACACGATATGAATGTTAGCGATGGTTCAATATGATGGGTTTACATGAATCACAGTCCGTTATTGTAGTATAACTTTTTCCCTAAAGGTGACGCTGCCCTCTGCTGGCAACAAAAGCACTGCTCAAGAAAGTATCTGGTTGTACACATCCAACTACGTTGTAACAAGACTAAAACTAATTATGGTCTATTCTGAAACATGAACTACAATCCGAAAACTGAAAGTATTTTAAACAATTACTTCTGTGAACTACTTCTGTTCAACAACACATTTCCCATTCAGTCACAAAAGAAAAACATAACAAGGATGGCACTCTCATACATGCATTACCTTTCGATTAAAATACAATATTTGCGTATTGCTCCCTAAAAGCTAGCTAGCAGCTCGTTCGCTCTGCTGCTAACGTGGCTCCATTTTAATATTGATCAAACTTAAAATCATGGCATAAGTCTTCTTATCAGTTAGTTGGTGACTAATTTGCCACTAATCATCAGTTTGAACATCATCTAATTAAAAAAGTAAAACAGTGTGTGTACATAACGCTTTATATTAGCTCCTTGCTAGTTTATGCTACACTCTTATAATGTAGATCAATTAGTTGATTTTTAGGCCAAAACGCATGCACCATTAAGTTGTAATGAGATATTAAATTTATATTATTTATTACAATTTCAATATTATTTCTTTAAATATTCAGTGACATGTTGGGTTGCAGACGTGGTTGATTTATTGATCACGGTGAAAAATAGCAGCGGCAGCGATACAACTGCTGACGGTAATCGCTGAACATTATGCCACAAACAGGGCTCATATTTATAGGTTGTTGTTGGTTACGACTGTAAACTGATCACTTTTATTGATCAGAGTCATTGTACAGCAGACTCGACCTTCACATCCCTGACTGATCCTGAGCAGCTACAGCTGTCAAACGGAATGTTCAATTTAAACCATAAAAATACACATGTAGGAATTTAAACGGGTTTACAGAGAGTTAATAAAAAGTGGAATTATCTCTTTTCCAGGACATTTGAACAAAAATATAATTTCTCTCTCATTTTCCAAGCCCTGGTTCCAGCTGTTTTCCCCGACAGCCGAACGCCAAAATCCCTTTCAGAAATCGGAGAATTTAAGGTTTCCCTTTGGCAATGTCTGAGTAAAACATGTCAATAATTCTATTTCACCGTCATTACTGTTCCATAAAAGGATAAGCTATATTTCGGCTTGTCCATAACACAGCATACGAAAATATTTTCGTTCAGATTTCGACTTCTCCGATGGGATCGGCTATCTCCGGTCACCGCTCAGTGGTAAGGACCATTATTACTACTCCGAACAGATGGAGGCTGTGAAAGGAAAAATGTTCCTCAAATAAAACCTCTTTTTACAGGACTGAATAGCTCGCTGAGTGAAGGAGCAGACGAATATTTATGACTACAAAGCATGAGGGAAAGAAACAATATTTTTTGTGTCCGTGAAAGTCTACAGCAAATGAAGAACCGATAGTTGTTTTTAGAAGACTTTTGTTGAGCTACCGCTTACCGAGGGAAGCGCAGGGCAGCAGGGACGCAGATTCCGTCTCAGCCGCTCCGTCCATCCAGAGGTAACGGAGGACTGGTGTAACTGCAACGCACAGTTGCATTACGTTACATGTCAGAGGTGAGGGTTAGCGTGAAGGTGAAATCCTCCCTTTCTCCTACTGCTTCTTGTCTTATTTTCTTTATTTTGAGGCGTTTTCATGACATTAGTTTATCTTCTCCACGGCGACTTCCACTTCCGCATCTTTGTGGTGACGTAGCAAAGACGTATGGCGACGTCAGACCGGGAGGACCCCACCAGATGTTGAATCCTGTGCGTTCACACACGCACGCACATTTTTTTAGCAAGTTAAAAATATTTGTTGTCATAAGATTATTTGTGTTAATAAAGTAAATGCTTTCTGATTTGGTGCAAAAAAACATATTTGGTCGCTATCAAAAGAAGACTGTCATCGCTTCTGCACAGAAGAATCGAGACAACTCAGAATTATGTAGAGATTTGCAAATAGTTTCAAACCAATCATTTAGATTTATCATTAAATCTCGGTGTGTGTGACAAAAAAAGCCTGCTGAGTCACAGTCAATGTGTATTCCTGATAAACTGACCCAGAGTGATCTTGCAAATAAATGTTTAACTCCGCCCCTCCCCTGCAGTTGGCCATGATTGGTTCCAACGCTTCAAGTGACCCTTAGAGGAATAATGTGTTTGTGGCCGCAAAAACTACTGTTCTCCAGCAGATGGCAGAACTGCAGCGCTTTTCTATTTTGGGTCATACTTCGGTAATTTAACATGAATTCAAATATTTTACAAATAAAATAATAAAAATAACAATTCATTAAAAGTTTGTTGGTACATGGATTTAAATAAATTATTTTTTAAATATAAAATTATATTATTATTATGTAAGCAACTTCATCCCTTAATCATTTTTCAGAATATTTTACTTTCAAAATGTCAAGTTTCAAGACGTTTACTTGTAAATATTATTTAAAAAGCAGATCATTTACCACAGTTTCAATTTTTTTTTTACATTCATCAAATAAAAATATTTTAGCAGGTTAAAACAAAATGTTTTACGCCTCACTAAGAAAGACATCTTACTCAAAATCAAATTTGTATTCCAGCTTAATTTACACAATACATATATAACAATACATTCATACAAGAAAAAACAAGTTCTCTTTGACATTGCTCTTTCACTAAAGTAAACACAAAGAAACATCAAAATACTTTAACAAAAGTAAAGAAAGATGAAAAGCATGTTTTATTTTTTCTAATTGCTATAACTGCTTTTTTTAACAGGCCATGTTTTATAACAGCAAAATAAGTATTTCTCATTTATATTAAAATAGCTTCTTTCTGGTTTTTGTTCTATTTAGTTTAGTAATTTTTACCAGCTTCTGTTCAATTTCACTTCACTAGTGCAAAATCTAAATCTTGTCATGTTAAGGATTTAAAGGAATATGGGAAATTCCAGTTTCTGTTTCATAATTTTCTCTTTGCGTGTTCCTGTAAACTAGACATGGTTTAAAAATACCTTTGGTGAGTTTTTTTTTGTTATGGTAAATTTAGTTCAAAATGTTAAAAAAACAGTCTAGCTTCAGAATAAAATTACAGCTTTTAACTAAAATGTAAAAGAACATTTACATAAATATTTTTTGACATTATTCAAGTGAAAAAACTATTTGGGCCTGACGGGAAAGAAATGTGCTTTTTCTTCTCTGTTAACGTGTGGTTTGCCAACCATCTATTACAACTGTAATGATGATTGAGTCACTGATTGGCCAGAGCAGGCTCCACATCTTCTTCCATTGGTTGGCTGCCAAAGCCACTGTCTACGGTGGCATCTAATTAGAACAACAAGAATTAGTGCATATATCAAAAAAGAGTTATTTAAACACATTTAAAAGTTGCTTGAAAATGTAAATCACAATTTTTTAATACGATTTTATATGAAATAGTTACTATCCATACCTGTGCTGAGTTTGTCGTCATGCAGCTGTGAGCGACGCAGCAGAAGAACGCCATCCGACAAACCAAGCGACTGCAGGGCTTCTACCAGTGTGTCCACTGCACCGCCCCCTAACTGTCAATAAAAGAAGTAAAATACATTTTTTTTACCATGTTAAAGACATTTTATCCATAAAATGAAATGCAATGTTTCTTGTTTTTATAAGTTTTATTTTATCCTTTATATCGCACTGCGACCTCGTGTTAAATTTGTGATTCCAACCTATAAGTTACCTTGTAGTGCTGCAACAGATGATGACACGGCGTTTCACTCTCCTGGTAAAGGTGAGTCAGCGTTTTCATCCCCAATTTTTCGGCGAGGTTCCTCCAGGAGACGTCGTTGACACTCAAGACCTCCACCAGGCGAACTAATGTTTCCTCAATCCATAAAATGAAATGCAATGTTTCTTGTTTTTATAAGTTTTATTTTATCCTTTATATCGCACTGCGACCTCGTGTTAAATTTGTGATTCCAACCTATAAGTTACCTTGTAGTGCTGCAACAGATGATGACACGGCGTTTCACTCTCCTGGTAAAGGTGAGTCAGCGTTTTCATCCCCAATTTTTCGGCGAGGTTCCTCCAGGAGACGTCGTTGACACTCAAGACCTCCACCAGGCGAACTAATGTTTCCTCATCTAACGACGAGGACGGGGCTGATGACTTAGTGTCTGGTAATGACATCACAGGCGTCAGAATGACATCACAAACAAGATGAAGAAAGAGGCCTTCTGACCTCTGACCCACCTTCACTACTGCTTGCTTTCATCCTCTTGTTGATGTGACGACTTGGCTTTGGACTCTGTCTTGAAGTTAACAGGTTCCTCACCTGAGGACACAAGGAAATAAGGAGGTCAGGAGGTTCATGAAGGAAGTATAGGAAGAGACAAGACGATGAAAAGATGAGAGAACGAGGAGGAAAAATGAAAAGGAGAAAATTGGGAAATGAAAGACAAGAATTTAATGAGACGATGGAACGAGGAGATTTAGATAAAGACAGAGAGAATCAGGGACATCTAAGAAGACATGACATGTAAACCAAAGCCATCATGGTGACATCACTACCTTTTGGCACCTGGCGAGGTCCAAGGGTGTGTGGCCTGCTCGTCTCTTCCGTGCTGTGATTGGCTGTGTGGCTGAGGAGGCGGGGTCAGGGACATCATCTTCCTCTGACGAGTCACTGACGAGAGGCTCATCGTTCTCCATATTTCTATCAGCTCCTGAAAAAAATCACCACATAAACAGCATTATTTGAGTGCACGTGAGCATATCTGTGTGTGTGTGTGTGTGTGTGTCCATTGATGAGTGTGTGACCTGCAGCGATGAGCATGGAACAGAGGGTGGGGGAGCCCAGACTGGAGGCCAGGTGCAGCGGGGTGTTTCCTCCAAACGTACATGAGTTTACATCTGCTTTTAACTGAAAACACACAACACATGTTCTCTGAGTTTGTGTGCTTGTGTGTGTGTTTGTATGTGTTGTAAAAACAAAGAGACAAGTCAGTCAAGTCAGTCTAATGTGTACATAACACCGTACCTCAGTGATTAGTGTACAAGCCACCTTGAAGAGGTCGTCTCTGACGGCGAGGTGCAGTGCTGTGTGACCGCTCTTTTGCTCAGGAGTATTGATCTTGGCTCCGCCTTCCACCAGAAGGCGGAGACAACGCTCGCCGTCTCTCCTCACTGCCAGGTGCAGAGGATGGAGACCTGTCGGGACACAGGGACACAGAGAGGTCACCACATGTTACAATGAATGAATGAATACCTAACCAAAGGTCACCGTTGCTCACCATGGTAGTCGGGTGTGTTGACCAAGTAGGCGTGGCTTTCCCCTAGGTGAGACAGCAGGGGGCGAAGTGTTGCATTGTCTCCAGCCAATGCCGCTAGGTGCAGCGGGCTACGTCCATCCTTGTCTAACAGACTGGGATCAGCCCCTACCCTCAACAAGGCCTCCACCACCTTCGCCTGCCGAGTGATCACCGCTAGATGGAGAGGAGTCTAAAAATTGGACCAGAGGAGAACAGTCAGTAACATGTTGGTAATATGTCGTCAGCCTCATGACACTCTGTACGTTTATATAACAGGGCAGTAGAAACAGTGACAGGAACTTTTGGCCAGTTACACCGGTCATGTGACCTGTGGAGAGTCAGTGGGCGGAGCAGGCTCACCTGCTGCAGTTGGTTAGTTGTGTTGAGGATGTCTCGCTGTTCGCTGCTGAGCAGAGTCTGGATAAGCTGCTGGACCACGCCCACCTGCTGGTGGATGATGGCCAGATGCAAAGGACTGTGGGAATACACAACAATCAAAAAGTCAGACTTCAGCAGTGGCAGTGCCCTCTGCTGATCCAATGTGGGTAAGACTCACGTATCGCCATTTGTATCCTGGACTCCGCACAGGTGTCTCTGCAGGGTCAGCAGCACCCGGGGGTTTCCAGTACTGCAGTATTCCAGCAGGGCGGCAGCAGCGTGTCGAGCATTTGCAGAGGCACGATTGCGCAGAGAAGAGGCTGAAAAAATAGAGAAAAACACGTCAGATGCTGATTTCACAGTGTTGTCCAAGGTCACATGACCAGTTACATGATGAAGAATCCAGAACTCACCGATGTGAAAAAGCTGCTGCTGAAGTGGGGACGTAGTCTGGGAGGAGGACCCTGACATCTGAGTCCCACCTCCTCCACCACCATTGCCAAAACCTGTGAAACCTCCAGTAAAGAAAAGTCCTCCCCCTCCGTTCATCTGCGTATTAAACTGGTAACCTGCAGGATGTCAACGGTACTGCAGGTCATTACCTGGCTCACTTCTCCTCTCACTTTATTATTACCAGTGATCATAAAGAGGCTGTGAGAAAGAAGTCATACAGTGATGATTCTGGTTACACTACGTTATCTTTTCACCTCCTTCTCCAGCTCCACCTCCTCCAAAGCCACCTACTCCTCCTCCTCCCCCTCGGCCTCCCCCGCGGCCTCCTCTCCACGGTTCATAGTGCGGCAGAGGCTTCAGCTTCTTCCTCAGAACTTCCTCTTTGTCTAACAGAAAACACAAACATATATATTTTGTTTAAAAAAAAGCCATCTCATTGTATAGATGACCTTTGACCTAGTACTCCTGTGACTGACCCTGGACCTGTGGGATGTAGGTGAATTGTTTTGGGTCGCTGCTATCTCCTGCCTTCTTTCTCTTCAGCTGCAAGAAGACAGTAACGGGGCGTTCAATCTCCAGGCTGTGATATGGAGGCGTTTTGAACACGATGGCGTACTAATGTAGACCGAGAGAGAGAGAGAGAAAGAGAGAGAGAGAGACATGTGAGACATCTGTCAATGCACAAAAATGTTGACTGTTGACTTTCATTATAGAACCAGACAGACCTAGACCTAACGCTGACTAAATCTTTAACCCACCAAAACAAAGTCTCCTCAAAACAATATTATTTGTATAATAATGTCCCCTCAAGTATAGCTATACCAGGTGTACACATACACACACACACACAAACCTGTTTATGCACATCAGTAGGTGAAAAGTCTCCAAATGCCTCCCATCCTCCGTCCTCATCCTCCTCGTAGAAGCGAATCTCAATGTCATCTATGACGGATCAACTCAGATTATTACTCAGATTATAATTACGTAGATGTTCTCACTGTTTCGCCACTCGCTGCGGTGAATCATCCCAACCTTTCTGCACTTTGTCGCAGAGCAGGAAAATCTCGTCTCCTCCCAGTACAGAGCCACACGTCTTGTCCAAACGAGAAATTTTCAGGTTGGAGGCGTTAGGAGATTCTGAGAAAAAAAAAAAAAGTTGTCAAGACGTCCAGACTCTTCCCTCTGATCTGCCCAACTGTCAGGAACCTGACAAGGACTCACTGCTGTCGTAGATGGGGTTGGAGACCACAGGTTTGAGGGCCCGGGTGAATCCTCCATTACTGTCCTGCAGGAAGGCTGTGAACTTTAACCTGACGATATTCAGGTCCATCACCTTCCCCAGCTCCTTCGCCTCCTTCATACATGCTCCCTCCTCCTCATCTGTGAAATCACAGTGACGTCATTACACTCGCTAAAACCCCACAGACACTCCAACCACGCCCCCTGTGGTTTGTTCACGTACCTGTCAGAATAGAGTGTGGTCCTTTCTGCCTCTTCCTCTCATCTTTCAATCTCTTGCACAGAATTTCGACGACCCCCTTTTTGGTCACGTGTAGAATCCCCAGGTTACTAAACCTGCAGGAAGTGACATCATCATGTCGTCATTTCATAATACAGATCAGCTGTTTTTAATTCAACTAAATCTATTTGTTATAATTCAATTATCATCTGCAGACGAGATGTTGTTACTTACGAGGCCGTGAGGTCATTAGGACCTATATCCAGCGTGCACGTGCCCTTCTCAGTGCAGTGTCGTCCCACCAGGCTGTGGGCATGGACCCTGGGAGGGTCCGTGTGGGTCACCAGTTGGACCTCCACCCGGGCATGACCCACATAGTTGTTGATCTAATCACAGCAGATAAATAAACTTCAGTAATCAGTAAACAGTGAACTCATTTAAAACAACACTGTAGTAGTGTTTGAGTGCTTTAAATTCTTTGTTTCAATTTAAGACAACGACATAAACTGACCACACGAGGAAGCACTAAACCAAAATCTGTATCCATGAAATCTTAAATCACAGTTTTTTTTTTCCAACCACTTTGTTGTGGAAGGTTTTTATCTCGTTGATGATGTCATTCACCTTAACAGTCGGATACGTTCTTCTGTTCTTTTCACTGGAGGCACCGGGCAGACCACCATGAGACGGACCCTCACACTCATAACGGAAACGAAAGCCCCTCTAGTAACACACACACACAGACACACAAACTTTACTTTAACTCTTTCAACGTGAGGGGAATCAAAGACAGGGCAGGACCCCGTGTCCTCACCTGTTTGGGTTCTTCAATGATCTGGACGTATGGACCATGAGCTAAAACACAAACACAGATCTTTGTTAATCATACTCAGCTTGTAACAGCGCCCCCAGGCTGAAGCTGCTTCACGTTCCCAGGGCTAGAACTTCAGTTTTTCTTGACATATAGAAAATACATCTATACATCTAAACTTAAAGTACAAAGTATTCTTAACACAAAAAAGGTGAATAATTATTATCAAATTCGTCAACAAAATGATGCGCACCAGTCTCAGGTATGTAGGGTTCAGTCTTGATGTCCACAGGAGGGATGTAGTCGTATGGTACCAGATTCAACGGGAACTAAAGAAGCACAATAACAAAAGAAGATTACTTATTTGTTTAAATAATATATATGTACAGTATACACACACACACACACACACACACACACCTATATATATTTAAACTATCACTGCAAAATAAATAAAACAATTCTTAAGTCCTGTTAGATTGAAAACAGCTTTGGTGAGATGGAATAAAAACTCACGTCATTGTCATATGTGTTCATGAACTGAGCTTCACTCATCCTGGAAAACAAACAAACACACAAACAATCATGAGGTGTGTGTTCCTAATTTTACAAACAGTACAGATCAAAACTGATCAAAAATAAATAAATACTTTCACAAAAGAATAAAAGTCTTCTTGTTCTTCTTCTGCTCTCTATATGTCAGTCTTTCTCTCTTCATTTCACTGTCTTTCTTTCTGTTTCTCAGTCTCTCTCTCTCTCTCTCTCTCTCTCTCTCACTGTGATGCTGTCATCACCCTCCCTTGCCTCGCTCTGTTTTCAGTCACTTCCTGGAAGTGGCCAGTGAGGAAAACCCCCAGAATTCCAGATCAGTACTGGAGTGGGAGGAGCTTGATGTGATAATGTCACTGCTGCTACTGAGAGACAGAACACACACGTCTCTGTTGTTACAAAAAACATTAAAACCAAAAGAAAATATGATTCAACAAAATCCCATCTTTTTCTCTCGCTCTGATTCATTGTCTGTCATACTGGCATTATGTTCCAGTTCCTCTGAATTCTGTCTGTCTCAGATCTGACTCTATATCGTCAATTCTGTCCCTAGAATTTATTGACATTTAACCCGTGGCAGAAAAACCCCAGGGGAAGTTTAAGATTAGCAAAAGTCCACATAGATGACTTTCCTGAAAGACATTCACTTGTTTTTCTGGGTTTGTACTCAGTAGCAACACCTGCTGTACAGAACAAACCTGGGTCAGAGTTACAAAGAAATTCAACTAGGAACAAGACATTGTGCAGTATTTACATATTTTACTGATTCATGTGTTGGGAGTTAAAACCAATTCCCCTCCTTCTGGTGTTACTAACAGAACACCTGAATGACCTTTGCGCTGCTAAAAAAAAGATAACCTATTCCTTGAGCTGCTTTAAGCAATTAAAATTGTCCTAATGTGACGATAGCCAAGCAGAGTAATCCTACTATTACTGACAACAAATTGAAATAATCCTCTTTAGTGACAAACACTCTGGATTGTTCCTAATCATGCTTATAGTAGATAAAGATACTTAATCCTAGTGTTGCTATTAAGAGATTATAATGATCCCAGTGCTATCAACGATGGAAACATGATAACCACAGTTAGAAATCTAACCTGAACACCGCGCTCCTTGAACCTTACAAAACAATTGAATTTCTGCTTTCAATAATCTTACTTATTTGTTATTTTGTTGTTGTATTAACTATAGCACTGTTAAAATCACTTTAAAATATTCCGTGTGCTAAAAAAAAAAAAAAACCAACAGGAATAATTTTAGTACTGGATTCTAATGATGCTAACAGCTAAAGCTAAATCCAGGGCTCCTTAATAACTATTATTGTTTTGCTGTTAAATATTGTATATTGTCTGCCACTACACAAGGCAAGTCCTGCTTCATGATCACATGACTGTACCTCAGAGCTCCGGCCATGATGATTATGCAGAACAAGGAAGAAGAAGATGTATCTTCTCCCTTTTCCTAATTCCCGTTCAAGAATTTCCTGGCAAACCTGTTAATAACAGCATGTGACAAGTTTGGAACTTTGATAAGGGAACTCCCTCCTGTTCCACTTGAGAGCTTACTTTACCAGACTAGCTATGCTAAGTCAATGATAAGATATGTTGACATAAAAATGTTGTGTATTGTTATTCCAAGCTGGATTTCAAGAAGTTTTTAAAACTGACACTAACCCAGTGACAATTTTGTCAGTGGTCTTGTCATAATTTTTGTTGAATTATTGAATTATTAACCTAAAATACACCTAAACCCATGAACTCAACTGGAAAAAGACATCTGCAGTTTGACCAACATAATTTACCTTCTGCTTCAGTGAGTGGTTTATTATTATATAAACATGCAACTGCTATTAAGTCAATGGACTTTATACTTAATGATCAGAAGAGGTTAGTGATCCGCAGATGTTCACAACTCGGCTGGGATTGATTTGAATATCAATTATATTATATATATATATATAATTTGCACACGCTGAAAATAAAAACAAGAATAAATATAGGGCTCTAAATACTAAGAAACTATTTGATGCAAAAATGTGAAAGTACATCTTATTAAATCTTATCCCTGCAGCCACAGCCGACAACTAAAACACCAATAGAAAATCAATGCTAACACCTACACTATACACCAAACACTAAAACTGAAACTCAGCTCTCAAGAAAAACTGAACAGTCTTATGGTAACAACGGCTAAACCCTAGAACTGACGCAAAAAGCAGTTATGACTCATTCAAAATCAAATCCTGAAACATTTATATCAACCCTTTGCACTCACCCATTAACTTGAACTCCTACAAACTTAAATGATTAAAATATTCTAATCCACACTGAAATAAAGACTTGAATTTGAGCCTTTGAGGAGCCAAGAATAGAAAACACAGTTGGAACACATTGTGACCAAGAAGATCACTTTAAAACCAGCATAATTCAATTTATTACATAAATTAAGATCGGCCACAAAACATCACTTTAAGATAGATACACTAACACCTAAACTGAATTAAAACTTTACGTAATATTTTAATTAAATGACAAAACGTTTCATTTAATTCCTCAATCCATTAGTGAAATAAAATCCTAAAACTAAATTCCCTTTTTTAGATAAACACAATTCAGCCTAAAGACTCGCCTTGGACGTGACGAACTTTCCTATAAAATTAAACTTGTTAAGTTCGTCCCTAAACTGTCATTGCCTTATTTCATAACCGTGAACCAAGTTGGTGTTTAGAATAGCCATCGTCGAGTTAACTAAAACCAGATTTTTCACTTTACAGAGAGACACTATAGTTCTTAATTTAATGCGCAGAATAACCCTATTTTATTGCGTATACATATTTCTGAAAGTTTACATTAAGAATGTGACATTAGAGTTAAATGTTATCTACCTTTAGCCGTTCAGTTCTTCTTCTTCTGCCCCAACAAAAACACTGAAATAGAAAAAAATACGCACCAAAACTGCTAACGTATAGCTGATATAATTTCCTGTTTAAGAGTTTCAGAATAAGTCTATACACGTAAGTATTTTAATGACCCCCGCAAAATGTATCACATCTAGATATACGTGTACCTTCACGGATTTAAACCTACTTTTAATACAATTCTAAAAGACAACTTTATCTCCACAGTCTTAAAGTAAATTTGCAAGAAAAAAAAATAACGTAGTGGAACCACCATTACATTTGTTCAGTTTTATTGATTTTTTCCTGGGGAGTTTGTATGATTAAAATTAACAATGTTTAACTAAAATATTGAGTTTTAAAGTTGAGCTTTCTTTACTTCTGCGTTAGTATATTTTAACAGAACACTTGGTTTTATGGTATTTTTATTTAACTTATTTTGAAAATATCTCGTCCAAACCAGAAGTAGCCTGAGCTCTTTCTGACTCGAATTGACAGTGTTGTTATGGCGACATTCTGTCAGAGCGGAAAACCCCTAAGTTGCGGGGAATTCCGTTACCACGTGACCAATTCTTCCAGGCGATTGGTCATTTAAACCTGGTAAACCACGCCCACTTGGTTCACACAAAACGCACACAGTAAAAGTCAACACACGTGTATTCTAAGCTTATTTACAAGCAAGGTTTATTTATTTAATTTGTTTAATCAAATACTCAATTGTGCAATAAAAGATTTTTTTTCTTTTCGTTATGGTTTTCGTTTTTTTACTAAATGACGTGTTTTTTAAAATATTAGTATCTTTAAAAAACGCAAAGAAGTAAGAAAGAGACAGTGTTTAAAAGGCTAATTTAAACACTATGAAGTTAAAACCTATTCACAGAAAATAGTAGGAGCTACGTAAAATAAATGGTTAACAATCTGATTTACATTTCATTAAAATCCAGGAAAATAATTGAAAAATATCAAATTTATATTGACATCATGTGACCATGTTAAAATCCAACCAACCAAAATTGCTAGTTTGATATGTAAAAATTGCCAAAAAAACAAACAAACAAACAAAAAAAAAAACAACCAACGAATTAAAAGGTAAAGTAACTACTGTCCGTCCAGGAACCATTCTACAGATTCAGGAAAACAATTGGTTTGTAAACCTTCTTTCATTAGCTCTTAAGTATATTTTACAAAGCAGCTAAAGTATGTAATGTTGATTTTCTGCCTTTTTTTGGAGTTTAATCATCAATTACAGGATCTTCATGCTAACTATTTCTTCTTCCAAGATATGTTTACTTGGTCACATGTCAGTCTTTTTCCCTTTTCACATTTGATTGGTTGTCCACTGTCATAACCATGGTCCGTTAAAGTGCAGCTCTCTCAAAATAATAAGGTCCATTCTCTGTTGATGCTGGAGGTAAAAGTGCACCATGAGTTCTATTAACCCCTCTTCAGTTCCTCCCAGTTCCATGTAGCTCTCCAACCAAGCGATGTCTAGGTTGGTCAGCTGGTTCGCAGGCGGCAGTCGTCCTATTGGTAGCAGGATGTAAAAAGACGGACCTAAAAAGCACACAGACAAAAACATCATTTACTGCAGCTATAGCAGTTTTTAAAGTAGAGTAGCAGTACACTGTTTTTGTATTAGTTTAGTGTTTCGAGTTTCGACCATAGTCGAGTTTTCATTTGCCTTTTGAAAGTTTGTTGTTAAAAAACAATATTTACAATTTCTAGGAATATGTCGTCCATCTCCTCTGTTATCCATCTAAAATGCAGCTAGTCCACTTTTGCAACCAAATGCTGCTGAAGGCCCGACAGAGATGTAGCGGTTGTTGTTGTTTCTGTTGCACTTCCAGGACGGTCAACATCCATATTGTTGCATTTCTGCCTGTTTCTTCTTTCTTCTTTCCTTCTCATCTTTCCTCTGCACCACCGTGGCTCTGGCTTTACAGCTGATAATGATGGCGTTTAAAGGCAGTTTACGTATGTAATGTTGCATTGCTGCCCTCTCCCGGATTTAGCCAACCATTACATATGCCCTTCCTACCGATCCTAGTGACCTTTGTTTCAGATAACTCAGAGAAAAAAAAAGAGCCGTAATCACAACGTTAGGTAACGGGCCTTTGATCTGTTGTGATGTCATGAGTCTCACTGATGATCAAACCCGATGATGTCATCATCAGGTTTAAGGTGCAGGTGAAGAACTTGCATTGTTGATGCCAAAAGGCAGTAATGCAAAATTGCTTCAATTTATTTCGGGCAAGTGTTATGTAGAAATACTAAACTAATAATTAAACCACAGGATCAGCTGATCAGAGGGTCATAGGTTCAAATCCTTCTGTGGTGCATCCAGCCTGACTGACTGACTGATTCATTACATGTGAGCGATGTGTACATTCTCTATATCCACTGCACACTTGACGTACAGTAAATATATTAAACCCATCCCTGGGGTGCAGTGGATTACCTCAGAAGCAACATACCACAGTCAGGGCAGGACTTGAACCTGTGACACTCCCTGTGTGGGTTCAGGATTAGGATTTCAATAAATAAGTGTTGGTTTAGGTGAACCAAAGGTTACTGTGATTGTTATTTCAGATTCTTTTGAGATTGTTAAATTGTGCTCTCTCTCTCTCTCTCTCTCTCACCCTCAAACACACACACACACACACATTTTGCAGCGATATCATTAAAACACTGAGTGTAAATTAGTGAGCAGGTGCTGGATTCCTCACACAGGTGATTTGGAGCCCGTCTTAGAAACTCAACCAGCACATGACATCACATGACACATCATCAGCTGTGAAAATGTGAGCCAAGCAGCGACTGGTGTCAGGACACTGCAGCAGGTCTCTGGGACAGGAGCACGTAGTCTGCCACCGTTCACCATGACCTTTCAATCGAAAGAAATGTCTGCCTCCTACTGGTGAAACGGTGGAATGAATATGCAGTTCATTGGGAGACTACTGGGTTTATTATAATCTAGTTGTTTTCTTATTTGTCTTTACCTTTTTGTGATTCTCTGTGTGTGTTGTCATTACTGATCACTGATATATTTTTTTTTTTTGCTGCTGCTGCAGTCTATAATGTTTTCATGTATCCTGAAGAAAAAGTGGATCTAAAAATAGACGGGCGCCAGCCCAGTGTGTGTGTGTGTGTGTCTGTGTGTGAGTGCTTGTCTTTTGCTGAGTCACACTTGGGTTCTTGTCAGGAATACCTGCTCAGTCTCCTATACCAGAGTCTATAGATTATATCACTGATTTTAGTTGACAGGGACAGAGCATGTGTTGGTCGACTGATGCCTCGTGTGGTCACTGTGAGGGATTGAGGTAAATCTAGAAAAAACACTTTATTACAATGCATTAAAACACTGTAAACACAGGATGTTTACGCAGTACTGTATGTAATAAAGACAAGGAAGAACTGGCAAAGGAGTATTATGGCATAATTGGATTAAAAAGAAACAGAAAAATCAAAAAAGTCGTTGTTTTTTTTTTACATGTATGAGTTAAGGCTTTGATGTTTACTAACTAACTTGTCATTCAGCTGAAGTGCCTCTCTGGCAGCCATGTTTGTACTGGGAGTCAGCCTCTGAGTGTCAGGATGGTTTTAAGAGTAGGGGGCGCTAACAGTGCAGTCACAACTGTCACTTTGACTTGTTACTGTTTCTTGGCGTCAACCTGCTAACTTCCATCCATCCCTCTCTCTCTCTCTCTGTGTCCCTACCTCGCTCTACCACTCGATTCAGCCGCATAATGTTTGTTTCAGTGCTTTAGTGTTAATGAAACAAACAAAAGTTGTTACTTTAATTTATTTGTCCATCCAATTCCAGGAAGGGCTCTCTCTCCCTTTCTCTCTCCGTCTTTCCGTCGCTCTCTCCCTCTCATGTGCCCTCTCTCCACCCCTTTTCTCTCTCTGTCTCTCTCTCTCTTATCCATTAGCAAAAAGAACAGATCGCTGGCAGACAAGAGGAGACAAGACACCAGAGCAGAAGACAGAGAGAGAGGAAACTGAGAGTAGAAGAACAGAAAGGGAGGAAGGAGAGCAAAGCATCATGGACGTTTTTAAGAAGGGATTCTCCATGGCCAAGGACGGCGTAGTGGCTGCTGCCGAGAAGACCAAGGCAGGAGTGGAGGAGGCCGCAACCAAGACCAAGGAGGGGGTCAAATATGTTGGTGAGAGGACGGATGAACCGACGGATGAATGGGTGAAAAACTGAACCAACCAAACTTCAGTTTATTCTGAAGTTTGAGTCAAATGTGTGGCATGGAGAAACTGAACAGGTGGAACCGGAGAAAAAAGATGTAGAGAGGATGAGACAGATCAAGAGAGAGAGAGCGAGAGAGAGAGAGAGAGAGGTGGGGAAGGGTGAATGAAAACCTGCTGATGAAGAAGTCCAACATGACATGACATGTAATCAAAGAAGAGGAAGAGCGAAATTCTACACCTAACAGAGCGGGATGAGACGGAAGAAAATGGAGTTAACTGAGGAGGATGGGAGGAAGGGAAGTAGCACGGAGGAAAAGAAAATCAAAGATTGAAAAGGGGAGAAAGAAAAAAAGAAATGAGGAGGGAAGGAAAGAAAATGAATATAATGAAGAGAACAAAGATAAAAGATAAGGGAAAGATGGAGGGATGAAGGGGGAGAAATGCTAGTGGGAAAACAAGAAGAAGAAAGGGAAGGACAGAGGGATATGGGAGGAGTAGGAGGAGGCGGAGGAGGAGAAGCAGTCCTGAAATATTAAAATCACCTCCAGAGATGAGGAAAATGCAATTCATGGTGACTCAACACAATAAGGAAGGATGGATGGATGATGGATGGATGGATGATGGATGGATGGATGGAAAATCTAACCATTTTGCCAGCATTTGAGAAAATGTTTCCAAATAACTTTCCTAACAATTTACTTTCAACAATTAGCTTTAGCTTTCACTAATTACTAATAACTTTGTTCTTCATTTAATCATCATTTTCCTTTGTTTTTTTTGTTTTTGTTTTTTTGTTATTGTTGTATAGTATTAAACTAAGGATTTTCTGGGGCAACAATTGTCATCTTATTTTTTTTAAACTATTTTATTTTCTTCTGGATATTTGTAGGCTAACATTTAACAATTGTTTTATTACTTTATGAGCTAACATTTTAACCTTGACTGTTTGCTATTCAGGCCCGTCTGAAAGAACATGTCATGTAGTGTACAAGCAACACGATGTTTTGGTAATTACACATATCTCCGCTAGAGGGAAACAGATGGTGCAAACTGGAGCTTCAGAAGTTTGTTTCTTAGAAAGAAGGAGGCTTTTCAGAAAAACCAAACAATGACTCTGTTCAGTCACAGCCGTCACATGTGAGAGCAGCAGATCATATCGGCCCCGCCCCACTCCTCCACATGTAATGCTTGCATGAACAATAACAAACGCTGTGATACACAAGAACATCAATGACAGTGAAGCTAATAAACAACAGTGCTGCTTCAAAGGAACAGTAACAGAGACTGGTTCTTGAGGGTAACCTGATGACAGCTGCGACGGGACAGACAAGCAAAATGAGAAAATCCTAAAAAAATGAACATTGAATAAAGTGCTGTTTTTCCCACAGGAAACAAGACGATGGAGGGCGTGGTCACTGGAGTCAACACAGGTAAACAAATCTGGATCATGTGACATGACGTGGTACAGACAAGGTATGACAAGAAACAAAAAAACAATGTCTATAGCTTAGGTTATTAACCCCGTTAATACATATAAACACCGCCCCCTAGTGGCTGGTGTATTCTAATTCATGCCCCTGACCCCACCCAGGTTAGCACTGTAGAATTTACGTCAAACTGTTATTGCAGCAACATTTTAAAAACTTTTTGATTCCAGTTGCTCAGAAAACTGCGGAACAGGCGAATGTTGTCGCCGACACTGCGGTTACCGGAGCCAATGAAGTTGCACAGGCAGCAGTGGACGGAGTCGGACAAGCGGCTGTATCCAGCGGATTTGTTAGCACGGTAGGAGTCCTGTCATGTCTCTAAACTTAAAGTACTTTTTATTTTACACTTTTATTAAACAGTAATCACAAACATTCTACACATTTTTAAAGTTTGAAGGTTTTGAGGAGGAAGTTGTAGGTTTTAGTGACATCTAAAGGTAACAACAGGAACTCTTCTCATCTGTATTTGTTGATAACTATTTTTGTCTTTATGCCCTAATATCTGGTGTCTGATTGGCTGGGGACAGGAGGAGACGGGACCAGTTGCTGCAGAGGTGCTGAAATGGTTGAGGGTCAATGTGGGCGGGGCATGTTTAGCAAATAACTGCATGGTTTGTTCACTGCCTGAGATCGCAACGTTTGACTTTAGACGACATCTTAGTGATAACTTCAGATAAACAAAGGCTATCAAACAAAGAAATAAAATCACTCTTTCTGATCAGTACTGACGCAAAAGTTCATTTGGAACATAAGGAAACAAGGAAACAAAGCATAATATACCTTTTCAAAATAAGAGACAAAAAAGATTTTTCTAACTAACAGTAAAGTTGTGCTTTCCTAGTTTGACTGTTAAGATTGAACTAACTTTAACTCGCTCACAGGGTCAAAATTTTTTGCAAACCTTTTTGTAGTTAATTTTGTATGTAATTCTTTCAGCAACATGAGTCAACTTTATGCATGCGTTTGTCCGTCTGTACAGTGTTTGGCTACATTTGAGTTAGCGTTGGACTCATTGGACAGTTAATGTTTATACATGTGTAACTCAGTTCTAGGTTCGACTTCATTTCTTCTTACCAACGTTTCCTCTGATGTTTGGCTTTTTACTTACTTTTCTTTATCACTTACTCTAGTTAGCGCTTGACTTAAAAGAAACCTCTATGCTCCTCTTTGTCTATCGCAAAGCAGTTTAACTTCGCAACGTGTGTAAAAATGGGACATATTTTAACAAAATGTTTAATGTCATTGGACAACGTTCGTTTGGTGGCTGGCTTCTGTGTTTCTGTCGACTCTTCCTGAAAACAAATCCTGAACGCAGCTTTCATAACCCTGTTCTCCTGCAGCCAAAGACCTGTTTGTTTTATTGTCATGTTCTCTACTGCGTCATAGACTGTAAATGAAGATGATACAGATCATAAATGTATATCTATAATCTTAACGCTCCAGTACGAACGTGTCTTTAAAGTGTCACGTTTTTATTCTATTTAAGGATTTATCTGGGGTCATCATTATTTACAGTGTATTGAAGATTAAATATAAGCTTGGTTTTAAGATGGCTGTGTGACCCATGCTGACGCTCCCCCTACAGGCTGACCTCGAAAAGACAGAAGAAGCAGCAGCAGCAGCAGCAGGAGAGACTGAAGCCTCGGCTCAGTAGGTGAGTCAAACATAGAATGAAAACAATAATAAAATACAATTCTTCTCAATCATCTGTTTAAAAAAGAAATTCTGTTCTTTTTTTCAGACTTCAGATGCTCCACTGGGTTAAATCATAAAAAACTCCTTCTGACGTCCATCTCATGATATTCTGCAATATTATTTACTGAGCTTGAATTAACCATATTAACCAAAAGAACCATGTATACCATAATATCTATCAGACTCTCTCAACAACACACGCCCACAGATTGTTTTTGTTGTTTTTTTGTTAGCATTTTACATGCAATAATGCACTCCCCTAACCCTTTACCTTACTACTACAAATGTATGCCTTATGTCAATACTCGGTCACTTCTCCTATTATGTGATCCTAATATTAAACATACAATCTGACTCAGTGGGGATCTGCAAAAGGTCCCTACGAGGACATAGTATTCCTGCAATATTAATGTCTGTTCCCTTTTTTAAAAAGGGGATATTTACCATCATTTACCAGAAAAAAACACACACAAACTAAACCTTCTCTTTCACCTCTCCACTGACTTACCTAACAGATACGAGCCTGGAGGTATTAAAATGCATGGCACTTAACACACACACACACACACACACACACACACATCTGGTTTCTTCTTTTGTAAAGGGAACATGTAATAAAATTGAGTGTCAAATCCACCACTTGTCCCTTCTTTAATTACTAATACTCACCACCAGGGGGCAAAACTAAACGATCCGGTAATATTATTATATTATTATTTTTGACTGTCACAAGGCTGTGGCTACATTATCATGAAAACATTAAAAGTTAGCGTTCTTCTTGCCTTGCCAACAAGAACAGGTGTGGTGTTTGCATGTGCTCTGAATGTAAATGGTTGTTGACAATGGCTCCAGGCTCCCACCCCCCTAAACCTTAGTTAAATAAGAAAGAAATTAAAGCTGCAACAATTTGACTAAGCTAATATTTAAAACTCCTTCAAAACTGTTTTGATGATGATTAAGCTAATGAAGTAAAAGTGGACTGGAAAAAAAAAGTCATTAAATCACGAGGTCTGCAGTGATCACGGACTTATACGCATATTATTGTATGACAAAGTTAGTAAAGATTTCAGAGCAGAAACCTGAAAAGATCTGCCCTCATTGCTTCAGGGTGCAACCCTGAAGAAGGGTACAAAAAACAATAACAATGAAACTGGAAATTCAAGATAAAAATAAAACAAGGCAAAGTTGTCTTCAAAAGGTCTGTCACTTCACAGCGACGTCAAGGCCATTAGTGTTGTGATGAGTCACGCAGCATAGTTTGGATTTGTGCGACGGGAGGAGACGTCAAAAACACCTGTGCAACAGGTTGGACATGTGGGAGCCACTGCTGCCACACCTGATTCCTGCAGAGGGTGGAACCAGAGAGGCATGGCCATAGAAGGCACAGTGATGCCAACTACTGAGTGTTTTTCCAGAAACAAACCCCCAATCCACTCACAGTCAGAAATATCACAAACACACAGGAGGACACGAGGACACAGAAGCAGGAGCAGCAAGAATGGATCAAATATTAGGTGCTTTGGGTGATGATGGAAAGGCCAAGGTGGCAGGAAAAATGATCGGTGAGTGTCGTTGTTTATTAGGGTGAAAATCACCAAACACACAGTGTTGTTACCGTTGTTGGACACTAGGTCTGCGTCATTGCTGTGGCCTTTGGCTGAAACGTTCTCAATGGGCTTCATTTTAGGGATGCTGACAATTTTGAACCTAATATTTAGATAGAGGATAGAAGTACTGAACAAAACATCCCAGAATACTTCAGCACATTTTCTTGGACACCTCCTTTGTCAGTTTGTCACAACAGCTTCAAACTTGGTCAGTAAAGTCAGGGCATGGACATTAAAGATCGATTTAAAACTCGGTGCTCGGTTTGTTTCTGGCAAGGAGTTTCAGCACTCCGATATTTACACAAGCTTTACTGGAAGAGGATTAACTGCAGTAGTATATCTGAGGTGAGCCTTTCAAAAAAAAGGTTTTTTTTAAAAATTATACTTACGGAAAAAAAAGGGGAAACGATGCATAATTTAGAGCGTGTGCAAAAAGGTAGACCTATATAGACCTGAAGAGAATCACACAGAGGGTCTACAGAGCTTTTCAATTCTGCCTTACATCTGCTCACACACATCTGTGGGATTAATGACTGGACCGTCTACGACTGATGGAAACCGCCATGTGAATAAAGGTTCAGGACTGTGATGTCATAAGGTCAACACAAAGGGTGTGTGTTTTGTCCCCGACAGGTGACTTCGTTGGGGACGCAGTGGAAAAAGCCATAAGTGGAGGAGAAAAGAAGGAAGAGGAGAAGGGTGAAGGATTTGGCTTGGGAAACGTCTTATCTGCCATCGGTGGAAACAAAGACGAGAAGAATGACGATGGGTTCGGTGTAGGAGACGCTCTCAAAATGGTCAGCGGAGGCGACAAAGGCGCAGAGGGTGAGTGGTCCAGAACCAGTGGTCTGAAACCAGTGGTCCAGTACCAGTGGTCCAGAACCAGTGGTCTGGAACCAGTGGTCCAGAACCAGCTGTCTGGAACCAGTGGTCCAGAACCAGTGGTCCAGAACCAGTGGTCCCAGTGGGTATGGTGCAAGTGGTCCAGAACCAGCGGTCTGGAACCAGTGGGCCGAAACCACTCCGCAGCTGCGAGCTCACTTTACTTAGTTTTAAGCTCAAAGATTAAGTGCCAGGTACTAAATACTACGTTTTTGATAATATTGGTTTCGGTGAAACTGAGCTTATTTCCATTTTTTGGTTTAAGTACATGTTTATAGTAAAAGTATTCAAACAGTTAATAAAACCTTCTAAATTGGTGGTTAAATTGATTTGAATTCCAAACACAGACCCATTATTTCAATGTAATAATTGTTTAGATTATTTTTATAGTAAAGCCATAGAATTATATCTGACATCATCTTACAGTTTTCCCTGTGGCTTCAGTCGGTTTATATTTGCTCAAATATGCAAAAACAAATAAGCTGAGACGTCCTCACACCTGCTGAGAGTTAATGGGATTCTAAGACAAGTGATGTTTCCTTACGCCCGTCATATTTAATTCTGTCGGCAACTGTTCAAAGCTGTAAACCGGCTTACACCTGGTCATAACTTTCAGCTAACATTTACAAACACCTGAGAACATGTGCCAATAACCTGAATCTGCAGATATCTGCCTGCATACACAGGGCCTGCACTCGTCAGTGTTTTTGTTTTTATGGATTCATCTGCACTTACACCAAGCTGCAGACCAACAAGAGAGCAGATTCACAGGAGAATGTTAATTGTATTTTTCTATTACAGGTGATGGTCTGAAGAATCCTTTCGGGGCATTCATGAAGTAGTGTGTAGCGCCACCTTCCTGCGCCCTAAACATCAGAATCCTTTTTTTTTTTTTTTTCATTTTAAGTAATTTGGTTCTTTTCTGTCATCACAAATGAATAAATACATTAACTTAAAACATTTGACTGCACTGCCTCATCACTGAATTTAGCTCAAACTGAAACATTAGGAAAAATATATTATTGACAAAATGCTTCCATGTACCATGAAATATCAGGGAAGAATTCAAAAGGAGGAGTTAAATAATGAAAATAAAGTCTGAGGGTTATGAGAGTGAACATTTTCTAGAAAACATTTATGATAAAGTTTATGAAAAATAATATTGGTTATGAGAGTAGTATTGAACATTTTCTAGAAAAATGTATGATAAAGTTTATGAAAAATAATATTGTATAAATTCAGAGAGAAATGTTGTCTGTCGGCATCACACCATCATATACATATAACATGTTGCAAAGATTGTACAGAAACAGTTTTTATTCTGAAGAACAACATAAATCTGGAGAAACTACCTCCAGAGCTTGAATATATACAGTATATAATTCTAATACTCCATTAATACTGTGAACACAACTTCGTTTGACTAAGTAACAACAAATGAAGTATTCACTTGAATACACAGCTGGCACTTTTTATCCTCCATACACACTACAGCTCATAGACTGCACGTAGCCTAAAATGCCCTGCTTTACATAGATTTACATATAAGCTATGGTCATTTCCTCTGTTTTTTTTATTTTATTTTTTATATACGTATTATATTCTGCCAGCACTGTCCACGTAGGGAGAAATATGGGTCTTTTTGTTAAAAACATAGGCAGGCTTTCAAAAACACAGGTCACAGAACAAAGAAAAAAATGACACCGCTGTAACCCAATTAAAATCAGCCATGAGGCATTAATACACACACACACACACACACACACACAGGGGAGACAGAGAGAGAGAGCGTGAGGACAGGTGGAACAGGTCTTTCTGGCCCAGGGACACACCTGACTCCTCGAGATAAAGCAGAACTCAGAAGTGAAGACAACACAGAACCATCGAAAGCAAAGATGTCCTTCTCAAACTACCTTACTAAGAAAGTCGGTGAGTAAAGGTTTCCTCTGTTTCTGATGTATTTCTGTTGTAACCCGCCTCAACTGTTGTTAGCTGATGTCTGTTTGTTTATTGTTGACATGCTGTTAGTGTGGACAGCCGAGGTTTGTGGTCTGATGACAAACACTGAAATGACCCTTTAAAGACAGGGTGGTTTTCCAAAGACTGAGTCTGTGTGTTTTCAGATTTGTTCTACATTTTAGAGCTATTTGTAAGTGAATATACAAACTTTTATGCAAAGTCTACATAGGCAAGTCAGTAACACTGGTCCCTGTACATTTTACAACCTTAAGTTTTGGGTTGGTTTTTTTTTTTAATGCAATGTAACTCTCCATTTGTTCTTTATTTGCCCATAAAAGTCTCCATTAAGTATACGTTTGGTCTTTGTTTTGCTGTTGTAACCCTTTGCTAGCATCCTTCGTTGTCTTTTAGCTTCTTTAATGTACAGCATGTGTTAGCTTATTTTAGCTTCAGGCAGGCTTTTTATTATTGTTTACAGTCACCGTGAGCCTATTTTTGTTTACATTAACTTTAGTCCCTTGTTTCTGTTAGCTCCTCTAAGTTAATGTGAACTTCTTTTTTAACTTAAAAAGTCATTTGGGCCATTTCAATCTCTGTTAGCATTTGCGGCTATCTTAACTCCTTTTTAGCATTGTTTCTTGACTTTAAGCTAAAAGAAGCTGCCCGCCTGATGGTGTAACAAACGGGGTATATGTTAAGTCCCTGGTTTTCAAACCAATGCTTTAAAGTGCATGGCACCTCCTAAAAATTACAAGAGTAGTATAAACTATATCTTATTTATCGGAACACTGTAGAGTTATGTTATACCGCACATACACAGAAAGGCAAAAAACACTATTCGTACTGTGTAATAGCCGTATTAAAAAATTCACTTACTCACCCAGTCCTAATGGGAATTATTTCCTTACAACCACTAGAGGGAGCCCAAAAACCAGCTTACACTAGCTTGAACCGCTGTGATCCGTGTTTACAAGTGGTTAAAAGACTCTCCCTGTTCCCCGCGGGCCCCTGTACCTCGACTAAAACGTTCACTGGAAGACTGACCATTATAAACCTCAACTGAAATGCACACTGTTTATATTATTTAGCCTTTTGTAAAAAAACAAACAAACATGATTTTACTGTAGGAAAGACTTATACACCAGCTACACATTAAAGAAAGGTTTTTAAAAGTTTTATGTCAAAGTGACCCTGGGGCCTGTCAAAGGAGGGGGGGCGGGGAGGGGGCAAAAATGAACTTAGAGAAATGCCAAAAATTAGACTGCTCCCTTGAAACTCCAGTATGACATTCTCAAACAGCAAAACACAAATGGTGTATGTAAGACTATTACAATTATAAGCCAACAATAATTAGAATATTACAGAATATTAAAAAAACCCAGTGTTGCTGTCACACGACTTACACAGGTTAACTTTATAAAGACTACAGAGAAACTACCGGTAATCATAACTAAATCCAACGTTGGTTGGCATGTCACATTATCCATACAAATAAATATTTGCATGTTTATGTTAGGTCTACCACTCTGGCAAAGTTAAGCTATAAAATCAAACCTGTTTTCATCGGAATAATGGACGTTACACTGTGGTGCTATTACTTTTGCAGTGGGTATGGTGGCGGACGCAGTGGAGGATGCGTTAACAAAGGACGAAGACGATGAAGACAAAAAAGATGGAGGAGGATTTCTGTCTGATATCTTTAAAGGAGACAAAAAGAAAAAAGAGGAGGAGGAAGATGACAAACTTTTCTCGTTTGGAGGCAGAAAAAATAAGAAAGATGATGATGATGATGATGATAAGGGAGGGTTCTTCTCTAAGTTATTTCACAAAGACGATGATGACGACAAAGACAAAGGCAAAGAGAAAAAATCTGGATTTGCAGGTCTTTTCTCTGAGCAAGCTGCAGGGGACGCTGTTGCTGCTGAGGATGATGAGGGACATGAAAGAGAAACAGGAGATCAAGATCCTGGATTTAGCGATGGAGGTAAATCTTTTCTTCTTCTTCTTTTGATGTACAGCATTTTTGCTAGTGGGGGCTGTTAATATCATGTGCATCTGAAGTTAAACATCAATTGTTGTTCTTTTTATTGACAGATTTGCTCAGTGATCTAATGGAAGTTGCTGATGAAACATCAAGAGGCAACTAAAGAAGAAACCCTGACTTTTAGAAAGAAAATAGTAAATGATCTTCAGTCCAGCATCACTGAAGAACTAGCTTAAGCTATCAGTAAGAAATTATTAATAATAATATATAAAAACACGTTTTTTAAACTAATTTCTTTTTCAGAGGAAATATACCTAACCACAGTTAGCTGCTCTTTTGTTGCTTTTGTTCAACACTAATCAGAAAAATGGTTAGTTTGTTTTGTTTATTACTGCAAATGCTAGGTGAGCTTACTATTACTGTATGTTTAATTTGTTTAGTTTAATTAGTTTTAATTGACTATATATACAGTGTCCAGGATTGTTTAATTTTATTCAATTATTGCCACTGTTTTCAAAGTAAAATGTTTAAATCTATAAACACAGAAGGAAGAAATATTGATTTATGTTTTGCAAAGTGAAATAAATCCTTCAAATGAGTGCATCCTTTGTCTTACAATACCAACATTCTTTCTGCTACCACTAACACAGCATCTAATATTTTATCAATTAAATTTTGCATTGGTGAAGAAACAAATGTTTAATGAAACCGTAATTAATAGTACAAAAATGTTTCTGTGTTATTTCAAGAAACCCACAGGTTTCAATGTACAAAAAAATGAAAATTAGCCAAATACAGGATATATACAAATAACACGTATAATAAACAGAAAATCTAATCACAAACACAAGTGAAAACGTCATCTCCTCGTCACCTGGGAAACTGAAGGTTGAGCAGCGTGAAGTCCTGACTGAGGATGATGCTGTTTTCGTCGCACAGGAAGTTGCTCCTGATCGTGATGACAAATGTTTTCTTTGGCAGCGACAGGAGGGCTTGTAGTCTCTCTGCTGCCACCTGGATGTGTTTTATCAAAGAACCTGGAGCTTCAGATTTCAAAAACAAAGAAGTTGGGGTCAGCCAACAGGAGGCGCAAATGTTAATACCAAAAACCAGGGTTAAACAGCCAAAATGGTGAAAAAAAACTGACATCTTTTGGAGTGAGGTGAATTTTTCTTAGCATAAATAGGGAAAACAAGGGAACGCTAAGCTAAGGTAGCTTAGCTTGGAGAGTGAAAACCAGTATAATAGGTTAGCTTAAAATAAATTTGACTCAAATATATTTGTGCACACACCTGAGCTCCTTTGTAGTTTATCTGGTGGAGCATGGAGGACTTCCTGCAAAGCAATAGGAGGGACTTGAACACACAACGATGTGCAACCCCGCCCACTCACTGTCAGCACGGCTGATCTAGAATGAACACACATACAGTAAATGAACTAGTATCACAACAAGGCACATAATGTTGCAGTATCAGTGTTTACCTGTAGTAGTGCCGTACAGACGTATGGGGCAGACAGGGGTAACAAGGAATATAGATGCTGTTAGCGTCGGTACGGAGTTCGGCTGCACAGCGACCGCAGCCGGAATACGTGACATCTTCACTCAGCAGCTCTAGAATTCCCTCCAAAGTGGTGGTGCTGTCCAGGAGCACAGGTGCATTCTGGGAGGACGGAGTGTTCTGGAAGCGAAAGGACATGACGTGCACTCGCAGCTCTACGAAGCCTGGAGGAGAAAGTGAAAAATACCGTAAAACATTTACTCTCTCACTCCTAAGTCAATGGAGAAACATCTTTGGCCATTTTTTTCTTTAAATTCCAGAAAATTAGTTGAATGGAACAAATTGATAAGATACAGAATAACAGATTAACTCCAGTTGAAGCTACAAATTAGTGACTAATATATTAAACCCAAAAATGGTATTTTATTGATAATTTAACCTGACTAAATCTTCGTTACCATTAATGTCATTGTCTCACTGACCGCTGTACTGCTGTGACAGCAGCGTGTCCACGTCAAGCTCCACGGTACCGTCTACTGTCAGGCTGCGCCGTGGAGACAAGAAATTCTGCAGGCGGCGATCTGTGGATTGGAGGTGGCGGCAGGAACTCCAGGGTGTGGAGTGAAGTTCAAGGCAGTCAGAAGACAAACTGTCCCTCACCAGGAGGACACGGAAGTCCCAGACGCCCCCTAGAGGACAAAGATGAGAAGGTAAATTTAATCTGGACTGTTAGAAAGTGTGTGTGATACTGGCTAACCTTACAGCCTTCGATAGGGCAACATCAAGCAGAACACTTTATTTTACAGCAGTTCCTGCAAAATACCTGAGTCTCTGGTGAAGCGTGGCAACCAGTCTCTAGAAGCCCCCCACAACAGCAGCACCCCCTGCTGTCCATCTGCCTGCTCAACAGTTAGGACCACTTTGGAATGACGGGCAGATCTGCAGCGAGACTCAGCCTCCTCTCGCCACTCTGACAGAAAGATGGAAACAAGTCGTACAGTAAAAATGTCACACAGAACAACATAAATGTTGTAGCTCCGCCCACCCCTCCAACCTGAACTCATGTGTGCATGCCTGACTCGCAGCAGAATGTTCACAAGCATGTTGGCTCTCAGGGAACTCAAGGAGGTGTAAGGGACTCGTTTCAGGTCCTGGGGGACAGGAGGAGGCAGAGATGCCAGCAGAGGGCGGCGTTCACGTAGAAACACACACAATGCACTGACCGACTGAGCATCAACGTGCTGAGGAGCTGCAGAGATAGAGATTAAGACAGCTGGCTGGACAAAGATGGAAAGAAACGTATAGACAACTGGACAGTTGGACCTGTTGTCCTCTTGTACCTGTTGGTTGAGTGGATGCAGCAACATGTCCAAGACTGAGCATTTTACTGCTGAATGTGGACTGAAGGATTGTCTCTCCTCTCCATCTGTCCTCCATCACCTGAAGATCTGGACAGCAAAAAAATAAATCGCAACATTGTCATAACAAATAAAAGTGGGACTGTCAGCTTTGAATACTAAGATGACTCATACAGTACATCTAAGGGTGAAAAATAAATAATTAAGCAGCTTCGTATATGAGTGAACAGGAATTCTCATCCCTTAGGTCCGAGTTCCACTAAAGAAACTAAATACCAAGTCTGGTGTTTTGGTTTTCTTTTCTGTACTTGTGATGAGCAGAATGTCTCCAGGAGAAACGGCCACCGCCCAAAATGCCGCCCTCCGCCACAGCACCACTTTTAACTCCACGTTTGACTGATCCGTCACAACTAAGGACGCCAGAGGAACAAAAGTCCCTGTGGACTTCATCTGTCGATCAAGCATTTCAAACAGGGTTATCAAACAGGCTGCAGACAGATGTAAAGGATGGAGGAGTCAGAACAACCCTGATGTCTCACCTTGACCTCTTTGATGTGAGAGGGATGAACTGCCACCACCAGAACACAATATTTCACGTTTGGTTTTTGACAGTTGATCAGATGGGTGGTGGAAGTGTAAAGGCCAACAGACCGGACTTTGTCTCGTGGTGTCTCAGTCCTCAGATCCTCAGACTTGCGAGCCTTCTTCAAACTGTGGGCAGTTTTAGGCTCAGCCTCTTGAGAGTAAAGAACTCCCTTCACAGTGGCCTGGAGGAGAACTCCTCTTTGTTCCACCATTTCTGTCGTGCATATCTGGCTGAAGAGTTCGACAGAGGCTTCTGGTGAAGGAGTGATGGGGCTGAACAGCTCAGGTGTGTTGGAAGAGGCCGGAGAAGGACTTTGGACTTGAGGTGGTTTTTGAGTAGACAGGTTTTTTACTGGACTGCTTGTTGATTGGCTTCCTCTCAGGATTAAGGCCTGACTCAGGGTCCAGGTGGCAAGGTAATCATTCTCAGTACGCAACGGAACAACACTTTCTAATGACTTGGGTTCACAACAGTGAGAAGGATTAGGTTCCGGTTCTGGTTGAGCTGCAGGGAAACAGCTGTCTAGATACTCGTGAACTGAAGCAGAACACTGATCCTCTTTGTCAGGATCTGATCCTTCAGCAGATTCATGATCACCACCGCTGGAACACTCATTCTCTCCGTTTGGATTGCAGCTTGTTTGGAGCTTCTTGTCCTGCCCTTTGGATGTTTCTGTGAGGCAATCATTTTCAGCAGAGCCTACAAAAGAAGCAAAGAACTTTGACTAAATTGAAGAACCAAAAGTACGTTTGTCATTAAATCCCTATTGACCTCACCTGTCAAAGGTCTCAAGCGTCCTTCTGTCCAGGTGAGGTCCAGGTGTCTCAGTCCACTTTGATGATGACCATCACACTCCTGGCCAGGTTCAGTGTCAGAGGAAGGAGGAGGAGCCCCAAGAAACACGTGGATCTTTTTGGGTTCACACATGCTAACGTGATAAGAAAAATCATTAAATCAGTGTAAACAGCTGGTATAATCAAAGTTTAGGAATTAAAATCTTAGATTTTGCCTTTTTTAAAAAACGAAGGATTCTAGCATTGAGTATGGAAAGGCAAAAAAATTCCTTGATTAGCGTAGATATTAATTAATTAGAATAAGGCTGTCCAGTATCTTTAATGACAAAACTTGTACAACTACGAAATAATTTTGGAAAAATGACGACAGGACAAAAATAATAACTAAGGTTGGCACAAAATATGATACATTGGAAAACAGCTCCATCCAATCAGAAAAACAACCCCAACATCCCAACAACCTTTTTAAAAAACATTGCTTTGTTGGCAAAACTGCAGCAACAGCTGAGGAGAAATCCTAGAACCAAACCTCAAGATTTCAGTCGCTCAGGATGAACAGAGGGTTCCCCAGGGTACATTTATGTCTTCTGGCCTCCCAAATCATTCACATCCTTTTTGAGGTTCAGCCAAACTGAAGTTGAAAGATGTTGAAGCAGGAGCTCTGATTGGACAATGTCACACTACACCTACAACAAACGAGAGCAAATAAATCTTGATCTAAGAACAAACACATGGCTTCTAGAGTGTGAGAAACTAAAAAAAAATATATAGACATTTGTAAGGAATTATTTTCATAGGCAGAAACTGAAGTTAATGTGCACATGTCAGATTTTACATAGAACAGGGGGGTTTCACAGATGGAAACAATAATTCACCCAACAACCAATCAGAAAGCAGAACGCAGGGGAGGTGGTGGTGTATCAGCTGGAACTAGGGGGCTCCGTTTGGGGAGTGGTGAAGTTTTTGAAGAACTGTGTTTGCTGACTTGATTTTAAAATGATACAGGTACATGTTGGCACATGGCAGCAGCTGAGAAAATGCACCCTCATGTGGTCACTTTGTGTCACTGGAGTAAATAAATAAGTGAATGAGACAAACCCTGAGTCAAGATAGCACATTCCACAGCAGTAAAAATACTTATTTGTGTACAATTTGGACTGTTTAAACGTCAGTTATCTATTGTAAAAGGCTGTTTGACAGTTTGAAGCAGAAATGATGCTGCAGCACCTGTGACCCAACGTGAACTGACATTCAGTGTGTGAGATGTCGGTCACATGTCTCTGTGTCCATTTTTGTCCTTTGACGGTCTGCATCACGTGACTCACTGCTGGTTTCTGCTTCTTGCCACCTGATGCTGTCATTCAGGTTCCTAGAGAGGAACTGCGTTAGCAGGCAGTCATTCCCACTACAAAATCCAAAGGAATAAATACTCCCGGTTCAGAGGGAACGTTACATGATCAAGTTAACAATTGAAAACATAATTACAGAATAATCCTTTTAGGAGCAACAGTCAAAACATGGAGCAACAGTCAGTTTAGCCTAGCGTGAAAGTGTACACAGTAAAACCACAAGAAAAGATAATGCTATTTTATCTTAGCATTTAAGATGATAAACTGAAAAGCATATTAAAGCATAAACATTGTGGTGGTGGAAAAGTATTAACATAGAAGCAGAAAGAAAGGAAGGAAACGTGGAGACATTTACTATTAAGTTATTTATACACACAAATAGTCAGTATATTAATGACAGTTGAAAATACTACACCCCCCCAAAAACAACAACACCCAAACACGTAAATAATGTGTGCTTTAAAAAAACAAACAAACAAAAAACACTTTATTTTTAAAGAATAATAGTTCAAAAATATCCGTGGCAATACATTTTAACCATTAGAATTAATTTTGGCTTTACATGAGATAAAATATAAATAGCATCGTAAACCCTACTTGACCTTCATACTCTAAGCACTAGGTTTAGAAAAGATGATATTCAAAACCTGTGATTGAGCACGTACACTCGCTGAACAAGGTTAATTATTATTTAAATCACAAATAATTTAATCTTAATGTACAAACGATATTAACATGCTAAATTTAACCAGTAACCAAGAACCTATTTGTTGATTCGAATAGAAGTGTCTTTAAGATTCAGACAGGGGAAAAATATAAGGCTTTTCAGTGTCATTACTAAATAAATTACCAAACAAATATGACAATGTGATAGACCAAGTTTGATAGATAATACTTTTAACATGTTTTAACATGTAAAAGGATAAATTACAACGATCGAGAGCAGTAGCGGGTACTTAGATTAACGCAGCGTCGACTTAAAATATTTAAGTTGTATTATGATAGAAATGTGGTGAAACAACTGGTTAAAAAAACTGCCACGCTGACTTTAACTAAGTTAATAACATGGAGCTTGTTGCTAATGAATAGATGGTGCTTTTATTTTGAGCGAAAATGAACGGATGCTGGACATGTTCCAACAAGTATCCCTGAGATCATAGTTCACTTCAAACTAATAAATGAAAATACGTCAAAATAACAAAATGTCGAACGTCATTCTTTTCGTGTTTGTCGTCCACGCATTCCATTAAACTGACAATAGTGTGTTTCACACTCTTATAATGCGGACGTTATTGTTAACCTAACCAACAGCCTTTCGGCGTTGATTAAACATCGCGTGCAACAGAAGTTTGGGTGGAATTAAACCGGAAGTGTCAGCAGAAGGAGGAGCCGCTGCTGCTGCTCTTACGGTCGCTGCGGTAAAAGTTTTTCTATATCGTGATCCCATTTCCTGGTACTGTCCCGACAATCCGCCGTATCCCCTTAATCGGACCCCCAGAATTAGCCCATAACTTCTGCTGACATGTATCGGTGTTTCGGAGAACTCCTTACCCGAGCAGCCGGATCTGTGCTGGCCGTTGACTCGGCTCTGCCAGTGTCTTCCTCTCTGTTGCGGCACCACCGCGGCTACAGCCAGGCCGTGGATCAGGAAGATGACCCGAACTTCTTCAGCATGGTGGAGGGTTTCTTCGACCGCGGTGCGGCGATTGTGGAAAACAAGCTAGTGGAGGACCTGAGGAACCGCGACAGTCCCGAGCAGAAGCGGAAGACTGTTCGCGGGATTTTGAGGATCATTAAGCCGTGTAACCACGTTCTCAGCCTGAATTTCCCCCTGAAAAGAGACAACGGGGAGTGGGAAGTTATCGAAGCTTACCGGGCTCAACACAGCCAGCACCGCACACCCTGCAAAGGAGGTGAGAGTCCCCCCAGACTTGGTACATTGTCTGGCTCAAATAATCACCATTGACGCTAATATCGCGATGTTTGCAAAAACTGAAATCAGAAAGTCATCTATGGAAAGGTGTTTACACAATGTTTACATTTTAGTTAAAAAAACACTGCAAATGATTACACTAACAAATTAAATAAAACACAGCATTAAGGGTAAATATAATTGTGCCAAGTTACCTTGCAAAGAAATCCAAACTATTGGACTTCCATGCATATTTAATGACGAAGCACATCTTCAGCAGATATTTTCCTACCGGACACACATTTCCTTCCAAGTACAGATGAGGTTCTGTTTGTCTGTGTCCTAAACTTTGTCCGCCAGTACAAACAGCATCTTGCTCAATCTCAGCAACCCTCTCTAAAGCGTTCATGGTTGTCCAATAAACCTTCAATTTAGCTTCAACTTTCAATTTAGCTGCTGTCGCTCTGTCACAAATCACCCCTGACCCCAACCTCTTTGGTTTGTGATTAACAATAATAATAAAATGTGACCTTTTAAACGAAGCTTATTCGAAAGCAACAACAAGTTGAATTTGTTACCAGCACGGACTCTTGTGTAGCCTACATTTGATCATTACGTGCCATACAATATAACTTATACCACCCTCAGGTGGCGATGTTCCCTCCTCTGACAGGAATGTTGAGAAGCAGGATTACCTGCAGGCTGTAGTGTGTGTACATTAACCGATGTGAACAGCACTTTTGTAACGTTTGAAAAACGCAGTGAAGGATCACGAAGTGTACTAACCATTTTTTCAGGTATAACACACCAAACGTTATGGAAAAATGAGACAAAAAGTAACTAGAATATTTACAGGTTTAACACAATACATTTTTTTATGTACTGCTCCTTCATACACAACCCTGTCACAACTAATCACTTCCACACTGTAATATTTTCTCACACCTTTTTTAGTACATACTGTACCTGTTTCAAGTCTTTTTCTCCTTTGTGTGTGAGAGTGACTCCACCCCACACTTATTAGTTGCTGCTAACCTCCCTCCCTCCACTGTCTGCGTTTTTATTTTCCTTCCAGACACAGTCTTGTTTACTACAGAATTCTCTTCAGTTGAGTTCCTTCTGCAGTGACAGTCTCTTAAAGGGGCAGTTCATCATACTTAAAGGGTTGTTGTTGTTATGAAGTTCTGACATAAAAAGTTGTTTTTTTGGACAAACTAGAAAAAAGAATTTCTCTGAATGAGGCAGCAGATTTCAGTGAATTAATTAATAATAATAAACACAAGCTGATCATCTGCTGTGACTTTCAGGAATTCGTTATAGCACAGACGTTTGCATGGATGAGGTGAAAGCCCTGGCTTCGCTGATGACATACAAATGTGCTGTGGTTGGTGAGTATACCCCCTCCCCCCGACCTCCAAACACACACAGATACAAAAGTGTATGGTGTTTAAATAACTGACTTCTGATCATTGTTAACGTTTGGCAGATGTGCCGTTCGGTGGAGCTAAAGCTGGAGTGAAGATTAACCCAAAGAATTACTCTGTGAGTTCACACACGGGCACACATACACACATTTTTTTAAACCTATTTAATTTCTGCTTGCTCTAGCGCCACCATCTGTAGGTTCAAGTTGTGGCTTCAGGATACTTTTTTTTTACACTTAATTGGCTACGTTATTTTTTCACAGGACACCACTCCTCCTTGGGGAAATAATACCATGAAGGAAATGTTACTTTGATTTAAAAACAACTCACACACATACACAGAAACACTATAGGAAAACCTGAGTCATCATTTGACAAATGACTCATGATTCATGACTCACCAGATTTCTTCAATGAAAACACTTTACCGACTTGTTGACCTAACACTAACACAAACTAAAGTTTAATCATTAAGTCTCATTGGTTTCTAGGTCTTTCAGTCCAGGTCCTGACTTTGGCTCCAGAGTTATAAGTACTGTCGTACTCCAAGAGTCTGGGTCTCTGTGTGAGGAGCTGGTTAATTGGGTGGAAACTGAATCTTTGTTGATACCATGGCCTCTCAAACTGAACTCACCTGGGGTTTGCATGTTTTCAGGACACTGAGCTGGAGAAAATCACCAGACGGTTGACGATCGAGCTCGCCAAAAAAGGCTTCATTGGTGAGTGATCAGCCAGGAACAGATTTACCAAGTTCTGCTCTGAAAAGAATCTATGGAAACATTCCAACCTATTCTGTTGTTTTCAAACAAAAAACATAATGAGCAGTACCTTCTCTAAACTACGGCCACTGTAATGTAGCCTCAATGATGTAGTATTGTATCAGAAAATGACCTTCTTTTTAATTTCCTGTTTCTTGATTTTTCCTACCTTTAAATCAGTATGTTTCATCTTTTTGGTCTTTGTATTTGTTTGTATTTTTAACTATGTTTTTATTTCTTGTGTGTTTGTTTTACGTGGCTGTGCAGGACCTGGTATTGATGTTCCAGCTCCAGACATGAGCACAGGTGAGAGGGAGATGTCCTGGATCGCAGACACCTTTGCCACTACCATGGGACACTTTGTGAGTCTAAACTCTGAACAAACATCAAGACTGAGAATGATATATAACATATAGGGACAGAGTTCTCCTGTGTCAAAGTCCACAGGGAAATGCAGTCATTTCAGTTTGGGTGGAGTTCAGGGAACACTGCTGTAAATGTCCCCTATCAAAATCTGTAGAGGAAATCTATTATTTTTGGTTACAAGTGCCCCCCCCTGTGGTCAGGTCTCATCACTGCTATGAGGTTTCCTGTGTGCCACGTTTAACTGCTTAATTTCCAAATGGACTTTGGTGAAGAAAAAAAAAAGTCAGAAGTTTATAGACGCGAGGTTCCTGTTGGACACGTCAGAATAAAGATAGAGTGACTGAATTTGTTTGGTCTCTGTTATAAAATAAAGAACTCATCTCTGTACTCTGTTAATCTAATCTTACCAGCCTTTTCTTTTCCTCCAGGACATAAACGCTCATGCCTGCGTCACTGGAAAGCCCATCAGTCAGGGAGGAATTCACGGTCGCATATCTGCCACCGGACGTGGAGTTTTCCACGGCATTGAAAACTTCATTAATGAGGCTTCATATATGAGTCAGCTTGGGATGTGTCCTGGCTTCCAAGACAAGACCTTTGTGGTCCAGGTGGGTGCCTTTGTATTTCCAGCAGGGGGCATCACTTATCTTGGAAAAAATAAAATGTAACATTTAGAGTTTACTGACCTTTGTTCTGTCTGCAGGGTTTTGGAAATGTGGGTCTTCACTCCATGCGTTACCTTCATCGATTCGGAGCCAAGTGCATTGGGGTGGCAGAACTGGATGGAAGCATCTGGAACCCCAACGGCATGGACCCAAAAGAGCTTGAGGAGTACAAACTGGTCAGTTCTTGTTGTATCCCAACTAGTTTGACCACCTGGTCTCTGGTCAGTGCTGGTCTTACACATGTCTTTCTGTTTTTAGGAGAATGGAACCATCGTTGGTTTTCCGAACTCGACCCCATACGAAGGAAACCTTCTTGAGGCCGACTGTGACATCCTGATCCCTGCAGCTGGAGAGAAACAACTGACCAAGAGGAATGCACACAAGGTCAAAGCCAAGGTAAACAGGCATACACACTGTACTTTCATTGAGTAAATCCAAACTTTCCTGTTTTTTCCCATTATGCCTCGGTAACCTGTGTTTTTGTTTGTTTTGTCAGATAATTGCAGAGGGTGCTAACGGTCCAACCACACCTGAGGCTGACAGAATCTTCATGGAGAGAAACATCCTGGTGATTCCGGTGAGTCTGAAACAAAAATACTGAGAGTGAATGAAAGGACGTTTGTGTCTCACTGACTCCGCCTCTGTCGTCTCCTTCACTCTCTTCCTCACTGAACTCCCCTTTTTCCCTTTCTCCCTCTTTTCCTTCTCTGCTCATCTGTGTCCTACTGTTCTCCCTTCACTCTTCCTCTTTGGCCGTTTCCGTCCTTCTCCACTCATGTCCGCTCCTTGTCTCTCCCCGTCTCCCCTTAGGATTTGTACCTGAACGCTGGTGGAGTGACAGTCTCCTACTTTGAGTGGTTGAAGAATTTGAATCATGTCAGTTACGGACGACTCACCTTCAAATATGAACGAGACTCAAACTACCATTTGCTCAGTGAGTACAAACATCAACACAACAACCGTCTGCTCAGTGAAGAACAACAACAGTTAAAACAACTATACAATAATCCAACAGCAGGCACACGGCAGTGATCAGTACTGACAGACAGATCATTGATGTTCTGCCTCTTCATTGGTTTAAACCAACATACAGTAGATGCCAAAAAATTAATTCCTGCAAAATCCCTATGAGTCCTTGAAACCAATGTTTCGATACAGCTTATTCCCTTCAGTACTGCAGTAAAAAAGGAACAAATTAAATGTCAACCACATCCTCTGCACTTATTGACCATTATTTCACACAGCCTGTGTTCTGTCTCTATGTGCTATGTCAGTGTTTGGTTAAACATGAAAACACCGTTTAAGTTGGTTGTACTGTATCAACACTGATGTTGCAGGTGAAAAACTCTTTCCACCAGCAGGTGGCAGTAGAGGCAAACTGCTCAGAACTCCACATCATTGTCGCAACAACAGCATAACAGAATGACACTGAAACTCTCTGTTGTCCTTAGTGTCCGTTCAGGAAAGTTTGGAGAGGAAGTTTGGGAAACATGGAGGCTCCATTCCCATCGTTCCTACTTCTGAGTTCCAGGCCAGAGTTTCTGTAAGTACACGCACACACACACACACACACACACACACACACACACACGGTGTGTACACTGAACACATTTTATTGCTGTTCTCAAGATACAGTTATTTTCTGTGATGTTGTAACAGTGTTGTTGTTGTTGTCGTTGTTATTACAGGGAGCCTCTGAGAAAGACATTGTCCACTCAGGTCTGGCCTACACCATGGAGCGTTCAGCCAGGGTAACACACACACACACACACACACACACACACACACGCACCCTAAACACCCACACGCCAACTCAGACACACTCAGAAGTAGCCCATGAAATGGGATGCAGCCTATTTATCAGTTAGAATGTTACTAAACCATCATTTGAGTTAGCTTAGCATTATCTTCTTTAGAGTTTAACCAGTTATATTTAAGGATAGTCGATGAAAAAAGAATGCATGACAAACATCATGACTGAAATATTATCCGTTGTTTACGTTATTAAATAAATTTTTTTTATATATGTATTCACTTTTCTTGGTCTCACCTTTTCTTTCCTTCCCTGGTTCATTCTTTTTTCCTATCCTCCCTCTGACCTCACCCCTGCCCAATATCCTCTCATTCCCTTACTCTTTCTCCTTTTCTTGTCTCCCTCCTTTCCCTGTAATCTCCTTCCCCCATCTCTCTTTCTTTTTCCCTGTCTGTCCTTTTTATCTTATCCTTCCCCATATCTTATGCCTTGATTTCTCTCCTGCAGCAAATCATGCGCACAGCCAACAAGTACAACCTGGGCCTGGACCTGCGAACGGCAGCGTACGTCAATGCTATCGAGAAGGTGTACAAGGTTTACAGGGAGGCGGGGCTTACCTTCACATAGGCCCAGAGACGTCACCTCCCATATTGTCTGTTACTTCCTGCCTGTCCGTCCATCACCTCCTTCTGCCTTAATTCCGCTAACTCTTAAGCTGCAAATGCTTTCATGTACTTTTGTCTTTATTTTCTGTTATATAAAACAGACAATTCTCAAACCACAGCTTTAAACTCAAACCTGCTACTTCCTTACAAATTAGCGTTGGAAACATATCATTCAAACACACAGAACTTAAAAAACTTTAAAAAGTCTGAGCCAAGAAGTATTTGGTGCAGTTTAAATTCACTACTGGATCACATGACTCAGACTCAGTAAACCACGTTCTTTTGTCCAGGCAGTGTTTGCATTTTCATATCAGACAGTTAGCTTTAATATTTGTTGTATTTTATTGTTACTCTATTAAAGGACCATTCCGCCCTTATATTTTGTTTTTCCATCAAGTTTCAGCCCTGTTTACCAAGACACCTGTTCACACTAGTAGTAAATCATTCTTTACAGTTGGTCAAATGTTACAAGAAGCTAAAAAAAACACTAAATACCATGCATTTTTGCTAATTGTTTCAGAAATTGCGGAATGATCCTTTAACTGTTACATTCTATTTAACAAAAAAAATTCTGCCACATTTAACTACTTTTTTCTTTATGTTTTGCTAATGCTATGCTAGTAAAAATAACAATCTGTGTAGTAAAGCTAAAACTCTGTGGAGGTTTGTTTATGCTCAACTTTAGATACCTACTTTAGATTTACCTACACTCATCTGACCCAGCCGGGAAGCACAAGATATGCCTCTACTCAGCCCACATAGACCATTAAATAGGAGTTCTTTTAAGACTGACATCTGGGCCTCAGGAATGACTCAAGACTGGATTTCCTGGATTTCCTGTTCCTTGGCAAGACAGGTTGTCCGGCAAACTTTTAACAGACTTTCTTTGGCCCAGAATTTAGATACTGGTCATGAGTTACTGAAAGCAATGTTACTTTTATGTATGTGGGCCAAGTGACCACTTAAGCCGTACACAAATGAAGATATGAGGGAAGAGAGGATGTAGAGCCTCAGAAAACTGACTTCTTAGAGGATTCTTTTGGGACTTTGTAAGAAGTTGTCATCTTAGTGTCTCTGTCGAAGCATGTACAATATCACCAAAATCTTCCATGTGTCAAATCCTCGACCTTCTGTGTTGTCCTTGAGTAGATTCTCTGCTTTGTATACACACCAGCAAATGCTAAAGTTGTGTCTTGATACAGAGGTTACTGTTTAGTTCTGTGCTTTTAATGGGTTGAGATGTCAGTAGTTTAAGAACCAAAAGAATATTGTTTAAAAAAAGGGAAATGTATTGTAGTGGCCAGAGCCTGGAAAACATTCTTTAACTATGCAAATGACTGTTAACTCTGTTGCTATTACCGTCATGGGTAACAAATGATGTTGCACAAGTTTGAGAGTTGAGGGTTATTCAAAAATGGGTTTGAACTGAAGCCTTAAACCTGCACAAACAAAGGGACGTGGGAATAAGCTGTATTAGGGTTAAAAAAAAGAAGCAAAAATTAACTTTTCTTTCTTCAAATCCCTGAGTTAAGTTGTTCTTTATCAGCTGTTTTCTTTCTTCACATCCCTGAGTTAAGTTGTTCTTTATCAGGGAGTTTTTATGCTTTTTTTTGTTAAGAATAAAGAAATTTAAAAACATGTCTGTTGGTGGTGGTCTGTCATTTGCATCTTTGTTAATTTCAACTTGAAATCTACTTTGTGGATTGAAAGAATTCAAATTCAACTGTGAAATCTGTAGTTATAAATATAGTAAAAAGCTGTTTAGGTTTCTGCATCCACTGGTTTAAAGTAGATGGTTTTGTATTCTTACTGCTGGTTGTCATCTAAGCAAATAGCAGAAACTTTTATGAAATAAATATTTTGTCAGGTTTCCACATAAGAAAGAAATGAATTGAAAAAAAGATTTATATATGTGTCACAAAATAGATTTTTCTTCTTGCAAATGATTGACACTGCTTCCCGGGCCCTTAAAAAAGCTGCCCAATGCTCACCATGGTGATGGGTTAAAAGCAGAGGCTCAGTTTCGTTGTATCCCCCTGTTACAATGACAATAAAGTCCATAAAAATAAATAAATAATACTTTTGACAGCTGTCTCGCGTGTGTTTTTTTTTTCACGAGATTTGGGGCTTTACGGGTTTCTTATGTCAAATATGTATATAATCACATCCTCGCGAGATCGCGAGAATGACGCGAGTCCAGCTTTCGCGGGCAATGGGTGACCAAATGTAATTCAAACGGTTGTCTCGTAAAGATAAAAGTTTTAGGTCAACTTTTCGTATTGCTATGATTCAGGACACGTCCCTTAAGCAGTTACGTTTGTGGATAAATTTACTATCTGATTTTGTCACCGTAAATGATAGAGGGAATCTTCTGTATGCTAAATGGGTGAGTACCGAACAGCCGTTATCTCTGTCACTTCTAGACTTCACAGAAAAAAACGTATTGATATCGTTGAAAATTAAGGACCGCAAATTGTTTATTTTATCTATCTAGCTATCTAGCTATCTAGCTATCTACATTGGCTATATTGATGGGAGTTATTATGAAATCCCATATATTTAATTTGTGAATTAATAATCCCCAGCCAACTCTGTACAGGTTAGTTACAGTTACTTTAAAAAAACACATTTTTTTATTTTATCATTGAATGCCATTTGTAGGCTTTTGTCAATTTGGAGTTCAATTGGACATTTATTGGAGTACTCAGACCTGCATTCTTGTTCTATAGTCATCAGATGTGTTTATTCCCACATTGGCATGATGCCATCATGTTTGTTCTTGATTGGAAACATTTGGTCTTAGTACTGAAATGTGCAGCATTGTGACATTTATTTTATTAATTTTATTTTATTTACTAGTAACTGACTATTTACTATGTGCTATATATTCTTGTCAATCTTACCGGTCATGGTGAAGATCCTTACTTTCCAGCTGATTTTGTTTGTTTTCCAACAGGACCATCTCTGTCTCACTGGCTTTGCTTGTCTTCTGTTGCCTCCTGGAATTAAAGGAAGGCCATATGCCAATTCCAAGGACCAATAGCTCCTGAGATGTTAACGGCCATGTTGCTCTGCAAGGTAGATTTCTCTTTTTTTTTAACTGACTGACTACAGAAACAGACTTGTCTGAGGGTATGCCTACCAGAGATGGATTGCATCTGTAGCTTGAGCTCAATAGAACATAACAAAAACGTTTAAAACGACCCTTCATTGTGCAGATTGTATTGCAATTGGTTAAAAATATAAAATTGAGTCCAAATATGTGTAGGTTGCAGCAAGTTTGCTCAGTAAAGCAAGAGAATGATTTTAGCTTTTTTCCTTGTATATATTATAGATAGCGTAAAAATAACAAATTTTAATACAATATTAGTTCATAACTCTGGTAATGTTTTGGGGATGTATAAGTACAAAATGGAGTTAAGAAACTCTTGAAAGTCAGTATATTTTTCTGATCACCAGTCAAAACAGTTTATCTAAGTTTGGCAAAGGGTCAGCATGGACACCAGCACCACTGCTTTCATTAGGTGCACTATAAGCTCTGCATGGGACAATCACTCCAGCAGGGGGGCCAAGGTAATCAGCTCATTAAAAGTCTGTATTGTATTAGCAAAATATTTTTATTTGCATCTTCAACATATGCAACATATCTTCAACATATGCAAACTTTTTACTGTTACTATTCCCCCTTTCAACTGTCACTATTCCCCCTTTCAACTGTTACTATCCCCCCTTTCTCCCTCTATTCCTTACCTTATTCCCTGTAGTAGGATCGCATGCTGCTAGTACTGTGTGTTCTATGTTACCCCAGCGAGTCTACGGTCCCCCCATCCCAAGCATTTCATTGCATTGTAGACCCTGTGTTGAAAGTGCATATGACAAATAAACTTGATCTTGATCTTCATACAAACAAATGAACTGTCTGGCTCACAAGTGTAGCATATTTTGGTTGAAAAGCATTTTGTGGTGCCCCATCAACAATTTCCACCTTCTCCCCGCATTCAGTGTGTCAACCTGAAAGTTTGAATGATACAAAAACTATTTGGAAATGTGCTCCAAAATGACTGATTGTCTCATTATTTTCCTTGCCATCATGTTTTGAAAACAGCTGTTGTTGTGAGAACTGAACTAACATTTTGTGTTAAATCAATGACTCTGAAACCTCAGCCCTAGTCTCACTGTCATCGACTGGACTCATCTGTTGTGGTGAATGTGGTGAATGTACTTTCACCTTGAACACGTCACACTTCTCAGGGAGCAGACCTTTGTTGAAGAGCACACATGTCAGATAAGAAAAAAACACAGTAGCAGCCATAGCAGACAGCATGGAGATAGTCCTGACTGGAGCGTACTGAACATAAACTCCATCCTCAAGGACACATCCTGGGAAGTGGAGGACAACAGGAAGTCCTAGAGATGTGACTCCACTGAGGAGTCTTATTATCACTCCTACTACACAACCCAAAATGGCCCCATAACCATTGAAGATTTTGAAGAAAATAACACAAAAAAGTTGAGGGAACATTATGTTATAGGCCAATTCTCCACCAATGAACCAAAATAATATGATACTGTTCTTTCCCTCACTAAGCGATGTTCCAATCACACCCACAACCAAGACAGAAACTCGGATGACCCACTGAATCTCTGTGTTGGATGCCTGGAAGAGAAAGCAACACAGAGAAATTTAAGGATTAAAACCCCTTAGCTGTGTCTTATAAACCCATCTTCTCACCTTTGGCCTCAGGATGTTCTTGTAAATGTTGGAGGTGAAGACAGAAGCTGCAGAAATCAACACAGAGTCAGCTGATGACATCACAGCAGCAGCCACACACCCAATACCAATAATGGAGATATAGGAAGGTGTGAGGTGCTGCAATGTGAGGGGCAGGATCAGGGCTGCCTCACCACGTTCGTATGGAGACGGAGAACCATATGAAGTGAGATTCCAATCTGAGCAAAAGAAGGTTAGAAACTCTTATTTATTATGTATTCACTGTTGGATGATTCTGATATGAAAATAGTGTTAATACCACATATTGGCCCACACAAATAATGGCTACAGAAAAACAAAGGATGGACAGCATGTACTGTGAAGTTTGCAGTGCTTTCTTGTATTTACAAGCTCTTACCTGTGGATGAAGCAGCTGCTCCAATTAGTACAGGTGGAAATAAAAACACAGGAAAAAGCAAAGCAGCAACAAAGCATGAAAGCCTTGCAGAGGCTAAAGAAGATGCTGCCAAGATCCTCTGGTGAAAACACTGATATCCCAGATTTCCAAGTAACTTGAGGAAAAAAACGAAAAACCAACATTTAGTCCAATTTCCTGGCAATATTAATATTAATGTCAATATTAATATTTTAAAAAATAAGTGTCTGCCTGCATGTAATGAAATCATATGGTGTCTTCTGTTTACATTGTTCTGAATTTTCATTGTTTTTAAAAAGAGACATGTGTAAGTTTGTTTCATATAAGGAATATGAAAAAATCTCTGATAACCATTAGACATTTTACCCCCAAATTGTCAAACATCTCAGTTAGTTACAATAATGTGTCAAATATAGAATCTTTGTGAAAATCTGATTTTCAGATCTATGTGGAACAAAGTAATGACTTTTCTTACAAAGAAAAAGAACTCATCAATTATGAGCCCAGTATTCTTTAGTTGTTGTGAACCAATCCATGGAGCGTGTAAGGTGTTGTTCATCAGTCTCTGGCCAATGTCTGTGCAGCTGGGGTTCATCAATACAAAGGGAACACAGAGCCACTGCAGAGACAGATACAAGTGAAAATCACAACAAACATTCAGAGCTCTACAATATCTACTAAGACACTGCAGCACACTTACCATACTTATGAATATGAGAATCAATTGTACAACATCTGTGTAGGCCACAGAGTAGAGACCTCCCAACAGTGTGTAGATGATGACAATAGCAGCAGAGATCCAGACACACACAGTGTAGGACACATCTAGGACCACACTCATGGTTCCTCCTGTTAGAAAACAGAGACCTCTCAGTCGTCAATATCGTTAATGATTTGTACTTATATTTCATATGGATACCTAACTAGAAATTATCCAAGCAAAAAAATCAAACTAAAAGGTATTCACTGATATTTTTTTCAAATACTCACATTGCTATTCAAAACTGTGCCAATCCAGCGACTGGACACTCTGTCACTGGTTTCCACCAAAACACACTAGTTATCCAGTGTTGTGTATTTTGCTATTTCTGTTAATTGTCTCGTCTAAATGCTGAATATGTTAACGTCTCATCCTGGTTTAACAGCCCAGTGGAGAGATGAGGAGATTGCAGCTTTTCAAGGCTTTGCTTTAATGCCCAACATTTTGGGTACTTATTGGTACTGGCACTAGGCATCTGTGAGTACACAAATGAAAATATGTGTTGTTTGTAAAAGATGATACTGGGACAACCCACAAACTACATATTCTGCAGGTCAGCAGCTGTGTAAATCAACTGCTGATAGTGCAAGGATGTACAGACTGAGAACAAAATGTTAGCCAACAACTTACCCAAAGCAATAAAAGCAACTGGTGCCCACATTATGTCAAGTAGCAGTGACAGCATTGACAGTACACCTGTTAGCAATTTCCCACACTTGTCATTGAAAGGGTCCAGCATTGTGATGCAGTTTTTTTCTCTTAGTGGTTTAGCAAATACCAGAGCACCTTTAATTTAAGAAATTGGGGGAAAAAACATCATGAGATTACAAAATGATGACACTAGCACATTATTGTCATTTAGCTGCAGTGTGTTTACTGAATAAACTACCTTCACATTGACATTCTATTTAGTTAGCTGTCAAAATGAATGAATCAATTGCATTTATAAATTTGAGAAAGTTAATCTGACACAAAATGAAGAGCTCTGTACATCCAATGAATTCACTGTCTATTCATTAATCGTTGCTCTAATATATTTGCACACATCTCATCCAGTGGAACCAACTCTGTAAACAAACTCATGTAGTTATGTACTTACGTACTTACATATATATTTGTTAGTTTTATACTTAGTTCTGGTAGAATTTAAGTTATACTTTTGCTTAATTTTTCTGATTTTTTTTCTACAACAACAATGTTTTTGTCATATTCAAGATTATTCATGATGAAGTGACTGCTACCCTGTGATTTATCTATTTAAATCAACTGTCGAGATAGAAAAATGTAACTCACCAAAAATGAAAGAAAGGCTGTATGCACTGCTGTATGTGAGTGCTGAAATCAGTCCCATAGATGGTGTGTATGTCATCTCACTTGTCCCAAGAACTGAGCCTCCTCCAACCCATGTAGCTACAGGATGAATCAAACACAATGTTGAACAATTATAATTATAACCCACTCAGAATACACTGCATTCTCAATTATTATGCAAATTATATTTTTCTTTGATTTTTCTGACAGTCAGTTCTACCGGATGATCCCTGTTGTCACAAACTAAAACCGAAGACAGTGAAATTCACCCAGCTCAGCTCTGACACGGAAGCAGCTAGTGATTTTCTGGTGCTTCTTGTACAGTAGGCACAGTGAGGCAACAGTGGTTATTTAATTCTTGACCAACTCACCATGAGAAAAGAGCTTAAGAAAAAAGAGCTCTTGCGGGCCAAAACATGAATTGGTGGGCCGACTTTCTAGGGCATTCGGTGTAACAAGTGAATGTGACAATGATCCAAAAATTATTAATCAGCGCATTTTTCTCCACTACCGTGTTTGGAGTGAACGCCCCATAGTTGTTTTTCTACAGCACAGTAACAATAATTCCCTTTTGATAAATTATAGGTTGCCTCGGCACACACCTTCGACTTTCTGACTAGTGCCTGTAGTGACTTGTTTTGTGATGAGATGATACTGTATTTAAATTTTGTACATCAAGGGCAAATAGACTGGTTAGACTGGTTAGAAAAGTGAAATGTTTTATAATCCTAATTCAAAGTACTGTTTTTGTGTCGCTTCATTTAAAAAAGAACACACAGAAGAAAACACAACATTTTATACCCAAATAAACTCTCTGTGACTAAATTTACATCCTACATATTCTGGTTCCTTTTACCTGTCATGGTGAAAGTCCCCACAATCCAGCTGAGTTTTCTGTTGCCTAGCAAAGACATCTCCATTTCACTGGTCTTGCTTTTTTGCTGTTTCCTTTTGGACTTAAAAAAAGCCCAGATTCCAGTTCCAAGGACCACAAGGTAGAAACATACCATAACAATGATTCCTATAATGTTCACTGCCATGTTGCTTTGCTGCACTTTTTACTAAATGACACTGACTACAAAATCAAGGAAATGTTTCCTTGATTTTGTTCTCTGCGAGGGGGTGTGTCTGCTCCCGCTGAATTTTCACCAATCATTATTGGGATTGGGATCAGATTTTCTGGCTGTAATCCTGCAGAACAAACGTTTTAAAACTCAACACAATTAAAACGATGATGAATGACATACTTGTTCTAACACTAAAGACTAAGAAAACATGAAAAAAACAGATTTATATTTTTTCTTTACATCAACATTCGGAAGTTGATTTTACCTGTCGAAGAAACAGCTGCTTTTATTACACAGCAATGAACAATATTTTTAACTTAAATAAATAATAATCAATTGCAGAAACATGTATTAGTCTGTTATGAAGAAATTACACTTATACCAGCGGTCAACAACCTTTCTAGTTCCAAGGACTGGTCAGCCAGTACCACCTGTTACTACAGACTGGTAGCAAGTTGCTGAGCATTTAAGGATCATTAAATTCTGCCTTTAATTTAAAATATTGTCAGATTATCTTTAAATAAAGAAAGTAAACGGGTATGGTGGATTTTCTTTGAATGAAGTAAATTAGTAAAACTTAAGCACATTTTTTACTGTGTCTGACTGGAGCCCGGTACCAAATGACTTATGGACTGGTACTGGTCCGTGTACTGGAAGTTGGGGACCCCTGATCTTTATAAGGTTGCCCTTCAAGGGAAACAATATTGCTGATGTGGCCGGTAAAAATGAGTTCGACACCCCTGACATTGAGGGATGAAAATCAGTAACAAAACCTGGTTTAAGCTATAGAATCAGCTGCCAAGACCCTCTAGTGGATGCACTGACATCCCATACATCTCGATGCCTTACAGAAAGGAAAGGTTTTAGTAAAGAGTCTTCATTTGTTGACAATGTGGATCATTATTAGTATGTTGTTTTGTGTGTGTATGTGTGGAATAGCCATATTTGTCGGGACAATGTTTGGTATTATGTCTTTGTGGGGGTATTTTTTAATGTCCCCTCTATTGATGAGGGAGTTCTGAGGTCTATTATTAACTAATGATTAAGGCTAGGTTTGGGGTTTAGAGAATACATTATGTCTATGTTTGAGTGATGTGTGAAGTTTCTTTTTTTTATCTCACAAAGAACAAAAACTGGTCAATCATTAGTCCAATATTTTTCAGATGGAGTGAACCAATCCAAGGAGCCTTTAAGGTGTTCAACAGTGTGGCCAATGTCTCAGAAGCTGGGGTTCATCAAAACAAAGGGAACTGAGAGCCACTACACAATTCAGAACCAGGTGAGAACATGTACACAACATCCAGGTATGGATAAATTCCTCAAGAAATATATTGATCCCATATTTGGGAAATAGTTGTGTTAGCAGCAGATGTGCTGTTAACAGGCTGCCCCCAGCATAGTCCAAGCATGTGGTTTACATGATTGGACTATGGACTAATAGTTTCACCTGAGCGACACTTTTAGCTGGTTATATTTAAACGTGTCATATTTAAACAATGAGGACACTTTTTTTTTCATCACTGAGCTTTTATTTTCTGTTGTAAATTGCACTGGTAAACTTAAGGTTGGCATTTCTGGTATAAGTAGACAGTTCCTGGGATGGCAGGTGTCTTCTCAGTGTCTTTTTGTAGGTCCACATGTGGGTTTTTCATGTAAATGTTTGTGCGATGAATTCCCACTTGTCTCCAGAGTCCCTCCACCTCCATTCTCTGAATCTCTTGCTCTAGGTCCCTTGTATACTCCTGCGACTTCACATCTGTGTGATGACCCCTTGACATGCACACAAGCCCTCCTGTACAAAAACAAACACAAAGTTTCTTAGTTTACCAAGTATGACCTGAGAACTTGCTTTCAAATGCAAGGGCTCTTTATATTTGAAGATACCAGGCTTGATTTTACTATTTGTGAAATGCAGATTCACAATGCTTGCTCTAGGCTGAAGGCCATGCAGAACACTTGTTAGCAGCATACCGGGTTTTGCAGCACAACAGAGCTCTCTGCAGGCACTGACTGGAACAAAACCAGCATCCTGAGCACCAGCGATCATCACAATGTCATATGCATCTGGAAACGGACCAGAAATAGGAGATGAGAGACAAGAAAAACTGAAGAGTGAGTGAACAGTAACTGGATATACCAGGCTGTGCAGGAAGCGGTTCTGATCCTAGAAGAGTCTGTTTGAGTTCCTGGTAGAGTCCTGTCATTCTAGCTTTAGCAAGCATGCCTTCACTGCCATCCACACCCACAAAGTGCCTGAAGCCTAGGTCACGCATCTGCCCTCAGGAGAGAAAGAAGAACTGCAACATTGACCCTGGAACTTGGAGTGTGAGGACTAGTGTGAGCAGTCAAAGAGCCTTTTCAATCAGCATTAACAAGGTTGTCGAGATAGCTAAGAAGGTAACGACATGGACATGGATACCTTATCTGTCTGTTTTTATCTTTAACAACTACAGCACAACTGAACACACTAGGCACATGCGAAACTCACAAATGTCTTGTTGTCTGCTGACCTCACAGTTTCTCCTTGAAAAGCATGTTCTCCTGTTTGTCATCTTCTTTGCCCTAATTATCAAAGGGTTGACTTCTTCAGACACCCACTCTCACAACATGAGCCAAGACTTTAAAATCCTGGCCATTCTTCTTACCAGCTTTGCAACCCATCCAGTACCGCAGGCCACATCCAGGACCAAAGCATCTTCACGACTTCCTTGAAAGTTTCCATTCAGGAATTCCACTGCCAGATATGGAGATCTGTACCCTAAAAGGGCGTGGTCCTGTTTTATGCATTACACATTGTGCATTATGATAAGGACATTTGTATTTTAAAGATACTACTTAAAGATCACTACTTCACACATAAAGATAATTCACATCGTTTACCAAATTAAAATATTATCACTGTATTTAATATTTCAGACATCAAAATACAGTGAATGAATTATATTGCAGCAAAATAAGCAATACACCAACCTTTTCATAGTGTTCTGCCCAGTTGTTGTAATACTGCGCCCGGGTTTTTGCGTCTAGATCTATGGAACTCTGAAAGACTGTCTTGGCTTCAACAACTGTCCTTTTGTCCATCATGCAGGATGGCTCTTTGAAACATGATAACATTAGTGGATCAGGGAAAGGATGTTGTGTATTGATAAAAAAATGCAAATGCAGTTCACAAACTTCAGTGTAACTGGAGTAAAGCACTGCTTCTCTCAATGTACTTCTGAGGGCTAACTTTAAAGAAACTGGTAGCTCTTTGGGCCGTAAACCTAATGGGAGACTCAAGAGACTAGTCCAGACCCTGGTAAACCTTCTGGCCAGACATGGTCATTCTGAAATAACCATAAAATTATCTCTGGAGTAAGGAGTCACAACACATATTTAGCTTCTAGTAAACATTATATGTTTCTTAGTTGCTACGACCTTTCTCAAAAAACTGTGCTACTGCATCCAGCAGAATATATGCTGCACTTGGTAAAACACTAGGACCTTTGTTTTATGAAGATATAAAAGATCTTTATAAAACAAAGGTCCTCTTATCTGAGTGGCTGGCTTTTCCAGTTCAAACTGACTGCTTAAAAATCCTGCTATTTACACTCTTAGTGGCTGAATACCTAAATTAAAAAAACAGTACGTTCCAACTTTTTGTTTTTACTGTTCACAAGGTTCATGGTGCGTAAGGGTAATTGTTATTTTCCCAAAAACTCTTATACAGAAAACACCACCAACTTCACCACTGCATTTACATCTTACAATAATGACTCTTCGTTCTACATACCATGACTGTCCAGCAGTCAGTTAGAACTAAAGAAGTGAATTGTATCCATGAAACCGAGCCAGCCCAGTTCCCTATTTTTGAAGTACTAAGGATGAAAACCTGTTGTAAATGTATTTTTCATTTATATTTATTTAAAATAACAACTATTTTATTATAAAAGCATTATTTAGTAGACAACTGTCCTTCACATGGTTAAATCATGTCCACTTAACCTGACCTACAGATCTGTCAAAGAATATTTATCACATACTCTATCTTCTTTATTTTACTCACCAGTGCTCCAGTTGAGATAAAACAGCAGAATTGAACTGGTCTTAATAACCCTAGCTCAACAGAGAGACAGTTAATATGACTAGAATGAACACACAAACGTGGACTTTGTAGAGTCACAAAGTCCAGGTTTGTTGATAGGCATGCCTGTTGTGTTGAACATAAAGAGTTAAAGGTTGCTAAATAGGAAATTGTCTAAAACCAGTAGTTTTTCATTGTTAGTCACATTCTCTATGCTTAAATAAATTATTTAATTCAACTTAAATGTGCAAACATTTTTCACACAAAAAACTATACTGTAGGATGAGTAGAAGAGATAGGAGCCCAGAGAGTATGTATGAAACATTTCAGTTTATCTTACATACTGTTGAACAACACTTGGCATTCAACCATTTTTTATACATTTTACACGTATTCTCACTGACTTACTTGATTTTTAATGTTATTTTAAAGTTTTAAAAAAATGTAATTCTGTCACAACCAAAGACATTTTTGTTCTGGAAATTGTGAAAAAAAGATATCAAATGTGTCCAACATTTATAAATGGGATTTTAATTCATAGTTCCTCTGTTATTCAAAATTTTGTATCAAAACATGTATTTTGAAATTGCCCAGTCTCATTCTCATCAGCACCATGTGCTGGACTCAGTTGTTGTGGTGAGAGCTGAACTTTCACCTTAAACATGTCACACTTCTCAGGAAGCAGACCTTTGTTGAAGAGCACAGATGTCAGATAGGAGAACAACAATATGGCAGCAACAGCAGACACCATAGAGATGGTCTTCACTGGAGCGTACTGGACATAAACTCCATCCTCAAGGACACATCCTGGGAAACAGAGGACAACTGGCAGTCCAATTAATTCTATTCCACTGAGAACTCTTAGTAACAGTCCCACCACACAGCCCATGATAGCTCCATAACCGTTGGAAATTTGGAAGAACACGACACAGAGTAGCTGAGGGAACATTACAGTATAGGCCACTTCAGAAGTCAGAAACCAAAAAACTAGGGCACTGGAGCTTGCACTGGTTAGTGATGTGCCAATCACACCCGCTACCAAAATGACGACACGGATCACCATCAGAATCTCTCTCTGTGATGCCTGGAAAAGAAAAGTTAGAGCAATAATTTGGAATAACTTTCTTACACACTTGTTATATAAACTTGTCCTCACCTGTGGCCTCAAGACAGTCTTGTATATGTTGGTGCTGAAGACAGAAGCAACAGATATCAAAGCAGAGTCAGCTGATGACATCACAGCAGCAGCTACAGATGCTATACCAATAATAGAGACGAAGGGTGGTGTGAGGTGCTGTAGGGTGATTGGCAGGATCAGAGTTGCTTCACCGCGATCATATGGAGATGGAGAACCGTATGAGGTCAGGTTCCAGTCTGAGGAACAGAAAGGCACATGTTCTTTTAAATAATCTGTTTGATGGATTCTATAAAGCTTTGTGTACTGAGGAGGCACTAAAGTAGACTTTCTTAAAGCCAAAGGTACTTTTTTTGGATGCAGGTGTGTGGACACAGGAATGTAAAAAATATGTTTTTTCCAAATGTGTGTTGCATATCCAACTACATATCTATCTAAAAGCAGTTACTACCTGTAGATGCAGCAGCTGCTCCAAGCAGGACAGGAGGAATGACAAACATGGGGTAGACAAAAGCAGCAACAATAGCTGTGCGCTTTGCGGTTGATGAAGAAGTTGCTGCCAGGTTCCTCTGATGGAGGCACTGATATCCCAAACTCCCCAGTGACTGAGGGAACATGTGAAGTGTTAGAACAGATGCTGTATCAGTTGCTGGACTACAGTCACAAGAAAGTCTTATCAGAACACATATTTCAGTCAGTTCATGTTTTATTATACACAAATATGTATAAATATAATTTAGCACCACAACACACCTCTGGTTGTATGTTTTATCTAGAAAATGAGGGAAACTCTTGTTGTACTATGTCTCTGGATATAATTTGAAAACACCAACACATCAATGTCAGAAAAGGAAAAGGAAAAGGAAGGATTTTTAAGGAATGCACTTCATATTTATTTAGTCAGCTAACTCTACGTGTTTAATATATATGTATGGCCTACAGCTGGGTGAGCATACATATAACCCAAGCTAAAGCAACTTCTTGCCAGAAGTACATCACTCAACTGTAGTGCAGGATTCCTCAACCCCTGGTCTGGTACTAGTTTGTAGGTTATTTGGTACCTGCCCATAGCAGTTTTCAAAATAATCAAAATAATATAAGAGAATATAATCTAAAAGACATTTTATTTTACAAAATTTACTGATCCTTAACGAACCTTCAATAATCATCGGGGAGCTGCTGGTCTGCAGTGCTGGCCGATACTGAATTACCGGTCCTTGGTACAATTAAAAGGGTACTCCTGTGTTAGAGTCTTATATAACACAGTCTGAAAGCTTTTGAGAGGTTTTTCTTTCAGCCTTGAGTCACTCAAGGAGCATTATATTACAAGATATTTTACATGTATATATGTATGTACTTGACATAAGTTATGCTACATAACAATTAATCCTAATTGTTATATTGTGCAGAAAATGGTAAAAGCAAAAAAAGTGTATATTTTATGTTGCTGCTGGAAATGACTGCCATAGAATTATGCTTTGTTGACAACAGTGCAGTTTTATCCTACCAAGAATAAAATTTCATCAATAATGATCCCAGCCTTTTTCGCTTCTGGTTCACCAATCCAGGGAAAGTGTAAGGTGTTGTTCTTCAGTGTCTGGCTAATGTCCACGGTGCTGGGGTTCATCAACACAAAGGGAACACAGAGCCACTGCAGAGACAGACGATAAGGTAAGGAAGAAGCACACAGAACATCAACGTATTCTATTTAACTTGTATTACAACAAACTCACCAAACTTATAAATATAAGAATTAGCTGTATGACATCAGTGTAGGCCACAGAGTAGAGACCTCCCATCAGTGTGTATAAAATAACAACAGCAGCAGAGATCCAGACACACACAGTAAAAGACAAGTCCAGGATCACACTCATGGTTCCTCCTGTATGTATTTTTTTGTGGAAATTGCTATAATGAGACATTTGCACATCCATTGGTAAATGTGTACTTATCTAACTTACCTAAACCCACCAGTGTGGCTGGCAACCACAGTATGTCTTGCATAACTGAGATCATTGACAGTCCGGCCGCCAGCACTTTTCCATACTTTTCATAGAAAGGGTCCATCATCGTCACACAGTTCTTTTTTCTCAGTGGTTCAGAAAACAGGAAAGCACCTGGATTTATTGCATGGATTGTGTATGGAGGAAAATGAAAAGCTTTATTAAATATTATGAAGTAAGTTATTTGTTTTATTAAAATAGGTAATGAATAATAAAAAAGCGTACATAGTATAAAAGAGGTGCTGTATGAAACTATTAAAGTGACAGCCCAGGTTAGGCCCATATCAGGTGTGTACATTCCCTCTGCTGTGCCAACGATGGTTCCTCCTCCGTACCAGGTAGCTACAAAATAAAAATGTTTTAGTGAATAGACTACAGCTGTCATGTCATAATTCTCCCTTTTAGCTAAAACTAAATACTATTTAAGGATTAGGGTCTAGGGTCAGTTGTACTGTAATTCAAAGCCATCAGGCTGTAAAGGTGGTGCCTTTGGAACAATGAGTCTATATGAATCTATCTACGCATGTTAAAATGAGTTTATGTTATGACAACACTTAGCCCTCAGCATCTCAATAATTATTAAGTATAACACAAGACATTCAAAGAACAGCTGACAGAGAACCTGTGACATCCATCAGAGACTTCTGAGACTCATACTTGCCAAGTTATTTTAAAACTGTATGTTCATGTCAAGACGGCAAACATGCTTTTCTCGAAGATCATCATACCTGAAAATCCTATGCAAAGTTAACTCTTACTTGGATATTACCGACTGCTGTCCTGTGTCATCACCTGTCAGAGTAAAGATTCCTACAAACATGTTGAGGTTACGGTTTCCCAGCAGAGCCATTTCCACATCACCACTTCCACTTTTCTTCTGCTCCCTCCTGGACTTAAAAGAAGCCCAGATTCCAGTTCCAAGGAGCAGCAGATAGAAAATCACCATGACTATCACTCCTGGGATGTTCACAGCCATGATGCTCTGTTCCTCTTGCTTCAGCACACTTACATGTGATTGAGAGAAACAGAAAAAAAAAACACAACAAAAGCAATAGGTCACTTTTATAGAACAATTAACCATCGACAGATATTATGAAAAGACATTAAAGAATAATCTTTAAAACATTGTTCAGTTTAAGAAGATATTTTCACATCTTGCTTTTATTTATACTACTGGTTGGTAGTTTAGTAAAGCACATTAGTTGTCCTGTTAGGGGGGAAAAAGGAACAATTTTAGGACCTATAATAAACCTTGGTACAACAACAACAATTCAGCTGCTCTGAGGCTAAATACCAGAATTTAGAAGTTAGAACTATAGAAGCCTCTTGGTTGAGAGGTGGAACGTCCTCAAGAAACCTTCTCCATCCAGTTGCCCTCGATGTAACTATTTGTGGATTGATTTGTTTTTATCCCCTTAAGCAAAACAAGGGTCTTTCTCAGAGAACAACCCAAACAAGATTCAGGTTAAACAAGTAAAAAAAAACAAAAAACTTTATGCTTACCTTAAGTAACCCGGAGCCAAATGAAAAAGAGAAATATTTTAATTGGATCCAATAATACAATAACTTTGGTATAAAGAGACTGATACTCCACTTCAGTCAGTGTCAAAACATAGTGAAATGTAAGCTGTTCCCTGGCATTTACACCATCTCAGACCTGTCTGTACCTGTTTTTTTTGTATAGCACTCTAATATGAATCAGCCAAAATCTTTCTCACCTTATATTTGAAACATAAGTTACTATAATTGTTGTAAAGTCTTCAACAAACCTAAAGGTCTGGTTGCTACGTATTTTACAACATAAAAAAAAACATATCTTGGAAAAGTGCATCCTGGGTCTGATGACTCTCTTTTGTATAAATTTCACATGCCAGTCCAAAACTGCCTTTTTAAGTATCCTCTATTTGCTCGTCACTTTAACTGGCAGCAGCGTACAGCACAAAGAAAACAACGATATATGAGTTATAACAGCATCAGTGAACCGATACATTAGTAATGAAAGATTTCATGTTTGAATTTTTTGTTGCCATATAAAAACATTTCTGCAGTAACTGCATTTATAGCTGCAGCTTTACTTCATACTGGCAGTTGTGTCTTGTTTATCAGTTGTTTGAAAATGTGTGTCAAATATTGATGACAAATAAGGAAACACTATGTGGTTATGAGCTTTATAGTAGCAGAGGCAACACATCACCCTGGTCATAAAAATATTTTTATCAGACCTAGCATCTCAGTAATTTTCCGAGTCTTCCTACACTGAATGTTAGGCTTTTTTAATCACATTTACACCCGCAACCTGATTCTTTAATTAAAACACCAAGGCATTGGTAGAGCAACACATGTTGCTGTGCTCTTGATCTGTGATGTTTTGAAAAGGAAAACATGCATTAAATATAAAAACAATAATTATTTAAAAATACATTTACATTCTGATTTATCAGATTATTTTGTTAATTTGTGTGTCAAAATTCTCCACATCTCTTACCTGTTTAATCGAACCCACTACATGCAGGACAGTCCAGGTGCAATCAGTGCCAAGAAGGTTGGAAGTCGTCTAAGTCCTGTTCAGGTGGAGAGTTTTCATACACGGACATGATGACATGCATATGCCCGTCTCACAAAAAAGGTCGCTGGATTACCCTTTTTTCACCCACATTGACCTTTGTGCCTATTTTCTGATATATAAGTTAATATTTTACTGACAGAGACAGTGTGGGCACACTCATCACCTCATCACTACAGGTGACTTTGCAGCTGCTTTTGTTATGATTCCATGTCTGGATGTTTGACAGGAACAAGAACAGATAAGTAAATTTAGATAAACTTTCAATAATTCATTAATAATAATAACATCGTCCTCACATACAGCTGTTCATCCAGTCACCTGGGGCCACACTATGTACCTTTACACCTATTCTCACTGACTTACTTGATTTTTAATGATATTTTAGAGTTTAAAAAAGTGATAAATGTAATCCTGCCACAACCAAGGACATTTTTGTTCTGGAAATTGTGAAAAAAAGATATCAAATGTGTCCAACATTTATAAATGGGATTTTAATTCATAGTTCCTCTGTTATTCAAAATTTTGTATCAAAACATGTATTTTGAAATTGCCCAGTCTCATTCTCATCAGCACCATGTGCTGGACTCAGTTGTTGTGGTGAGAGCTGAACTTTCACCTTAAACATGTCACACTTCTCAGGAAGCAGACCTTTGTTGAAGAGCACAGATGTCAGATAGGAGAACAACAATATGGCAGCAACAGCAGACACCATAGAGATGGTCTTCACTGGAGCGTACTGGACATAAACTCCATCCTCAAGGACACATCCTGGGAAACATAGGACAACTGGCAGTCCAATTAATTCTATTCCACTGAGAACTCTTAGTAACAGTCCCACCACACAGCCCATGATAGCTCCATAACCGTTGGAAATTTGGAAGAACACGACACAGAGTAGCTGAGGGAACATTACAGTATAGGCCACTTCAGAAGTCAGAAACCAAAAAACTAGGGCACTGGAGCTTGCACTGGTTAGTGATGTGCCAATCACACCCGCTACCAAAATGACGACACGGATCACCATCAGAATCTCTCTCTGTGATGCCTGGAAAAGAAAAGTTAGAGCAATAATTTGGAATAACTTTCTTACACACTTGTTATATAAACTTGTCCTCACCTGTGGCCTCAAGACAGTCTTGTATATGTTGGTGCTGAAGACAGAAGCAACAGATATCAAAGCAGAGTCAGCTGATGACATCACAGCAGCAGCTACAGATGCTATACCAATAATAGAGACGAAGGGTGGTGTGAGGTGCTGTAGGGTGATTGGCAGGATCAGAGTTGCTTCACCGCGATCATATGGAGATGGAGAACCGTATGAGGTCAGGTTCCAGTCTGAGGAACAGAAAGGCACATGTTCTTTTAAATAATCTGTTTGATGGATTCTATAAAGCTTTGTGTACTGAGGAGGCACTAAAGTAGACTTTCTTAAAGCCAAAGGTACTTTTTTTGGATGCAGGTGTGTGGACACAGGAATGTAAAAAATATGTTTTTTCCAAATGTGTGTTGCATATCCAACTACATATCTATCTAAAAGCAGTTACTACCTGTAGATGCAGCAGCTGCTCCAAGCAGGACAGGAGGAATGACAAACATGGGGTAGACAAAAGCAGCAACAATAGCTGTGCGCTTTGCGGTTGATGAAGAAGTTGCTGCCAGGTTCCTCTGATGGAGGCACTGATATCCCAAACTCCCCAGTGACTGAGGGAACATGTGAAGTGTTAGAACAGATGCTGTATCAGTTGCTGGACTACAGTCACAAGAAAGTCTTATGTTTTTAATATATATGTATGGCCTACAGCTGGGTGAGCATACACATACAAGCAACTTCTTGCCAGAAGTACATCACTCAACTGTAGTACCGGCCCATACTGAATGATCGGTCTCTTTGAGAGGTTTTTCTTACACTACTGTTATAAAGTTGCACAATAAAACAATTAATCCTAGTAATTGCAGAAGATTGTAAAAGCAAAAAAAGTGTATATTTTATGTTGCTGCTGGAAATGACTGCCATAGAATTATGCTTTGTTGACAACAGTGCAGTTTTATCCTACCAAGAATAAAATTTCATCAATAATGATCCCAGCCTTTTTCGCTTCTGGTTCACCAATCCAGGGAAAGTGTAAGGTGTTGTTCTTCAGTGTCTGGCTAATGTCCACGGTGCTGGGGTTCATCAACACAAAGGGAACACAGAGCCACTGCAGAGACAGACGATAAGGTAAGGAAGAAGCACACAGAACATCAACGTATTCTATTTAACTTGTATTACAACAAACTCACCAAACTTATAAATATAAGAATTAGCTGTATGACATCAGTGTAGGCCACAGAGTAGAGACCTCCCATCAGTGTGTATAAAATAACAACAGCAGCAGAGATCCAGACACACACAGTAAAAGACAAGTCCAGGATCACACTCATGGTTCCTCCTGTATGTATTTTTTTGTGGAAATTGCTATAATGAGACATTTGCACATCCATTGGTAAATGTGTACTTATCTAACTTACCTAAACCCACCAGTGTGGCTGGCAACCACAGTATGTCTTGCATAACTGAGATCATTGACAGTCCGGCCGCCAGCACTTTTCCATACTTTTCATAGAAAGGGTCCATCATCGTCACACAGTTCTTTTTTCTCAGTGGTTCAGAAAACAGGAAAGCACCTGGATTTATTGCATGGATTGTGTATGGAGGAAAATGAAAAGCTTTATTAAATATTATGAAGTAAGTTATTTGTTTTATTAAAATAGGTAATGAATAATAAAAAAGCGTACATAGTATAAAAGAGGTGCTGTATGAAACTATTAAAGTGACAGCCCAGGTTAGGCCCATATCAGGTGTGTACATTCCCTCTGCTGTGCCAACGATGGTTCCTCCTCCGTACCAGGTAGCTACAAAATAAAAATGTTTTAGTGAATAGACTACAGCTGTCATGTCATAATTCTCCCTTTTAGCTAAAACTAAATACTATTTAAGGATTAGGGTCTAGGGTCAGTTGTACTGTAATTCAAAGCCATCAGGCTGTAAAGGTGGTGCCTTTGGAACAATGAGTCTATATGAATCTATCTACGCATGTTAAAATGAGTTTATGTTATGACAACACTTAGCCCTCAGCATCTCAATAATTATTAAGTATAACACAAGACATTCAAAGAACAGCTGACAGAGAACCTGTGACATCCATCAGAGACTTCTGAGACTCATACTTGCCAAGTTATTTTAAAACTGTATGTTCATGTCAAGACGGCAAACATGCTTTTCTCGAAGATCATCATACCTGAAAATCCTATGCAAAGTTAACTCTTACTTGGATATTACCGACTGCTGTCCTGTGTCATCACCTGTCAGAGTAAAGATTCCTACAAACATGTTGAGGTTACGGTTTCCCAGCAGAGCCATTTCCACATCACCACTTCCACTTTTCTTCTGCTCCCTCCTGGACTTAAAAGAAGCCCAGATTCCAGTTCCAAGGATCAGCAGATAGAAAATCACCATGACTATCACTCCTGGGATGTTCACAGCCATGATGCTCTGTTCCTCTTGCTTCAGCACACTTACATGTGATTGAGAGAAACAGAAAAAAAAAACACAACAAAAGCAATAGGTCACTTTTATAGAACAATTAACCATCGACAGATATTATGAAAAGACATTAAAGAATAATCTTTAAAACATTGTTCAGTTTAAGAAGATATTTTCAAGCACAGATTTCAATTGGTCTGTCCTACACTGAGCTAGTAATGGTTGACTGAACTGTGTTTTACTTGTTATTTCTAAGTACTGTTAGCGTTCAGTGTGGAGCGACTCTCCTAAAAATGGACAGCTTGCTTTTATTTATACTACTTAGTTGTCACCTTAGTTGTCCTGTTAGGGGGAAAAAAATGTAGGACCTACAATAAACCTTTGTACAACAATCCTCACTTCAGGTATTCAGCTGCTCTCAGTATCCAGTTCAGTAGGTTCACAACAGGAATACTGAATAACTCGTAGTACAACTGTCTTAAGCTAAACCAAAACCACATGCTCTACTCTACCTTGAATAGGAAAACAGGGTTTAAACAAAAAAAAAAAATTTAAAAATACATTTAATCACACATTTCTCATTTTACTAATCTCTGGATTCCTGGGAACACTGATGCATACACTCCAGCTGAACTTTAGTTGTATTTCCTCTGAACCTGCAGGGTTTCAAGCCTAACCCCAGTGCTTGTAGTGCAGCCACTAAAGCTAATGTTAGTGCCAACAGTCAAATAGTATAGACAGCCAAAAATACACCTGTATATCAGTTCATAAATGTAGTTTTCAAATAAATTATTTGAACTTAAATTATTCTTGTTCATTGATATTCAGTGTTGCTGTTTGATGAGAATGTTAATGTGTGTGCAGATAACGTTGTAATATGTGGTGAGAGTGGGCAGCAGGTGGCAGAAAACCTGGAGAGCAAGGAGGCAAATTACATATGCTTTTATGAGAGTAAGGCGAGTTGAAAGATACAGCTCTGGGGATTAGAGGTAGTTAAGGTGGATGAGTTTGAATATGTAACATCAACCAGCCAGAGTCATCGACAGTACACAATAGAGGTGAAGAAAAGGCTGCATGCAGAGGGCATGGATGGGGGGATCTGAATGTCAGGGGTGGTTTGTGGTTAAAGACAGCAGCAATGTTGAAAGAAAAGGTTAATAAGGCTATGGCTCGGGCTAATAGACAACAGGCTGAGCTGCAGGTTAGATGAATATGTGAAGATTTTCAATAGTAGTGACCAGGATGGACAGGATTAGAAATGGGCAGATCAGAGGGACAGTTAAGGCGGAGCTGTTTGGAGGTAAAGTTAGAAAGATAAGTTAGAGATGGTTTGGCCACAGACAAAGGAGATATACTGAATATATTGAACAAAGGATGTTATAAATTGGTTTGTGGATCTTGTAAAAGAAGGCATGGCAATAGCTGCTATAAAAGCAGAGGAGGCAGGCAACAGAGTGAGGTGAAGGCAAATGATTCGCTTTGGTGACCCTGAAGGGAGCAGCCGAAAGAAGAAGATTGTTCAAAGGTGTCAAAAGTCTCCATATCTCTTACCTGTTTAATCGAACCCACTACAGGACAGTCCAGGTTTAATCAGGGCCAAGAAGATTATATGTCGTCTTAGTCCTAGGTATGTCATACACAGACATGAGAACATACCTATGCCCCGTCTCACAAAAAAACGCATTTTTCACCCCCGATGACCTTTGTGCCTAAAGCCATTTTCCCATATATAAGTTAATATTTTACTGACAGAGACGGTGTAGGGACACACCATGTCATGATATACATATATGATAAAATGTACTTTGTTGTACTATGCATGGACTTAACTGTATAACACTACATTATACCATATGCATGCATGCTACACCCTGCTAATCTAAATAATGCTATTCTACTGTATGTTTTGCAAAACAACACACACTAAACATTTAACTCCCTTATAATTAAGTCTATGTTGCTTCAGAGCGTTTATTGACCATAACTTACAACTAGAACAATGCATGATGATGAGAGACCAATGAGCATAGAACTACTTTGTGCATTCAAGGACAACTAGCATCACCTCATCAACTTTAGTCAAAACCTGACTCATGCAGTTCTGAACTTTTTATTATAATAATAATAATAATAATAATACATTTTATTTAAAAGCGCCTTTCAAGTCACCCAAGGACACTGTACATAAAACAAAACAAAACAAAACAAAATTGTACACAGATGTACAATATTTGTAACTTGAATAAATAATAATTAACTGCAAAAACATTTTATTAACACACCATTGAGTAGTTACATCTATACAGTCTTCCAGTTACAACCCACCCTTCAAGGGCAACAGTGCTGTGCCCCCTAGTAAAATATGAATTTGACAGCCCTGCTTTACAATGGCTCTATCCTTAGAGTAAATAGAAGTCTCTCAGTCTGCAGCTGATTATCAGGCGTTGCAGCAGGGTAACACGGAGAATTAGGCTTTCAGTCATTTAGCCCATTTCTATCTTTATAAATGTAATAGTTTTATTCTGCTGTGTTAAGAAATATGTGCAATGTGAAACAAGCACCTTGCTTTGTGAAAGATGTTTTCCCTCTCATCAAAATAGACGTCTTTATCTCTAACTAGTAGAAAACCACAAGTATTTGGCTCCCATAAACGTGACATGTCCTGGTCTGCTCTGCTTAACGACATTGCACTACAGTGTTTACTACAACAGCTCGCAGCCAAGTTGCCACATTGCTGGATCAGTGTAATGATCCAGAGTCTGATGTCCTGTGCATCAGTTCTTACAGTCATGATCAGACAGCTTCACCAACACACAACACCATACTACTTTAGTGTTACTACTAGTGCATTGTGTAATAGGTGTGTGCTGTTCCATATGTACCTGTTTGCTTTTATTGGCATAGACTGGTAAGAAACATTATAAAACATTATATAAACACAAAAACAATCAATATTTTGAGATTCCCAATAACTACAGATTTTTCTGATTACTTTATATATATATTAAAAAAAAGTGTCTCTGTTAGAAAATTTTACTTTATGTATATATTTTTAAAAAAAAGTGTCTCTGTTAGAAAATTTGTTTTCTTTTGCACCTCAAAATTTTGTTTTGAACCTAAATCCTCTGTACTCAGTCTCATGGTCTTCACTAGAATCTTGGACTGGACTCAGCTGTTGTGGTGAAAGCTGGATTTTAACCTTGAACACGTCACACCTCTCAGGAAGCAGGTCTTTGTTGAAGAGCACAGATGTCAGATAGGAGAACAACACAATGGCAGCCATAGCAGACAGCATGGAGATGGTCTTCACTGGAGCGTACTGGACATAAACTCCATCCTCAAGGACACATCCTGGGAAACAGAGGACAACAGGAAGTCCTAGAGATGGGACTCCACTGAGGAGTCTGAGCACCAGCCCAACCACACAGCCCACGATAGCTCCATAACCATTGGAGATGTTGAAAAAGAGAACACAGAACAACTGAGGGAAGACAACAACGTAGGCAACTTCATAACCTAAAATTAGGAACTTCAGGATGCTTTTCTCCTCGCTTGTTAGCGAAGTACCAACCAAACCCACCACCAGGATAACAACAGAGATCACCCACTGGATCTCTCTCTGCGATGCCTAGGGGAAAAAAAGAAATGTTTTGTGAATTAAAATTTATATATTTTTTCTGAATTTTTTTTTTCAGTCACATCCTCACCTTTGGCCTTAGGATGTTCTTGTAAATGCTGGAGGTGAAGACAGAAGCTGCAGAAATCAGAGCAGAATCAGCTGATGACATCACAGCAGCAGCCACACATCCAGTACCGATGATGGAGATGAAAAAAGGAGTAAGGTGCTGCAGGGTGATGGCCAAGATCAGAGCTGCTTCACCACGTTCGTATGGAGACGGAGAACCATAAGTTGTCTGGTTCCAATCTGAGGAACAGAACACAGGTTCAGAATGGACTCATTATTCACACAGATTTTTAGCTTACAGAAGTGACTTCTGATATTTTTACTTCTTAGAATCTGACCATACCTGTAGATGCAGCACCTGCTCCAAGCAGAATAGGAGGAATAACAAGAATAGGCAGGAGGAGAGAAGCAACCACACTCATTATTTTGGCATTGGTGAAGGAGGAGGCTGCTAAAGTTCTCTGGTGGAAACACTGATATCCCTGAGTGCCCAGTGCCTTAAGACAAAAAGAAGACAATTTCACTACAATGTAGTATTGCTATCATAAAAATCTGCTCCTTTGGAAATGATCCCTAAATTTGTGTTCTGCATTTTTAGTGTAAGGAACAGAATCAGAGATGATAGTACTGCTTGGTCTTACGAAGAAGAGGAACTCATCAAATATGAGCCAAATGTTCTTCACTTCCAGCAAACCAACCCAGGGAGCGTGTAAGGTGTTGTTCATCAGTGTTTGACCAATGTCTGTGCAGCTGGGGTTCATCAGAACAAAGGGAACACAGAGCCACTGTGGAGACAGAGGAAAGGTCAGTAAGAAACACATACAGCAGCCAGTTCTTTACAACACTCTGAGAACCAGGTCTGCTTTTTTACTTAGTGTGTGCTTCTTTAAAACAGTTTTAAATGAATTAGATTCATGTCTGTGCTGCCACGGACCACTGAGTAGGTATTAATTTGTCTCCTTCCACTCAGAAGGAGTGTTGAACACTACAGCTTTAGATTTGGTGTGATAGCCACCTGGTAATTATCACATATTACAGAAGGTTGGGGATTAATGTCAATATGAATTATTATCACTAGTAAGCAGATTAGACATGTGATGATGTCTGAAGACAAATGCATCTGTCAGTGATTCTACTGCAGTTAAGATGGGACTTGTCAAAACCCTGTTTGTACGTAAAGGTCAGTCTGTTCTCACACTTTACCCCTCTGTCATGCATTAATGAGAATTCACACACTTTACACCTGAACATCAAAATGGACATGGATGTCACGCTAAAGATACAATGCACTCACTGAACTGAAGAATATAAGGATCAGCTGTATAATATCAGTGTAGGCCACAGAGTAGAGACCTCCCAGCAGTGTGTAGATGATGGCCACAGCAGCAGAGATCCAGACTGACACAGTGTAGGACAAACCCAGGATCACACTCGTGGTTCCTCCTGTCAGGCACATTGAGCAGGTGAAATTTTACAAAATTACCGCAGCAGTATTTGAACTCCTTGCAGTTTAGCAGGCACATTTAGGAGTTAAACGATGAACCGCAGCAGTATTTGAACTCCTTGCAGTTAAAAACAGTTGACATCCCTTGTTCCTGTTATTGGTTCCTATTTCGAAAACAGATTTTTACCTAATGCAATAAGTGCAACAGGAACCCACAGTATATCCAGAAGTAGTGAGAACATGGACATCCCAGCTGTTAGAACCTTTCCATACTTCACATGGAAAGGATCCAGCATTGTCACACAGTTCTGTTCTCTCAGTGGTTTAGCAAACACCAGACCACCTGGATTTAAAGAAAGAATAATAATGACCAATTAAAAAAAAGCCCGTCCTTTCAACAACACAGCCAATCAACAAACTTACATATAATAAATGATGTGCTGTATCCAAGTACCATCGTAGCAGCCCAGGTCAGTCCCAAAGAGGGTGTGTACACACTTTCAACAGTCCCGACGATTGTTCCTCCTCCATACCAAGTTGCTTCAAATGGAAGATGGTGTCAATGAGCTTGTCAGCCATTTTGATTTATTGCCCTGTGCTCAGTGAGGCTGCTCTGACACAACCTCTACATCTGGGCAACAGTAAAATCCTACATACACAAATAATTGCGCTGAGCATTGAGATGGTATTCTGAACTACTGAAGTGTGAGCAAATAATAACCTGCATGTCAACTGTGCATCAGAGCAGTGATAAATGAATTAATGGTGGAATTATTCTGCTCCTGAGTTAAATTGAAAGTAAGCATTTACAACATACAGTATACCATACAGTATTGTGCATTTATTGGGTTAGTATAATGTGCTGTGCCCAATGACTTGAATAGGTAAAATAACTTATATGTAACAGAGGTTAATAGTTATGTAGTTATAATTGTTTTATTTGTTCTACCCGACGGAAGTGGTTTCTTCCTCCCTGGGCGGAAACTTGACGTATATATTTTTGATATAAAAAGTCAGTCACACCCAACCTCTCCCCTCTTTCTTCGGACTTTGTTGTTTTTCTGTTGGTCCCTGTTTTCAACATTTTATTTAATTCTGTACAATATATTTTTGTTTTGTGTGTACTTTGTAGGGGCTCGGGTGGTGTCCAGAAGGAAAATTACTTTGTTCTATGTAAATTCCGTCAGATCAATGGTGACAGCAGCACGACGGCTTTCTTAAGACACAACTGTGGCTACATTACATTACAAATACGCAGCTGGAATGTAAAAACATAAACAACACCAGATGCCTCTCAACAGTACACACCGTACGCACCATTGTCCAATTGCCTCTTCAGCATCAGTGCACTTTGTACTACTTTGATCTGACTAAGTGCCCTCAGATGTTCTCACCTGTCATGGTGAAGATACCCACCAACCAGCCCAACTTTCGATTTCCCAGCAGAGCCATCTCCATTTCCCCTGCTCCACTTTTCTTCTGCTCCCTTCTTGACTTGAAAGCAGCCCAGATCCCGGTCCCGAGGACCAGCAGGTAGAAAAGCACCATCACTATAACTCCAGGGACGTTCACGGCCATGATGCTGTAATCCTCTGTCGCAAACGTCAACTGTTCAAATGAGGCACACGACTGAGCTGAAAGATGATTGTGACATAATTGCTGCACAGACACGTGTTCCTGTACTTACTAGAACTATACTTGTGGGGACTTTTTTGAGAAAACACTATGGATGAGTGGACACTTTATCCTTGTGGAGATGTTCTACACATCTGAGTGAGTGGGTAATAATTAAGAAGATGTTTGTTTATAGTATGTAAGGCGATGGCATTGTGCTCAGGATTGGCCTGTATCCAGCTTGTTTAAATATTTACAATACACAGAAATCTACACTGGCTTCACATGCACAATTCTTGATGACATGACATTGAACTTTAGTCTAGAATTTATGAAGCAGTCTGTCTGCACAAACTTTCCATGTTCTCCCACAGTCCAAAATACAAGCAGGATTAAGTTAATTGTTCACTTTTCATTGAGCCCACAGACCAACCCCCACACTTTTGTTACCCTTAAAATGACTAAGCTGTAGATAAACACATGCAGGTCCTGTTGTGGTTCAACACTGCAATCAAGCAGACGGAACATATTTTATTGCGAGATGTTTTGACTCTTGTGCAATTGTACAACGACACTGAACTCTGCCCTGATCATAAATAAGATGACATGTCTACAAAAATAAAAGAGAGTTTAGATCAAGGCCAAACATGTAGTGTGAAGTTAAGTGTAAATCTTTTGGAAGATAATCAGGACTTTGTGAACTTTCACTTGTAGAAAATCTTTTAACCTGCATGTTTTCCCACGGTCATGTTTGAAATTGACAAAAATGTGGGGATGTGGGAGTGTCCGGTGAACTGTTCAGGGTGTGTCCAACACTGAGAAAGTACTGTGCATCAATTATAAACAGGAACACAGGTTCATTATTCATGAAACTAGTTCCAGAGGCTAAGAAGCTAAAGTGAGCGTCTGCTAAGAAAATTATCCATTTAATTTAAAGTAATAGTCCATGGTCTGCTGGGACTATGCAGAGCTATGACAACATTTCCTGCCCTTCTGTTCCACTCTTCATTAGGGTCTCTTGCTCTTGTCTTGTCTCTTGGTTCTGCAGCTTTGTGCCAACACCAGAAAGTCAAAGAGTTTATTTCTGGACTTTATTTCTAGAATTAGTCACAAAATCTGGTTTATTGAGTCACTCCATTAATACAAGCCAACAATCATAAACATATTTGACAATACATACAAATCTGGTTAATTCCACACACTTTCTTCAGACATTTCTCTGAACCAGCTGTGATTTCAACACTTTCTCTCCTCTCATGTATGAGGGATAATCCGATTCAATCACCTACTTCGTGCCGTCACATTTCTCAGCCTCAAAAGGCTTCAAATCATACAATAACAAGACCAGGTCTTGAGAAAATATGTTTGTCATGTCCACAGGGGAAAAAAAGACTCAAAGAAGTAGGAAGTTTTAAAAAAACTTTTTTTTTTTTTAGCGAGCTAAAAATCACTAATTTTATCTTTGTGAGAGTAAATTCTTTACTACCTGGTTATTGGAGGGAACAAATTACGGAACACATGACAGCTTGAGCTGATGTTCATTTTATGTCTTATATATAAGACCTTCACTAGGTGGTGCCAATCATTTTCCCCAGTGTCTGAACTCTGTCTTAAACACAGGTTTCCCACTGTCCTGGAGTCGTTTTCACACAGCTGACAAACACATTAACAAAAGTTTAACTCAACTACACAACAGATCACTCAGTTATTAAGTGAAGTGTGGTGATGCAAATCAATCAAACCAGTGGGTCGATGGCTGTCAGCAGCCAGGAATAAATAAATAAATAAATAAACAAGTCACCTTCTCGATGCACCTTTGCTGACTTCAACTCAGCTTTAGATTATACATTAAAGAAGAAAAAAAAACCTCTTCGTGTCATCAGCCCAAACATTGCCCTGCAATCTGTGGCGATCAGTAAAATCACATTACCAACAACACCGAGTTCACATTATTGATCATAAGGTTTCAGAAATACGTTTAAAAACCCTCAACCTGAGATAAGTTCACCACAAATGTCACCTGAGGCGGCGGGGTCGGTATCTGTCAGTCGACATGTGATGAAGAGGAGGAACTCTTCACACCTACGCTCTCCCTGAATGAGGATGTGTTAAGAGAAGACTCAGTGAGGAAAAGATTTGTTTTTTCTTTTCCACTGATGACATTGTGTCGACTGTCGTTCATGACAAGTATGTGTGTGCTTTCTTCTCATCAGAGTTGGACAGCAGGCTCTTCGCTCCATTCTGCCACGAGTACAGAGTCTCCATTGGAGTTTTCCCATCCTACGGGGGAAGACATGGGGAAAAACAATGTGGTAATTATAATAAAGGAAATTATTATAATGTGGTTTGAAGCTATAATGTACTGTAATATAGAATGTCTACACAAGGTTTTTCATCTTTAATTGAGCAACTTGAAATAATAATAATTTGATGCATATTCTCCATAACTTTTTTACATTTTTAGTTTCTTATTTAGTGTTTTATTTACAGCTGCAGGTAGCAGTCCAGATGTTCTTTAGTCTGTTAGAAATTAAAAGACCAAGCAGAACACTGTATTTTCATAATGACAATGAGATTAAGCATACAATTAAAAAAACTGTTTGGAATGGAGTCCAGACCTGAGGGGGTTAAATGGACCAGTAAAGGTCAGCTGACAAGACTCTGGACTGGACCTTAAATAATCAACAGCTGTTTTAAAATAGACTAAAGTAGGATAGAAACCATTCTTTATATAATATGCTGGTCTATTTATATAAATATATAACAGGGCTGTGTGGCGCCTTCATCGTCACTTACGCTGTTCTTCCTGTGACAGGGCTGTGTGGAGCCTTCATCGTCACTTACGCTGTTCTTCGTGTTCAGACTGGCTCCGTACATTATCAGCAGCTTGATCATCTTGAACCTGTTGATTCTTACAGCGTCGTGCATCGGCGTGTCTCCGTCCTGAGGAACAAGACAGGTAGACTGTGAATTGGGGGGGCAGATCAGTTAGAACATGTACCATGTGATCATTTTGTGTTGCTTCACATCGAGTCCTGTTGAATATTGTCAGATATAAAATGTCTTTCTGTTTTGATTGCTGTTCTCACTCTGTCTTTGGCGTTGACGTCAGCTCCACAGTGAATCAGCTGCTCGGCACATTCACAGTGTCCGGTCCTCACTGCGACGTGGAGGGGTGTGCTGAGGAGCTGAGGTGTAGAAAACGGGAAGGAGGAGGAAAACATAGGAGAGGGGGCAGGACACGAGAGGAAAGTGGAGGTAAGGACAAGATGAGGTGAAAACGTTAGGCAACAAAGGGAGGAAAGAAGAGATAGGGTCAATTACAAACTAGCCAGCAAGTAATAAATGTAGAGGATATGAGGACAAATGTTGCCAAAGATTTATTGAAAATAACTCTTATTATAACAGTGTCACTGCAGGTGTCACCTACCTTATCTCTTGACATGACCTTTGCCCCCTCATTTAGGAGGAGCTGCAAAGCTGCTACATTGCCCCCCCTGCAGGCCCAGTGGACAGCTGTGGCATCCAGCTAAAACACACAAATATGTTAGTGATGTGTATGTGTGACATTATGATTTCTTTGTTCTTTGTTCATCGTCCCCTCTTCTCACACCTTGTCCTTTCTCTCAATGTGGGCTCCGGCCTCCAGGAGACATTTCATGACGTCTGTGTGTCCTTTGAAGGAAGCTTTGTGTAGAGCATTTCTCTGGAACTGGGATTACAAATAAGAACAAAAGCAGATGAGTACATTTGAAATCAATCAAAGTATTTTCTGAGGGCACACGTCTGTTTCAAGCTGGTTCAGACTGCAGGGGGCACTGTCACGACCTTGGCTGCCATAATGTCACACTCACATGGTCAGCAACATTGGGGTTTCCTCCTTCTCTCAAGTACTTCTCCACCAAAGGCAGCTTGTTCTCCATGGCTGCGGTCAGAAACATATTCTCATCCACGGTCTCTGGCTGGAAGAGAGGAGTTTTAGAAGTTATGGCAATAGAGTGATGATGAGGAGGAGGAGGAGGAGGATGATGATGATAAACATGAAGACATTACCAGTGGCTGTTCTTCCTGATCTTTCTTTTTTGGAACTGGACTCTTCCTCTGTCTCCTCCTCTTCCTCAGCTGCAGGATGTTGAACAGGTCGTCCACTGTCTCCAGCCTCAGGCGTCCACACTTATCTGTCTGAGTGGGTGGAGCCAGAAATATACACACACACATATATACATATTCTATTAATTATTATTATATATAATAATCTCATTTATTCAGTGTAGTGTGGTGTAGTTTTTAAATAACTTTAAATATGTGTATAAATTCTAAAGAGTATCTGCATTGCTTAAATGCCCACTAGATGGCTGCATAATCCAAATGACAATGGAAAGTGGTCTGGCCGCGACAAATGTTTTATACATCGATCCTTGTCAAGAAAGAAATCTATTAAAAGCCATGCGAAATTAACTGCAGTTGTAATGACAATACTGCCCTCTAGTGTTAGGTAGGAAATACTGCTACATGTTTGACATACCCTACATCTGGGTTATCGTCATCATTTCAACAATAACGTAATTAGGCATAAAGAGGCGCTTCAGCATCTCCATGACCTTTGACCCCAGGTTGACTTCCTTACATTGAGGGCTGCAACGCTGACTTCCTCCTGCTCTCCGCCACTGTCGCTCTCCTCAGACAAACCTCCACCCACTCCCTGTCCAACGTGTGAGCGGCAGTCATCGCGTTTCTCTTGATTGACAGCTGCCTCGTACTCCCCGCCCTGGAAATCAGCCGATTCTTTACCCTCCGACCTTTTACCGGTCACCTGTAAAGTTTTTAAATGTCAAACTTGCAACATAACGTGGAAACACTTTAAATCTTTTTGATTAATGTCACCGTAAAGACACAACCAGAACACACAAAGAGTTTAGAAAATACTTACTCAATTTAATGAAGCATATTCAATTGATAATGTGACGTCTTAAGCATATGCTAATTTTTCTATTTCTATATAGTAATTTTTTTACCCATAATTATAGGTTTTTAAGGCAGTCTTTCACTATTAATCTAAATTGTTGATTTGCAAATATAAAGCAATACATCTTTTGCGAGGGGCAACAAGGTGACAGCAACATCTTTCTCTCTCCCAGTTGTCACTATTGACCTGTGACCATGTTTTGTTTTTTTTAAATAAAATAAAATTTAAAAACATTTCAAATTTCGTCTCAACTGGGAGATGATAAATCTAATTTAATCTTCAAATAATAGTTCCACCAAAACATTAATGCTATTTTTACTTAATTTTTTTAAATTAATTTTTATAATCTAACAGCATACATTTACCAAAGACCTGTTTCTGTCCAGTAACCACTAAAACCAATGGATAAGGTTTTCAATGAAATTAGTAAACATGGAATATAATGTTTGTACCTAATACAGTGTAAAGTAAATTTTAGCCATTTTACAGAAAGAAACATCTTTGTCATTTGAAATCATGTTGTTAGAAAAATCACAGACAAATAATTAATATATGTTCTCTGTCTGTAGTTCAGGACACTGACCAGCTCCTCGACGCTGTGCAGTCCCATCCTGAGGTGAATCTCTGAGGTGAAAGATGTGACGGCGACTGAGTGCAGCTCCTCTAAAGTCCACTGATGTCCAGCTCTGATGGACATCCTGGCTCCTCTGTCTCTTTTATAGCTGCTGTTGCTCGCCTCGTATCACATTACTGCCCTCATGTGCTCATGTGGCACGCTCACTGCTGCAAACATCATCACCCTCTCACCCTCTGACCCACCCACCGCCACGGCTGCCGGCTCTCAAACGCTGGTGTCCCTGTCAGCCTTCAGAGATCCCAAAGAGGAAAGATGTGTCACGATGTCAGTTCTGATGTCTTGAATATGAGAAACACTGAGCAGGTTACCAGTTCATATTCCTACCTGTGGTCAGTTTAAAGTAAACAACACAGTGGCCCCTGGTCTTTCACCCTCGCTTGGCGGAAAACCACAAAGTAGAGACGCAATAGTTATTGTATTATTTATGTATATAATAACATCTTTAAGAGGCATCGGAGGGCGTGAAGGACGGCTAAAAACGTACAGCAATATCCTCTGTATGTATGTGTTACAAAATGTTTTTTACTTTTTTTTCTTCTTAGGCTAGAAAGCTTATTTTATCACACGAATATGTTCCCCCCGTGACTGGGAAGATATTTAATATCTGTTATATTTATTTGTTTTTTTACATTTAGGTAAATGACTAATTTTTAAACAAATTGTCGTTTATGTTTTTATTTGTCATACAGAGCAGAACATCTTTTCCGAGACAGACGCCGTCAGTCGGCATCTCATCGTGTCACTTATTTGGCGGCAGGAATGTGGTGACATCACTGAGGAGACAGGTTCATCCTGCTTGAGGAATAAATAGTAGTGCTTTCAGTCAGATGTCAAGGTCAAAGGTCGACATGATTCCTAGCTGTGGCGGCCGGCTGACGGACTGACTGACAGGGGGTGGAGTCGGTGGCCGCCAGTGTCAGAATGTAATCATGTAAGGTGAGTCACGTCCTGCTGGTAAACCTGTCCAAACGGCACAGGCCACAGCAGGTGCTGCTCAAACACCGATGACAGGAAGTGATGTCACCAGCTGGATGACCACACTGTTTAACAGTTAATGGCCAGAGAATGAGGGGTAGCGGCTGGGTTCAATGCTAATGCATTTAGTGTGTCAACAGTTTAGGTCAGTGTGGGTGAGTTGGTATTTTTAAATGTAAGATGGAAGATTTGAACAGAGCGCAGCTAGAAATGTAGCTCGTTTGGTTTCAAACCTGGTTGTAAACTGTGTCTAAATGGTTGCATTCTGTTAGCTACTAATTAGCATGACCATGACCTAGCCTCTAAAACAGCTGGACTGGTGTGGATTCATTCTTTCATGTTAAATTTAAACTTAAATGTTGAATAACCGTCAGTTTGACTGATAATTTGTTTCTTGGACTCTTGAGTCATAAACCAACCTGCATCACTGAGATATAGAATCTGTGTTTACATTAAAACTGAGATGCCATTGGTCCAATGAGCTGTCAGCTCCTAAAAGAAATAATTCATAGCTGTGGGCTATTTGTGACACTGACCTTGCAACAGATGTAGACAACATGAAGAACTGTTTTTGGACTGAGACCAAAGTAAGTGTCTATATTTGAGAACCAGTTGAGGACGAGAACTGTTTATGTGAAGAGAGGAAGTGGAGCAGCAGCCATAAAGCTAATTCACTAGCTTGTCCAGTTAACATTTTTATGCTGCTGTTAGAAAACCTGATCCTAAACTCCAGCCCTGTCTGTGCTACCGTATCCAAGCTGCTGTGTTCGTTTTTGGTATTAGTGTGTAATGACTAACATTGCCTTAAAGCTGTTAAGATATTTTTTTTTTATAAACAGTGGCTCAGGTAATTAACGCTGCTAATTCAGCATGTACGTTGGCATCTTTCTCGTGACTAGACTAGCTCAATGCTTCCCAACGTTTTTTGAACCACAGTACATATTTGATATTAGAAAAATCTGACAGAACACCATCAAACAAAACTGTCTCAAAAAGTATATGTAATGGAATAAAATAAATATAATTCTAGTTTCAGTTTACTTACA